TAATTTCGACTTTTATCTCGTAATTTCGACTTTTATCTCGTAATTTCGACTTTTATCTCATAATTTCGAAAATATGTAGGTAGGAGGTAGGTATGGTGTTTATGTGTTTTGTGCATTGCATTTCTTTCTACGACAGCTGTTCACCAGCATCCACGTTAATTTTGTATAATTTTTTAGTGTTGTGTTCATAAGAAACACCTACAGCCTACAGTTGAATAAATCTACTACAATCCTTGTAAAACCTAGTATTGCTACTCGACGCTAGATGGCACTTGTTCAATGAACTCTCTGGAATTTGGTAGCAGTTTCTAGACCGGGTTGAATGTTACCGTACATTCTAGTATGATGTTCGGTTGGGTATATAAAGACGTGAGCCGCTGTGAGCGAGTCACTTTTCAATTGGAAGCAATCATTGAAACAAGCTAAACAAGCGAATTGAAAAGCGATTATAAGAGTACCGGCTTGTCTGTGTTAGTCAATATTGATTTATATTTGTTAAATAAGATGCAAAAAATCCCCGCAGGTTATGTTTTAATTAAAAGTTTAAAAGTTTGATTTAGTTATTGTGCTGTCGAGGGCTTGTGAATTTGTATACATTGATATCAGAACCGTTTTTATTACAATCGTCATAGAGGCAAAGACTTCCAAAATGTAACGCTTCATGCTTTTGACTGTACCAGGCGTTATTATTTTTATCCTCCATAATATTGCCCCGTTGCCCCCCCCTAGTCATAAACTTGCGACGCCCTTGACTGGGTCCATTTTATTTTAACGTCTATTATTGGATCTTTTATCTGTTCCTTGATTTGTAATTTAAATGAAACACAGATATGTAAATCAATTTTATATATTTAACAAAATTCAAGAGCAATAACTAGCATGATACATTTTTTTTTCTTTTTAACAATGATCGGCAACATAAAGTTACTGGAATAACATTTTTTGTCTCGCTGGAGCTTCCCGAATATCATTGGGGTATATTCGGAAAGCTCCAGCGAGACAAAAAAAAAGTTTCTATGTGTAGGCATAGCAAGAAGGTTTTTAGGTTACAAATACAGTCGATGAAAAGTTGTTTCAGGCAAAGATTGATTGTTTAGAATTCACACCACTGCATCAATGTTCCTCATTTTTGTTTGCTGCATATTGTTCTTCAAGAATATTGAAATTGAACATTTCCCCACTTCCCACACTATCTTTGTAAAATGGAGTTGATGTCAGACTTTACATTGGCCGAAAAAATCTTTATGGAATTTTATGAATCTGTTACAAAAATGTACGTTTCGCCCCAAAAAATATACAGCCAAAATTATGGAATTTGAGGGCGTCCATTAATTACGTCACAAGTTAATGACGGTATTATTTTTAGGTGCCTTCTGTTTCTTCAGTAACGTCACCGTTCAAATTCATTTGGAACAAAACTGGCATGTATATTGAAAAGAGACCGAAGTAATTGATATTAGTTTAAATGTATTTTTTGAAACACCTTTTTTGTAAAAGCAATGAGTTTAGATTTCCCTACGACGGTAGTCCCTTCAGTACCCGACCTGACCTACAGATGGCGTTAGATGTTTGAAAACTATCACAGTATTAGAAAGTACACAGTATATAAAGCATATGTTTCAAGTTTGAAGACGATGCGTTGTTCAGTATTCGTTTGGCAGCCATCAATAGCCAACGTTTTCGGTGAATTGATTATCGTTTATGTGGTACGATACTCCGATTTGAAAGATCTCAGTCCAACCAATATGAAAGCTGAACTGGACTCTACTCTGCGCGAGTCCGCTCCTTCGTTTACAACAGTAAAATATTGGGTAGCAGAGTTTAAACGGGGCAGTACGAACTGCCAAGATGAACATCGCAGTGATCAACCAAATGAAGTGACGACTCCAGAAACGGTGAAGAAAATCTACAAAGCACTGGTCATGGCATCGGTTTTTTGGGATGCACCTGGGATAATTTTTATCGACTATCTTAAAAAAGGTGAAAATATCAACGTCGAGTATTACGCGAATTTAATAAAACGTTTGAGTGAAGAAATCAAGCGAAAACGGCCGCATTTGACTAAGAAAGAAGTGTGCTCACAAATCTATCATCGCAATGACCAAAACTAACGAATTAAGGTTTGAATTGCTACCGTATACACCCTATTCGGATTGTTTTCTGTACTCAAACTTCAAAAAATGACTCGGTGGTCAAAGATTTTCCAACGATAAAGAAGTAATGTCGGCAGTTAATGGCTATTTTGAGGAGCAACACAGTTCTTATTATAAAAACGGTATCTAACTTATTGATCGTCGCTAGAAAAAAGTATATAGAGCCGCAAGGAGAGTATGTTGAAAAACAAACACATTTTTTTCCAAAGTTTTTGTGTTTTCTTTGTTGGTCTGGGTACTTCTGGGACCCCCCTCGTATTATATCATTATGAAGGTGATAAGTGTTTCACAATATAGAGGTTATTCGAAAAAAATCTCACAGAATGTGGCGTGGAGGGAGCAAACTAGAAATCTCGAAATTCGTTTGACATAATTTACGGACCGCCCCTCCGAACTTTGATACAAACTCCTCGGCAACTGTATACATTCCTGAAACCCCCAAAAACATCTTTACTATGCCGAAACCAGCCCAAACAGACCTACGACGAGGCTCTTTCTACCTTCCTGCAATAAACTTCCCTTTTCCCGCTACCGCCCCTCAATTTTCCCCCTCCTTGGACGTCGAAGGCAAACTCGCAGGCAACGAACAAAACCCTAACTCCCCCGTACTGCACGGGATGCTCGGTATCCTAGATCCCTGCTTAGAGAACCCGCTGTACTCGAAAGCCGTCGGTGTCAACGGCGGCGGCAAGCTCATCGCCCCTTCCTCCTTATCCAAGAGCGTTTCCCCCTCTCCAGGAGTCTGCGCGTCGTCGAGAAACGGCAGGACGAACTCGTCCCTCTTGGCCGGTTTCGCGTCGACGTGGGGCACGACGGCCGGGATGAGCGGGCTCTGCATGGTGTCGCCGGCGGCCCCGACGGGGCTGAATGGGTCCGGCGTCCGCTTGTCTGGCGTCAGGTCTTCGGCGACGCTGTTGTCCGCGCTCAGGTCGGAGAAGTCGATGTCGTAGTTGATCTTAGAGAGGCCCAACAGGCTGTTGTCGTCGGGAGTGAGGCTATCGAAGCTCCGGTTGTCCGGCGCGATGACCGGGGACAAGAAGTTGGTCGATGGGGACGGTTTCACCTGGGGAAAAGGAGTTGGAACCTTAAAAATTTAATTACATTATTCTCTGTGAATATGGCAGTTCACCGACAAAATATAAATGTTGTATTTCTTATTCTTGCACATCAGTCAAGGTAGCTGAAACTTTTTGTACGTTTCAGATTCATTCATCTTTCATTTATTTTTTTATACACCCATCCAGGTTACACCCATCTACAGAACAGGAATATAAGTCAAATCACAATACAATACAATTACAATAAGTTATGAGGTAAAAACAGTACATATAAAATTGGCTAATTTCGATCTGACGAAAGCATAGTTTTCGATGTAGATGGGTACGTCATTACATTACATTTACTCGCGTTTACAGGAAAATTGTTGCGAAAACACCATTGCTCAACACGTTTCAGATTGAGGAAGAGTTGAAGACAGTCCTCGATGCACAATATAATTTCAGATCATCCGCGTATATCAAACAGTTGATGTCAATGACCTCAACTATGTCGTTTATGAAGGCGTTAAAGAGAAGTGGACCCAGGTTGCTTCCTTGTGGAACACCCGAAGTAGCTGCATGCTGCACGGACTTGAAACCATTGAATAGAACATACTGACGCCTATCACTGAAGTGTGATATAAAAAGTTGGATCAGGGTCAGAGAAAAGCCATACCTGTACAATTTCGATAACATTAATCCGTGATCCTTAGAGAAGTCCATATATATGACATCAGTTTGGGATCTCCTATCAATGGTTTCAGAAATATATTGGGTAACATTGAAAAGGTTGGTGGTTGTCGAGCGACCTTTCATAAAACCACGTTGAAGTGGTGTAATTTGATTGCTCAAATAAGGATATAACCTGCTATAGATGAGGATTTCAAATACTTTGGCGAAGTTGCATATTATTGACATGGGTCTATAATTACCGACATCTTGAAAATGTTGACAATTTTTGTGAAAACATTGGCCGCGAATACCTTAACCATTTTGTCAATTTTTGTTATTTCATAACCGACACCGAAAAAGATTTGATCTTCATAAATATTATTTCAAAAAAAATCAAATGTTTCGCCATCACAGTGGCTTTTTCATCAAGTAACGGTGGTAACAGGTATTTGTTTGAAGGTGGTTGACAATGTTTCGTGGTATATTTCATTAGTTGGGACTTCCATTGTCTAATATGATATAAACTGATTTGAAATCCCTGAAAGAATCTGTGGAAAATTAAAAAGATTAGCTAAGAAATAACAATTTTATTAGGCAAAAAACTGAAATTACAATGAAATAACATAGCCACAACCAAAAAAACCAAAAAAATTGAACTATTAACACGAGCTGAAAAATTAAAACATTATTAACAAGAAATTTATATTGGAAGACTCCAAAACAAGTTACTTCACGACGTTCGTTTCGCTTGTTAGTATCCACAATCATCTTCGAGTGATAACTTCGACTTCGCTATTCGAACAGCTTTCGAACTGTCAAATATAGTCGCACAACTGACACTCGAAAAGTTTTGCACCAGATTACTCTCAATAATCAGTCGAATAACTATTTTTCAACCGTCCTTTAGTATGTCCATTTGAGCTACGGAGTGCTCCAAAACATTATCATGCACAGTTCACGTGATCTCTGTAGGTACTTCCCGGGCGGTGCAGTGCAACCGTCCAGGCTACTTCCCGGACGCTTTCTCTTCGAGAAAGTAGCATTTTTTCGGGCTAGTCCGGGAAGTACGGGTGCGGGTACATGTGGGTGGGCGAGTGGGTGGGTGGGTGAGTGGATGTGTGGGTATGCGCACGCGTGCGGATACGGGGGATGCGTGCCTTCGTGGGCTACGGAGTGCGTGCGTGGGGTTACGGGGTGCGGGCGTGGGGGTACGGGGTGCTTGCGTGCGGGTACGGGGATGCGCGCGCGCGCCTGGGTACGAAGTGGGCGCGAGCGTGGGGGTACGGGGGTTGCGTGCGTGCGTGGGGTTACGTGAGTGCGCGCGCGTGTGTGGGTACGGGGGATGCATGTCTTCGTGGTGCTACGGAGTGCGTACGTACGTGGGGCTACGGGATGAGTGCGTGCGTGAGGTTACGTGATGTGTGTGTGGGGATACGAGGTGCGTGCGTGCGTGCGGCTACGAGGTGAGTGCGTGGGGTTACCGGGTGCGTACGTGCGTGTGTGTACGGGGGATGCTTGCCTTCGTGTGGCTACAGGTGCGTGCGTGGGGTTACGGGGTGCGAGCGTGGTGGTACGGGATGCGTGCGTGCGAGTACGGGATGCGTGCGCGCGTGAAGGTACGAGGTATGCGTGCGTGGGGATACGGATATTGCGCGCGCGGGGGTATAGGGGATGCGTGCCTTCGTGGGGCTACGGATGGAGTGCGTGCGTGGGGCTACGGGGAGAGTGGGTGCGTGGCGGGGGGTAGGGGTGCGTGCGTGGGGGGTACGAAGTGCGTGCGCGCGTGTGGGTACGGGGGATGCGTGGCTTCGTTGGGGTACGGGGGATGCATGCCTTCGTGGGGCTAAGGAGTGCGTACGTGCGTGGAGCTACAGGGGAGAGTGCGTGCAAGGGTTACGGGGTGCGTGCGTGGTATTACGCAGGTGCGCGTGGGGTACGGGGTATGCGTACGTGCGTGGGTCTACGGGGTGTGTGCGTGCGTAGGGTTACGGGAAGCGTGCGTGGGGCGTTCGCGCATGTGGATACGGGGGATGCGTGCCTTCGTGGGGGTATAGGGGATGCGTGTGTTCGTGGGGGTACGGGGGATGCATGCCTTCGAGGGGCTACGGAGTGCATGCGTGCGTGGGGCTAAGAAGTGAGCGCGTACATGGGTTTGCAGGGTGAGTGCGTGCTTGGGGTTACGGGGTGCGTGCGTGGGGGTACGGGGGTGCGTGTGTGTATGGGTGTGTGCGTGGGGTGCGTGTATGTGTTCGAACTTGAAATTGAGACTTTACGAGTCGTAATTTCGAAATTACGAGTTTTAGAGTCGTAATTTACAAGAAACAAATAATAAAAGTATGTGGCTCCCTCTGCACATCTATAGTTCTCACACTTGCATTCAAATATTTTCCATCTCATATTCATTTTTCAACTCGTATAAATGTTTCGGCCCTAATAAATTTCAATACCTCATCCATTTATCTCCTTCAAGTTTTTAAATCTGTCAACACTTTATTAGTCGATGTAACATAGAACTGACATTTCAAAGCAAGCCCCACAAGCAATAAATAAAGCAAGCATTCTTATGGCAACTTATATTTTCTCGGTCTACATATAAAAGCATTCAAAGTATTTACAATCGAGCGAAACAAGCGACGGGCCCAAGCACGAATCCCTGTGGTACTCACCTGTGCTTCGGTACTCGGAAGCAGTATACAGGGCGTGATGTCTAACTGGAGCTTATTCTTCGTACTGTCCAAACTCGCTATTTGGCTGAGGGACAAGTTCTTCAGATAGTAATTTTGAGGTACGGATTCTTCGTTTTGGTCTGCGACTGGTTCATTGATGACGCATAGGTTTGAAGCGGTTGATACGACTGTTGATAGGCTCTCCTTAGTTAGAGGCAGAGGACTCTGTCTGGGTTTGATGATGAGAGGCGTTCTTTCTAGGACCGAGGCGACCTTTTCGTTTATTTCTTCCTGCGAGCAGAGGAAGGATTTTTGGAATTGATAGTCGATGATACGGAATTTGTTTATTTAATAATAATAACGATTTATTTTCCCAAGAAACATATATGTTCATAGTAGGGGATAAAATTCAAATCTGATCACCATTCTGATCATCCATATTGATTTCAATTTAAGAGCCACTGGTAGACAGCTGTTTCAGCCTATTGGGCATCGTCAGTACCGGGCAGGTACTCCTCCATTGAAGACAAAATGTGAATAACCAAGAAGAGTACTTGATAAAAATAACTGCGTAAACGCAAGCAAGTCATAAGTGGAACCACCTATTGGTGTGACACCCAAGTCAAATTGTCAAGTTTTTATGTCGATGTTGGTGGTTTGACCAATCAACCGACAACTGCGGTAGCAGAAATTTGGAAAGCTAAGCTGGAATGCCATCGGAAAACGAATCCACATGTTTCTAGAAATGATATGAAATCTGGAATGGTTAATGCAGTCAAGCTGCTGGAAAATAATTCCATGAAAATCAAAAGATAAATAGATAAGTACTATTCCGATTATTCCCATTTTGATTTCAATTCAATAGCCACCGGTAGACAGCTGTTTCAGCCTATTAGGCATCGTCAGTACCGGGCAGGTACTCCTCCATTGAAGACAAAATGTGAATAACCAAGAAGAGTACTTGATAAAAATAAATGCGTAAACGCAAGCGAGAAATAAGTGGAAAACAAATACCTGCACTATACGTTTTAACCGTATAAAAGAACAAACAAGAAGATAAAACGTTCAGTTTGAGTAGAGCCTTGAAGATGATAGCCCCAGTCTGTTATCAAATGCTCTCGCATATAATAATTAGAAGTTATTAAAGCTTCAAATCCAAATTCTTTTTGTGAACAAATGTTATTATTAAGAGGGGGCGAAGTTACAAAAATCATATTGAAGTTTGGTGTTCCTTTGGTACAGTACAACTCTATACAATTGAATACATATACAACTCAAATAAAATAAAATCGTCTTGACGTTACCAATTTTAGGAGCATTCAATGCCTGGCGGTCTTTATTGAAATTCAAAAAATAAAAAAAAGGTTCTGTTGAAAAGACTGGACATCACGACCTCTAACTATCTAACAACTACAGCTTTCAAATTAGTCTGACCAAGCTATTTTAGTATCTAATAACTCGTTATATTATCAAGTAACGAACATTTGAAAAAATATCAATTTCTTGTAATTGGTTCGAAAATGTGAGTTATAGATCATTTTGACTACTTACCCAACAAGAAACAGTTACATAATTGAAGCTTTTTTCCAACAGTCATGGAAAAAAACAGCTGTCAGTTCAGCGAAATAGTTATAGAAAAAATGTATTGCAATAATCATCAACAGAATGTGTTTCATTAATAAAATCCAGGAAAAAATTGGAGGTATTCCTAAAAAACTTATTACATCTTAGATTTAAATTGAAAGGGTTATGTGGGAACTTTAATAGATTGTCACAAACTGAAAGAAAAAGCCATCCTGAAACAGCTTCCATATAAACAATGAATTACACGAAAGAAAATTTCTTTCGAAACAAATACTTTTATATGAACACTGAATTATACAAAAAAACACCTTTCTCTACTCAGTTTGTATTCCAAACATTTGTTGTGGAACTGATTCAGATATCATTCATAGGATTTCTACACAATATACTAAATGAAAGGTAAAAAATTCACCTCACCGGTAGACAGACAGATTTCTTTTACTAGTACACACAGCCACATTTCGGCACACATATTCTATAATTATTTTTCCTCAAGTGATAGAACTGACCAATACTTGATAAAAATCCATTATAACGTATTCACTCTCAAAAATGTTTGTCAACAAGGCGCTTAACATATACCTTTCTCTCTCTCTCTCTGAATGTTGACTTGCCTTTCACGAAACACCTTCTTCTCTAAATATTTTGTAGGAATGGAGGAATAAAGTAAACAACTTTACAGGAAAATGTTTTATTGTGCCGTTACAAATAACAAAAGGAAGATCAGTTTGATCTTCCTCTTGAAGATGATCACTTGGTGATCGAAACACGTGTCGAGGTGTTAAATTAACGGTTTGGTGTTGAGATACAACTCCAGTAATATTGATCAGTATGCAGGTGAAAGATTTCATTGTCAATACATACTTAAACTTTTCACCAGTTACCCATATTCTTAAACATATAAATATATTAAGATGAGATGCTTCTCGATGAGACAATCTATTGTCATGTCAGCAACATTATTAGCCCCAATCAACACGGTTTCATGAAAGGACGTTCAACCACCACGAATCTGTAACAATCACTCAATGTATTGCAGAGGGTATTGATTGGCAGTGTCAGTCTCAGACCGATGTCATCTACACTGATTTTTCTAAAGCGGACGACAAACTTAACCATAGTATCCTGCTCAACAAGCTATCGACTTTTGGGTTATCCAATGAAATAATTACCCTCTTCAAATCGTATTTTTACAACCGTAAGCAGTACGTCCAATTCATTGGACTTAAGTCTATCGAGTATATAGCCATATCTGGTGTGCCACAAGGAACAAATCTAGGACCCCTTCTGTTCAATATGTTCATTAATGATAGCGGAGCTGAGATTGATGTCAATTTCCTATTATACGCAGATGACTTGAAACTCTATCACAATATAACATGTGCTTATGATTCCGAACGTCTCGCCCTGAATTTAAATCGTGTTGCTACATGGTGTCGGAAAAATAATCTATCTCTCAACATATCCAAATGTAATGTAATGTCTTACTCGCTGAAAACGAACTTGACTTTACACAACTACGTCATAAACAATCAAGTTCTGGAGCGTCCAGACACATTCACTGATCTAGGTGGTACTTTTGACTCTCTTTCCCTCTCTTTCAATAAACATATTGACACTACTCTAACAGCAGCTTATCACATGTATGGATTCTCAGTTAGAAATACATAAGAATTCGAATAAACTTCAACATTGAAATTACTTTATTTCAATTTTGTTTGATCTAGGCTGGAATATGCATCTGTCGTGTGGAGTCCCTACTATCAGGTTCACATAAATCAACTAGAAGCCCTACAGAGGCGCTTCCTAAAATATATGTCTAGAGCGTGGGGGTACGGGGGTTGCGTGCGTGCGTGGGGTTACGTGAGTGCGCGCGCGTGTGTGGGTACGGGGGATGCGTGCTTCGTGGGGCTACGGAATGCGTGCGTACGTGGGGCTACGGGATGAGTGCGTGCGTGAGGTTACGTGATGTGTGTGTGGGGATACGAGGTGCGTGCGTGCGTGGGGCTACGAGGTGAATGCGTGGGGTTACGAGGTGCGTACGTGCGTGTGGGTACGGGGGATGCGTGCCTTCGTGGGGCTACAGGTGCGTGCGTGGTGTTACGGGGTGCGAGCGTGGTAGTACGGGATGCGTGCGTGCGAGTACGGGATGCGTGCGTGCGTGCGAGTACGGGATGCGTGCGCGCGTGAAGGTACGGGGGATGCGTGCGTGGGGATACAGTGATTGCGCGCGCGGGGGGATATGGGGGATGCGTGTCTTCGTGAGGCTACGGAGGGAGTGCGTGCGTGGGGCTACGGGGAGAGTGGGTGCGTGGCGGGGGTACAGGGTGCGTGCGTGGGGGGTACAAGGTGTGTGCGCGCGTGTGAGTACGGGGGGTGCGCGCTTGTGGGTACGGGGGATGCGTGCCTTCGTTGGGGTACGGGGGATGCATGCCTTCATGGGGCTACGGAGTGCGTACGTGCGTGGAACTACAGGGGAAAGTGCGTGCAAGGGTTACAAGGTGCGTGCGTGGGATTACGGAGGTGCGCGTGTGGTACGGGGTATGCGTACGTGCGTGGGTCTATGGGGTGTGTGCGTGCGTAGGGTTACTGGAAGCGTGCGTGGGGGTACGAGGTGCGTTCAGGCATGTGGATACGGGGGATGCGTGCCTTCGTGGGGGTATGGGGGATGCGTGCCTTCGTGGGGGTACGGGGGATGCGTGCCTTCGTGGGAGTACGGGGGATGCGTGCCTTTGTGGGAGTACGGGGGATGCATGCCTTCGAGGGGCTACGGAGTGCGTGGGTGCGTGGAGTTGCGGGGAAGAGTGCGTGCATGGGGTTACGGAGGTGGGCGCGCGGGTAGGGATACGGAGGATGCGTACGTGCGTGGGGCTACGGAGTGAGTAAGTGCGTAGGGTTACGGGGTGCGTGCGTGCGGGCGTGGGGTATACGAGGTGCGTGCCCGCGTGTGGGTACGGGAGATGCGTGCCTTCGTGGGGGTACGGGGGATACGTGCCTTCGTGGGGCTACGGAGGGCATGCGTGCTTGGGGCTAAGGGGTGAGCGCGTGCGTGGGTTTACAGGGTGAGTGCATGCGTGGGGTTACGGGGTGCGTGCGTGGGGGTACGGGGGTGCGTGGAGTGCGTGACTGCGCGTGTGTGTATGGGTGCGTGCGTGGAGGTGCGTGTATGTGTTCGAACTTGAAATTGAGACTTTACGAGTTTAAAGTCGTAATTTCGAAATAACGAGTTTTAGAGTCGTAATTTACAAGAAACAAATAATAAAAGTATGTGGCTCCCTCTGCACATCTATGGTTCTCACACTTGCATTCAAATATTTTCCATCTCATATTCATTTTTCAACTCGTATAAATGTTTCGGCCCTAATAAATTTCAATACCTCATCCATTTATCTCCTTCAAGTTTTTAAATCTGTCAACATTTTATTAGTCGATGTAACAAAGAACTGACATTTCAAAGCAAGCCCCACAAGCAAACCCATAACAATAAAAAGCAATAAATAAAGCAAGCATTCTTATGGCAACTTATATTTTCTCGGTCTACATATAAAAGCATTCAAAGTATTTACAATCGAGCGAAACAAGCGACGGGCCCAAGCACGAATCCCTGTGGTACTCACCTGTGCTTCGGTACTCGGAAGCAGTATACAGGGCGTGATGTCTAACTGGAGCTTATTCTTCGTACTGTCCAAACTCGCTATTTGGCTGAGGGACAAGTTCTTCAGATAGTAATTTTGAGGTACGGATTCTTCGTTTTGCTCTGCGACTGGTTCATTGATGACGCATAGGTTTGAAGCGGTTGATACGACTGTTGATAGGCTCTCCTTAGTTAGAGGCAGAGGACTCTGTCTGGGTTTGATGATGAGAGGCGTTCTTTCTAGGACCGAGGCGACCTTTTCGTTTATTTCTTCCTGCGAGCAGAGGAAGGATTTTTGGAATTGATAGTCGATGATACGGAATTTGTTTATTTAATAATAATAACGATTTATTTTCCCAAGGAACATATATGTTCATAGTAGGGGATAAAATTCAAATCTGATCACCATTTTGATCATCCATATTGATTTCAATTGAATTCAATTCAAAATGTGAATAACCAAAAAACGTACTTGATAAAAATAACTGTGTAAACACAAGCGAGTCATAAGTGGAACCACCTATTGGTGTGATACCCAAGTCAACTTGTCAAGTTTTTATGTCGATGTTGGTGGTTTGACCAATCAACCAACAACTGCTGTAACAGAAATTTGGAAAGCTAACCTGGAATGCCATCGGAAAACGAATCCACATGTTTCTAGAAATGATATGAAATCTAGAATGGTTAATGCAGTCAAGCTGCTGGAAAATAATTCCATGAAAATCAAATGATAAATAGGTAAGTACTATTCCGATCATTCCCATATTGATTTCAATTCAAGAGCCACCGGTAGACAGTTGTTTCAGCCTATTGGGCATCGTCAGTACCGTGCAGGCGGTCCTCCAGTGAAGACAAAATGTGAATAACCAAGAAAAGTACTTGATAAAAATAACTGCGTAAACGCAAGCGAGATATAAGTGGAAGACAAATACCAGCACTAAAGCGTTCTAACCGTATAAAAGAACAAACAAGAAGATAAAACGTTCAGTTTGAGTAGAGTCATGAAGTTGATAGCACAGTATGCTATCGAAAGCTCTCGCATATAATAATTAGAAGTTATTAAAGCTTCAAATTCAAATCCTTTTTGTGAACAAATGTTAATATTAAGAGGAGGCGAAGTTACAAAAATCATATTGAAGTTTGGTGTTCCTTTGGTACAATACAACTCTGTACAATTGAATACATAAATAACTAAAATAAAATAAAATCGTCATGAAGTTACCAATTTTAGGAGCATTCAATGTTTTCTGGGCGTCTTTATTAAAATAAAAATAAGCTACTGTTGAAAAGACTGGACATCACGACCTCTAACTATCTAACAACTACAGCTTTCAAATTAGTCTGACCAAGCTATTTTAGTATCTAATAACTCGTTATATTATCAAGTAACGAACATTTGAAAAAATATCAATTTCTTGTAATTGGTTCGAAAATGTGAGTTATAGATCATTTTGACTACTTACCCAACAAGAAACAGTTACATAATTGAAGCTTTTTTCCAACAGTCATGGAAAAAAACAGCTGTCAGTTCAGCGAAATAGTTATAGAAAAAATGTATTGCAATAATCATCAACAGAATGTGTTTCATTAATAAAATCCAGGAAAAAATTGGAGGTATTCCTAAAAAACTTATTAAGGTGAAAGATTTCATTGTCAATACATACTTAAACTTTTCACCAGTTACCCATATTCTTAAACATATAAATATATTAAGATGAGATGCTTCTCGATGAGACAATCTATTGTCATGTCAGCAACATTATTAGCCCCAATCAACACGGTTTCATGAAAGGACGTTCAACCACCACGAATCTGTAACAATCACTCAATGTATTGCAGAGGGTATTGATTGTCAGTGTCAGTCTCAGACCGATGTCATCTACACTGATTTTTCTAAAGCGGACGACAAACTTGACTATAGTATCCTGCTCAACAAGCTTTCGACTTTTGGGTTATCCAATGAAATAATTACCCTCTTCAAATCGTATTTTTACAACCGTAAGCAGTATGTCCAATTCATTGGACTTAAGTCTATCGAGTATATAGCCACATCTGGTGTGCCACAAGGAACAAATCTAGGACCCCTTCTGTTCAATATGTTCATTAATGATAGCGGAGCTGAGATTGATGTCAATTTCCTATTATACGCAGATGACTTGAAACTCTATCACAATATAACATGTTCTAATGATTGCGAACGTCTCGCCCTGAAATTAAATCCCGTTGCTACATGGTGTCGGAAGAATAATCTATCTCTCAACATATCCAAATGTAATGTAATGTCTTACTCACTGGAAACGAACTTGAATTTACACAACTCCGTCATAAACAATCAAGTTCTGGAGCGTCCTGACACACTCACTGATCTAGGTGTTATTTTTGATTCATCCCTCTCTTTCAATAAAAATATTGACACTACTCTAACAGCAGCTTATCACACGTATGGATTCTTAGTTAGAAATACAAAAGATCTACATTGAAATTACTTTATTTCAGTTTTGTTCGATCTAGGCTGGAATATGCATCTGTCGCATGAAATCCCTATTATCAGGTTCATATAAATCAACTAGAAGCCCTACAGAGGTGCTTCCTAAAATATATGTCTTTTAAATTTGGAGGCACGTATCCTACTGTAGAAATACCCTCACAATTTTTGTAGTATCGAGGTAAGATGTAAACATTATTCATTTCTCTTTTTATTCAAGGTCATAAACTGTAATGTAACTGTAATGAGGAATGAACTATATGATTTCTTGTTAGATAACTGCTACTACAGTATGGATGAATTTCTTGCTTTTAGTGCTTAGATAAATGACTTAGTTTATTTTATACATGTAGTCTTCTCTTTTAAGTTTGTTCAAGATCAAACATTTTTGTTTTACTTTTAGCGTTTTACTTTTGACTAGTCCTTTCTCACGTATTTAGTCTTGTAATTATGTATGTGTGAAAATTTTAGTGATGAATAAAACTATTTCTAAACAATATCATCACCTGCTCTCGACTGTTACATGTTGAATTTTTGGGTTCCTAGACGGTCATCAAGAAATAGTGTCACATTTTATCTCAACACTCCGCGTACAAATATAATGAAAAAATCTCCAATTTATACAATGTGTGATACCTCTAATTCTGTTAGTCATGTCCTAGATATATTCAACTGCCAGATTATACAAATCAAAAGACATTTCTTAGCTAACTGACAGTTCTGTTTTTAATTTTTTTCATATAGATTCACAAATTATATTATGTAAGTACATATTTGTAAATGCCACTGGGTTAATCCTGTAGAATAGTGTATGAAATAAATAAATGAAATGAATAAATAAAATAAATCAATAAAATAAATGAATAAAATAAATGAAATAAATAAATATATGACTCAACATTGCATAATCACTCGAAGCTTGAACAATAAGACTGAAGACTGCTCACTCCAATTACAAGACGATCCAGATACCTTTGAAACACCCTGTGTATTATTCAGTTGCATGCAAAAGTGGAGTCGAAATAAAGGAAAAAAAATAAAATAAACACGCATAATGTTTGCTAAGAAATAAAGAAAGAATTATATCATACTTATTTATTTCTATAGTTACATCAGTTAACTCATTAACAAAAATACCTGAATGGATGAAAATGATACAGTCAGTGAAAATTTGATGATAACGAGTGGAAATGAAAACAAAATATTGTTCTGAGAATTATATAAAACACTGGAACTGCTGATTCTAACGCTTAAATATCGAAAAGAAACAAAAATAAAGTTCAATTCAACTGAAACCCCAAATTTTAAAGTACTCAACAGCTACAGCAAACAGATGTTTATAGTAAATCAATGAATAACTAGTATTAAAAATTACTGAAGGCAATGAAACAATACTGAATAAGTATTTTTATTTTATCAAATGAAGTTATTTATCCAACTCCATCTGCTTAGATTTCACCAAAGAAACACCAAACTACAACTCAATTTTTGTAACTCTACTACCTCTGTATATCCAGTCTATCACTAGGTCTTTGCAAAAATATACAAGGTTGCCATACACTTGGATCTAATCTAACTTCTAGTTTTTAAAGGATGGACTGTAAATACATTGAAGTAATTTATAAACTGAAAGATACTGAACCTTGATATTTTCTCTATATCCATTTTGTGTAAATGTACTTACTGGATTAATCAAATTCCTCAATCATGACATCTAGATATGAATTCGAAGGAGAGTATCAGAAAGGATTTGTACACAGTTGAAGTGTCACACAAGTTATCGTCTTGAAAAAAAAACACCTCTCCAACTTTCATTTCGACATGGTTGAGCAGTAAAATATATATTTAGAGTGTATCATTTCCAAAACGTCATTCCATCAACTATTTATAAAAACTGATGAGAAAATGACATTGAAGCAAGTTTCACGAGATTTCTTCAATTGGTAGCTGGTTCAAATCCGGCTCGGAGGACCACAACAATGATTAATATAGCGAAAGCGTTAAACAAAAAAAAAAGATGGATGCGAACTGTTTGAAAATAACAAACTTGACTCACCTCGACCTTTTTTAGCGTGTCCTCTAGGCTCAAAATACGTATGCACAAAATTGACAGAAATCAGACACCTAGAGAACTAAGTTATTTTTGGATCAGTTCTGACAACCTCATGAAATGAAAATTGACGTGAGACAAACTTTCTGTCATTTATGAGTGGTAATTCTAATCCTGTCAATTGTCAACAATGTCATTTGTGTATTAGGTAGAGAGAACTCACCCTAAAAAAGCTAAATTCCCAATAAATGTGAGGTGAAGTGACAAAGTTTGAACAATTATACTTTCTAAAAATTTTATTTTACTCCTGAACCATGTCAATATAAAAGTAATAAGAGAGGTAGTATTTATAAGTTGGCAACTTGTGTGGTACTCCTCGATTGATGGATTCAACACCGAAATCGGCTTCAGGAGCTTCAAAAAAGTGTATCACGAATTACTGAACACATTATTTACTTCATAGAATCGAAGATTCTGTGGTGAATCGAAGAAGTAAATAACAAAACCTACTGCAACTTCATTATAACCTAAACATCAATTTTTTCTACACTTCCCTACCCACCACCGACAAACTATACCTTCAACTTCTCCATATCCTCCCTCAGAGTCTGCGTGTTTTCTCTAACGGTATTCGTCCTCTCTGACAGCCCCTTGAGCAGAGAAAGGTGTTCACACAGCTGGTGCATACCTTCACAAGCGACCAAAGCAGACTCCCAAGCACTAACGCAAGCCACCTCGCCAGACATGTAGGATTCGAATTCTTTCACCGGCATGTTGAGGGATTCCGCAGTGAGATTTTCGATGAAGGAGACGGCGCAACACTGAAATATAAACGGGTGGCATGTATAAGGAACGTCTGCCCGACAGTGAGTTTGATTGTTTAACAAGTAGACCCAATATTAAAGTAGGTATGAATAATTTCATATTGCTGTAAAATACCCAACACTTTCTTCTTCAGTGAGAATCTCTACACTTTTATCTCATCGCAGAGAAGTGTACACTTTTAATCCAGGGAAAGTGTGTTCCAGTGAGAGCATACACTTCACTCTAATGAAGATAAAGGCTTTCACTCTAGTAAGAGGTCTTTATATTTTCCATTTCAGCGAGAAATACTCCACAATGTTAGTGAAAAAACCCTCTACACTTCTATATTTTTCTACTTTTTCCACTTTTCTACTTTTTGTACACTTTCCATTCAAATCAATTTCCATAATGTTTCATTTCCGTTCGTCTACTTCTCCAATTCAGAACTTTCTCTTCATTGTGACAGACTGTCTACACCTTTTACATTACTTGAAAGAGAAATTCTCATTGTAGAATTTAGAGAAATATATATATGTACACTTTTTCTTCGTTGTTGAATTATCTTGAATTTTTTATTCAAAGTAGGAAATTCTCTACTTTCCTCTTCACTGAGAAATTCTCAGTTTTCCACACTCTACACTTACACATGCAGTTCAGAGATAATCCAATTGAAATTTGTTTACACTCTCCAGTCCATTGAGAAATTTTCAGTACGTTACAATTTAAGTGTCAGGTTTTCTACACTTTCCATTTCAATTTCATAATCTATACACCTTACAACCTGATCTTCACAAACTATATTTAAAAATATCATGACATGTTTTGCTATCACGGTAGCTTTTTCCCTTTTTCCATTTCAATTAGAGATACCGTACGTTTTACCATTAATGAAAAATTTTCTAGATTGAGAGATATATCAGTCAAAATTTTCTAAACTTTATAGAAGGGTGCTAATGACGGTTCTGAACCTTCCCCCACCACTCAACCTTGCCCTTAAATGACGTCATACGACCTTGAGCTATGTGCAGGTCATATGACCTTGAGAATCTAGATTTTATCAACAGATTTTCCACAATCTCAATGATAAATTCTCTATACTTTGTCCTTGATATAGAAAAGCCAAATCATAGTTATTATTTCTTCCAGCTAGACTGAAATTACTCACCAGGTTGGTAAAATAGTAGCCCCCTTCTCCCTGCATCAATCTTGCATCGTTGCAAAACCTCGTGACGTACAGAATATTACTTTTAAGCCTAGAAGGATTAGCTTTCAAGACAACAAAAATCAAAGCTGGCAGGAATTCATCAGCACTGACAGGCCCACCGCGACAGTGCTGAAGGACTTCCACAACACTTCGACAGCACCTACAAAAGATAATTCAATGTTGTTTAACCGTTACTTTCTGAAAATTTCAGATTTTTTCACTGCATAACCATTACTTACTTGACGACACAATTTAGTTTCTCTTGCGGAGCTTTAATCGAATCCATACCGAGCAAATCGTTGATGGCGGTGTAGACGAGATCGCGAACCTCGATGCTAGTTTCGCTTATGCAACAGTCAAGATGGTGGGCATTCACCCAGCTCAGGTGCCGGATCCTGTCCTGGATGGCAAGGTCTTTTTCTTCGTCGTTCGTGAATGCCGGACAGAACAAGAAGCTGAAATGAAATTTCTTGATGAACGAAACACGTTTTCAAGTCCCTACTTTTCAACTGTTATGATACAAAGCCAACACCTATCAAGAATGAATTGCAAATGATGTGTTAGATTATGAACTGAATTTTCATTAAGATATTGTTTGTCAGTTGAAATCTTTCTCTTTCAACTTGAAGTTTTTTTTATATTTAACTAAGACCTTTACACTCTCCAAAAAAAAAGGTTACAGTCAATATAATTCGTTGTTTAAATGAGAACATTGAACAGAACATTTGTTCTGCACTTGATTTTACTTGTTTCATATTGGCGAAATAAATGCTATTCTATTCTACTTGATTAGTTTTTTATGCTAATACTAACCTATATAATCCGATCATGCAGTACTTCTCGTAAAACTCCAACAACTTCTCCCTGACTTCGTCAGGAACGTTTTCGTAAACTGCGTAAGAGTTCATCCTCGTGTTGAAAACATTATAGAAATTCTGCACGATCTCGGCGAGATCCTCGATAGACTTCGAATCGAGTTCACTCAGAATTTTAGTCGTGAAGGCCTGCGCACATCTGAAGAAGTCTTTCCGGACGAGTTCGCCCCATTCGCCATAAGTCGTTATGAACTCGACCATGAGTTTGTCGGCGTCTGGATTGGCGTGTCTCATGATATCTACGTATCTTTCTGGTCTGGAAGAATCTAAAAAAAATGATGTCGTTAAGAGACTTTAGGCCAATTTTTCTCTACGAATTCAAAGCGCTGCAGAAACAACCTGAAAAATTAACCAAGTCTTTGGCAATGATAGCGTTAATGCACTATTCGACGTTGGTTCCGACGTTCCGAAGAGTTTAGCGTTGAAGACGAGCCCCGAAATGTTCCACCTACAGTAATCCAGGATTTGTGAACTCTGGTGGAACCTGAACCATGACAGAAGGAGAACCAACTCTTTAGGTTAGGTTAGGTTAGGTCCAAAAAGAATGGGTCTATTCGACCCTCCACCGCAACGATTTATTGTGGTTCACACCTATTCACGCAGTATTTTCTGGTAAATGCCCGTCAAAAAACGACTACTTTCCCGACTAATATCACGATGTACACATTTTGCAGCTGCGAAAATAACCAGCTCTAGCTGAAAGCTCAATGTGATAGCATCCAGAATATTATTTTTTGCACACTCATCTTTATTGAACGATATCATTGATGTTATTTCACGTACCTTTGGCGCTAGAAGATTTCCTGAAGACAGGCAAGCTTTTCAGGTACTTGTTTTTCTTGTCGGTCTGCTGCCTTTTTTTTTCTTCGAACTTTGTGAATCCAGACACGTGACTTTTCGAGTGTTCTGAAGAAGTGCTCTGATGAGATTTTCTCTGCCTCTCTTGATCGTTTTGGTTTCGATAACATTGCGAACAGTATCCTTGAATCAGAAATAATGATAATAAACATTATGAATGAAACTCAAAAATTGGAGGTGGAGTTTTTGTATCCATTGAAACACTATTTTTTCTGATGAAAACAGTTTCAGTCATCTCCTGTTGATGATAAGTCTTTCTTATTAATAGAATTATCGGGACTGTTTTCCGCCCACAGATTAAACTAACCCAGAAAAACTTCCTCAAGCGTAAATCTTATGTATCAAAATCCCTGAGTGGGAGTAAACTTCTTGGTGGAATGTGAAAGTTGTAATCTGTTGATAAGGTCAGAAAACTCAGCCTTGCTCATTAATTGAGTCTTCTTGTACATATATATTATCGATTCCTATTGCGTGATAATTATTTGTTCAGCATTACATTAACATTAATTAGTAATTAACTATTACCGCAGTTTTTATCTTCTCACAAAGATACCAGCAACATGCAATCAGATTTCCGCGTTCTGAGCAGTTATAAAATTTGCTATATGGCCAACCAAACAGTTTGAAACTCTCAATCTCACAACTGAATTGAGGTGTCATCAATTCACATGATTCTTTTGAGAACGTTGAGGATGTAAAATGGCGAGATGGAGAGATTTTTGTATCATTTGATGTATACTCGTTGTTTCCAAGTGTCCCAATACAAAAAACTACTGAATATTTGAGGGATTATCTGAGGGACAATGGTCTCAGTGTGGAAGTGATCAAAGACCACATACAGTTAACAAAAATCTGCATGGAACATAATTGCCTCCAGTTCAATAACTGTTTCTACAAACAGCACAAAGATATGGCGGCCAGGAGACTCGTACCGGATCGTTATCGACTGAAAACCTCTCCTACTCCTCCTCCTCCTCATCCCTTTCTCCCATATGAACCGCTCTCACCTCACTTCAATGAGGTGTTGTTTTATTGACCTGTGTCTATTATATAAGGTTCGATCTTCAATAGTGCTCGATACGTGATATTCCAGCTATCTTCATTGACAATGAGTTTCCTCTGCTACGAAAGGTACCCCTGCAATATATATGAATTCCCGCCAAACATGTCACAGTAGAGCAACGTGTTTTCTAACTCATCCTGGAGGCCACAATATGGGCATTCATCGGATTCCACTTTCCCACGGACATATAGGTACTTTCTGAAACACCCTTGACCTGATATCGCCTACATGAGATAGTGATCCAACTCTCCGTATGTCCTGTCTGTCCAATATTATATTTTTGGTTTTAGGTGTTATGTCCACTTTCCATAACTGCCGTTGTCCCATTTGGCTTGTCATCTAGTTGCTGGACTTTCCTTGGTTATGCATGGAACAGAATTGCTTCCAGTTCAATAACTGTTTCTACAGACAGCACAAAGGCACGACAATGAAAAATTCACTGTTTCCCTTGCTTCTAGAAGCAATTCTGAAACGAACAAAATTGCTTCCAGTTCAATAACTGTTTCTACAGACAACACAAAGGCACGACAATGGAAAACCCACTGTTCCCCTTCATTGCTAATCTGTTCATGGGCAGATTTGAATTGGTAACAATAGAGGAGTTAGATTACTTTCCACGGACTTGGATCCGATATATAGACGGTGTATTTGCGATTTTTGACACAAAGAAAACAATGGTAGAAGACTTTGTTTCAACTCTCAACAATGGATCCCCGAATATTAAGTTTACACATGAAATTGTAAACAACGGGGAGTTAGTTAGATAGAGAGATAGAGTTGCATATGACATGCTCCAGGTTCAGATGAAAACACCTTACCCCTTGCCTCTCATGTAGACCTACGACTTTGTAGGTACTTGTGGCAGATACCCAACGGAAAAACAACAACTAACCCAGCTAATGCCGCGCCGAGAGTTACAGTAATTTCAAATCAAATCAATAAAAGAGCACTCTTGTAAAGAACATTATAAGGGGTGTAGACAATTTTTTTAAAGGAAATTTACAGATGGCTGAAAAGTCCCGGGCTTTAGAATGAAAATGCGTTTTTTAACACGCTTTTATTAGCTTCACCAGTATAAAATTGAAACACGAAATTGTTTTTGAAAATAACAAAAGTGATGTCACTCTTAGCACGATAACTCACAAACTCATGAGTAAAATATAATGAAATTTCAACAGCTTTCTCTTGAAGGTTGGTTCTAACTGAAAAAGCGGTAAATGTAATAAGATTATCGCCATCTATGTGTTAGACCTGAGACTTTTCAGCCCATGTAGTGTTTCATTGGGTAAGTTTAAAATACGTCCTACAAATTGTGAGGTTTGTACACTTTTGCTTATCAACGTATTAAGAGGTCCTTTTTCAAAATAACTGATGGTAGATGAGAAACTCCTGGAAAAACACAAAATTTTGCTGGCGCAATTTGGATGAAGGTTTAGTACGGCGAAAACCATTACGGTACATTTAAAAAAAACATACAAACCTTTCCAGTCAGCATTCCCATAGAAACCGCATCCGTTTTTGCACTTCAGGTCAGCCTGCTTGATCCTCAGAGAGGGTTGCTTGGTAGCGTACATTATGTACTTGTAAGAGCGCTGCAAAGTTAACACAGGCATTTTGATAAAACAAATTATATCCTAATATTAAAAAAAAAAAACTAAAATTAAAGCGCTTATCGCGGTAAAGTCTATGCTTCCGCAAGATGTATCCACCTAGTATTCCATATCTAAGCCCCCTTGAAGCGGTTCCCGCCCGGAGCGGAATTTTCAACGAACGATTCCTAGTGGTTCGAGATATCAAAAAGCTACCATGGAGGCAGGAAGCTGTGGTCGTGAGCGCAGAGGCGAAGCTCCTTCATCAGCATAATCTGGACTACGGCGAATTGGGGGAATTTCAAAAAAGCTACGGCTGTTTCTTTGGATCCCTTCGTCGAAGAGGCGCACTTGGAGCTCGAGGAATATATCAAAGCGTCACCAGGATCAGCCATTTGGTTCGCAGGTTGCTTTTTAGAATTTGAGGGAGCAGTTTGCACGAAAATGTCGGACTGGTGGGTCCACGAAGGGGGCACAGAGCGAAAAGGAAACTACGCGGAAGAGACGGAAACGATGACCGGACGAAGAACTGTTCGCTGATCGATTATCGAGTATTGGGAATTTGGGACAAGACGGGTATTTATCGTCTCGGACAGATAAGGCTTATACACAGTCGAATTTGAACTTTATCTATCGATAACAAGGTCAAGAGTCTACAGATATGACACAGAGTGGGACTGGATACCCCCTGGCGAAGGTTACGATTTATTTTTCATACCGGATGTTTTCAAAAGTGAGTCATTCGACTCTATGGCTTTGTAGAACTCGTCACAAAATATACCAAAAATCACCTACATGAAAGTGCCACANCTATAAAGGGTTTTACAAATACCGCTACACGTTTTTTAACAGATGTAGCTTCACCAAGATGGCCGTTATCAATAGTTAGAGTTCGGAAGTTCCTGTTGGAAGATCCTCATCACTAGTATCATCATTACAGCAGAGTTTCCCAAAACAAGTAGTCCATCCCTGCAACGGGGGCACTAATAGACATGACGTCGACACCGATAAGTGCATTCTTTGTCCTCAAAATGTTGACTCAAATCGAACATTGAGGATATCATTATCTAGAGAACAAATTAAAAATTAAGCAACAGATTATGTTTGCGTGAACTTTATTATCTTCAAGTTTAACTCGTCGATGATATAACTGATTTCTAAGCGTAGACATTGAAGGTTAGTTAAAAAAACACTTTCTGTGATTTTAATTTGTTAAAAATTGGTCTCACAAGTTTCTCAACATGTCTGGAGTCACTGCACGACAATCCACAACAATTCTCGAATTTGACTGTGTAATATAAACTTTGGATTTCAAATGACCCCATGAAAAGAAGTCTAATGGTGGTTATTATCATCACCAATCAATACTTGACTCATGATTTCACAAAACTCTGTAAGTCTGTCAGGATCGTCTTCATTTATTTCTTGTACATTCTGCATTTCATAAGGATGGAATTTCGCTTCTTTCAGAATTCGATGTACGCTGCTTTTACAAACTCCAGAAATAGTGTCAAGTTGTCCATAACTGCATGTCCTACAACTGCAACAGCGACCCCTTCATTTCTCATAGGCTTCTCTCGTTCAAGTTTTTTATTCAGCACTGATCCATGAACGTATTCATCAATTGAATCACGTACTGATATGTGCATATAATTCAAATGATTATTTTCAAAGATATTAGATTTACAATGCAGGGACATAGCCGTTGTGGGGGTACACATTGAACATTGAATTAAACAAAATACACTTCTTCCTATTCACTTTGTACCCCAAACATTCTTTGTGGAATTGAATCAGATATCATTCACGGGATTGCTACACAATATAGTGTATGAAAAAAGGAAAATTTCACTTTCATGAAACAAGTTCTAGTGTCATCCTGTAACTAGTTTGTCAAGTTAAATTTATAGAATGCTATCGGATTTCACAGACGTTTTACGTCAGCGAATTATAAACGAATATGGAAAATTAACACGAACAACATTATGATGTGTGATGGAGTAAGATACAGTCAAAACATTTGGGTAATCAAATTTATTTATATGTAAACAATTACGAATAACGTTTTCGATATTACCTAAAACTTGTTTTGGGTAAATTCCTAGTCGGTTGGTATTCGTTTAAAAACAACTAGCCTGATCTGAATGAAAATAATTAGGATATCTGGTGTTTCAGAGTCCTTATTACAGTTGAAAAAATGACATCGTCGATGATATAACTGATTTCTAAGCGTAGACATTGAAGGTTAGTTAAAAAAACACTTTCTGTGATTTTACTTTGTTAAAAATTGGTCTCACACATTTCTCAACATGTCTGGAGTCACTCCACGACACTCCACAACAATTCTCGAATTTGACTGTGTAATATAAACTTTGGATTTCAAATGACCCCATGAAAAGAAGTCTAATGGTGGTAAATCAGGATATATAGCTGGCCATTCTATTGGTCCTCACCTTCCAAACTATCTCCCTGTGAAATCGTCATCTAAAAATTGACGTACAGGTGCAACAAAATGTGGAGAAGCTCCATCTTGTTGAAAGGTGAGCCGACCTTCAAGTACACTATCATCGTCTTCAAGTAACTGAGTGATTCTGAGGTTCACAGTTGTCTCAAGAAGTTCAATAAAATATGGACCTGCGATATGGTGTCCCAGAGTACCAGCTCAGACATTTAATTTCTGAGTTTGTGAATGACTTTCCCTGTATAGTCGAAGTAACCTTCACTGTGAATACTTAAAGCTATCGGCATCTCAAAGGCCAAAAAACCAATACAGAGAAATAATGCCGCTGCGAACTAGTCCACGTGGACTGAAGAATTGGCGGTTCGTATTGGATAATGTTTACTAACCGAGTTTCATGATTGGCTGAACTGTCATAAAATTAATTTGAAGTCATACTACGGTGACGAATAGAATGTGGGGATGAGTATCGCCGTTGTGTCGTCAATGTTCAGTTCAGGAACTGATCGCGATTTGAGTGTTGAAATTCGATATTCGAAAATGTATGTTATCTGTTTAAAATGTGGCGTCCTTGGACAAGTACTGATAGTAATAACGAGTGTGATAACAACGCAGATTTTTTCCTGTGAAGTGATTCCAATAGCGATGGTGAACAATGCGAAAAAGAGATACCAGTGAATTAGATTCGGATGCATTTGAATATTGAAACACAGAGAGTGTGTTTCAATGTATAAAAGAATCTAACATCTCAAGTTTGGTTTCGAGGGAAACAAACTATTACGAGCAACATCAGATTTGACTGTAATTCCTTTCTCAACTGTACGTAAAATAGTCAAAAACAAACTTTGTGAACGCAAGACGCTATGTGATACGGGATTATCAAAATTTTTAGATATTCATCTAACGAAATCATTGAAAAAAACAATATACGACTATTACAAAAGCAATGAGATTCCTACAACTGAAATCATAAGGAAGAAATTGAATACTTCCGGCCATAACGTGAGCTGCTGTGACAAAACTCTTCAGAANGGCATTTGGCTGCGTTGATCACAAAATACTGCCGCAGTATTTTGTTACCTGTCGAAGGCATTTGACTGCGTTGATCACAAAATACTGCCGCAGTATTTTGTTGCCTGTCGAAGGCATTTGGCTGCGTTGATCACAAAATACTGCCGCAGTATTTTGTTACCTGTCGAAGGCATTTGACTGCGTTGATCACAAAATACTGCCGCAGTATTTTGTTGTCTGTCAAAGGCATTTGGCTGCGTTGATCACAAAATACTGCTGAAAAAGCTCCAACGTTTAGATGCAGAGGAGTACCTCACAAATGGGCAAAACAACTCAACTTTCAAAAAAAAGGGAAATTAATTCTGGAGTTCCACAAGGTTCTGTGTTAGGTCCCATTCTTTTCTTATTATATATTAATAACCTCACCAAGCTCAATATTTCTGGGAAGTTCACCTTATTTGCAGATGACACTACCATACTTTGGAATAATAAAAACACTTGTGAGTTGCACAAAAAAATCTCTGCTGACTTGAAAAAAGTTAAAGATTGGTGTGATTCAAACATTTTATCTTTTAACTTAATTAAAACAAATTAATTATCATTCAGATGCTCAATCAACGAATTTTTTTTTGAAGAATTGTTAGGAGTGTTCATTGACCAGAATTTAAAAATTGTGGATCATGTTGAACAACTCCCTAGCAAAGTCTCCTCTGGCTGTTATGCGGTTAGAGCGATTTATAAAGAATTGGGGTTCAGCTCTGCAAAGATGTGTAACTATGCACTGATAGATTCTCACTTACGCTACGGACTACCGTTTTGAGGAGCATGCAGTCCAACTTTATTCAAAAGTCTACTAATTTTACAGAAAAGGGCAAAGGTATATAGGAAACCTTAAACCAAGAGACTCCTGTAGAACCTTATTGTTCATCTATTTATTTCATACAAAAGACTCGATATTGTGATTCGTTGTGTGGTTCAAGGTAAAAAATATCGAATGGTCCACTGAAGACGACGTTATGGTAACATCTGACTTCGACGGTAACATTTTCTCGTGGAACTTGAAGACTGCCAACGGAAATAGTTTGAATTACGACAAAGTTTTCCTGATGAACGGTCTGATGAGGATGAAGCTGACGGAAGACGGTACGAAAATGATTATATCCACTACTACGGGTTTCATGATCATCATACACGACCTGAATTTGTCGACTCTGGCTACTGATTTGAGATTCTTTCGGGTGAGTTATGAATGAAAATATGATTTATTAATATATTTGGTTTTATGTCATAATTGCCTGAAGTATGTTGAGTTGTTTTATTTTCGGGCATCAAGTTTTGTACCCTCTTCATTATAATCGTTTGAATCATGTTGAACAACCCCCTAGCAAAGTCTCCTCTGGCTGTTATGCGGCTAGAGAGAATTATAAAGAATTGGAGTTCACCACTGCAAAGATGTGTAACTATGCACTCATAGATTCTCACTTACGCTACGGACTACCGTTTTGAGGAACATGCAGTCCAACTTTATTCAAAAGTCTACTAATTTTACAGAAAAGGGCAAAGGTATATAGGAAACCTTAAACCAAGAGACTCCTGTAGAACCTTCTTCAGAAAACATATTCTAACGGTAACTGCATTTTTTACACTGGAATCTGTGTGATTATTAAATAAGCATAATATATTGAATTTTGCTGCATCCTCTTCCCATTACAACACCCGAAACTGCAGACACACTCTAAAACTCACTGTGCCATCTAAAAACATCACCTGACCTATTGACATAAGATCCCTCCTGAGTATATTATTCTTAGGTTTATTGTTTTTATTGTTTTTATAAGTGGATATGAATTTGGCTAAAATTAATTTTTCTGAATTTTTGTTCTAGTACAAACCAAACCTTAGACAGCTCCCGAATGAATCATTTCTTGGTATATTGTTCGTCGGTATGTTCGACGTACCTGTGACGAATATGAATCTGGCTAAACAGTTTTAAGGATGTAAAAGAAATATATGAAAATTTCTTTCAAGTATAAACCATAGCCTAATTCTACCTTAAAATAAACCGTCTCTTGGTGTTCAATTATTGAATTGAGCAAACTATTCGTTGTCGTACAACTTCATTTCACACTCTATATGAATTTATGAAGAAATTTAATTTTTCGTTCATTCCCAAGCCACTGATTAAAGTGACCGCTGGAAAATAGCTGCTAATTCACATCGATATTAGTGTGTGGCTGAAACTGAATGATTCCAAAGCCGCAATGAACATTATCGCTAGCAGTAACTTCCCAAAAATGTCGTTTTTTCTGAGCTTCTCATTATAAAAAGGGAACCAATCATTTGGTTCTGACCTTGCAATTAGTTTCAACAACTCCAACAGCAATTACACATCAATCTCTATCGCTATTTCATAAAAAATATTGCTTAGCTGCTAGACTCGTGGTCTTGATGTGACAAATAAGTTATCAGAAAAACGTTGACATTTACTCGTGAAGTTCAAGTAGTCAACACATGTTTCATTGTTGATAATTTCGGAAACCAGCTGGCTAGTATTTTTGATTTATCTGTTGTTTATTTGAAAAATTATGTTTTCCTACGCCATGTAATGAAATGGAGAAAAATCGCTAGTTAACGGACATTCTAGACTTTCTTATATATGGGTTATCAGAGGTCAAAGATAACTAATAGCACAGTTGTGAAAATTATTTTTCAAAGATCAAATGTTATCGCCCACTTTTCCCTGTAGTTTATTGCAGCCGATATATCGAACTGCATCTGTCAAGATGATCTACATCATCATCCATTCGTTGATACCGGAGAAATACCCATACAAAAGCAAAAAAAAGTATAATTTCTTTCAATTACGTTTTTCCCGGCATCTTTGTACAACATATAAAACTTATTGTAGTTTTTTTCAGATTGAAATAGTGAATGAATCAGAAAGAAAGTATCCTTCAATACCATAACAATATAATACAAAAATATACCTCTTTCAATTTAAACACTGTCATTACGCAAACCATTGATATACACCGAAAAGAAGTGCTGGCCCAGTATTGAGCCTCGAGGTACGCCAGTTTTCAGAGAGTATTCTTGTTTTTACTAGTGAAAACTAATGAAAATTCAAGTTAAAAAAACTTAAATTTGGGGTTCCACAGGGCTCGGTTCTGGGTCCAGTTCTTCTCCTAATCTATTTGAATGGTCTATGTTGATATATTGGGTACTTTTGAATTATGTGTTGATGACAAAACTATCGACTGGAACAGTCCCAACATTGAAGATTGAAAAAGTGGGTCGAGGAAGATATGGGAAAAGTATTCAACTGGTGTGAATCGAATCCTCTTTTGTTCAATACTAAAAAAAAACAATTAACTGTCATTCAAGTGCTCTTTACTAAATTTTTCGAAAAATTAACCATCTAAAGAAATTTGAGTATAACATAAGTATTTCATGTTCTACATTATTTATTACATTTCTAGGCAAACATTCAGGAATACAAGTTACAAAAAGGTTCTTCAGTAGTACAGGTTCTTACAGGGTAACTCTTCGGGGTGAATTCTCAAGATTTTTTCTATTGATTCAGCTCTGTTTATTTTTCAGATTATGGTGGGTTACAAACTCAAAAACAGTGAGAAACATTATATTATGTCCACTCATTATATTTATGAGCAAGAGTCGTTAGTTTTAAGTGGTGACAGATGAAAAACAAATTCTTACGACTTAAAGCTTGCGACTTACGACTCAAGAAACGTGCCAGTTATGAAACTGAGTTCGCTGAGCCATTTTCACTTGTGCTAAGTCAAAAAAACTAATATCATGAATATGTGTAAAACCGTATTTCCCTTATTCTATTAACTGAGTTCGCACAGTCAATTTTCAAAATGAAGCAGTTTTTGAAAATATCTTCGTATATTCGATGAGTAAATTGCATGAATCCACTCTGTGGATAACACGTGTGATGAGGCTCTAGAACAAGGCACTTACTTGAGAAAGAAACCACTGATTGTGGTTATATACCAAAAAAATAGTAAAAAACCTTGACTCGTCCATAAAAAAATGTCTAGTCGATGTAATATCGTTATCAGTAGGTTGTGTTATGTATTATATTCTTTAAAATTCTAGCACACGCTTTTACAACAAATCTCCAGAGACTTTTAAATTTTAAAGAGCGATGCAACTTGCATCCATCTACAGTTAAATAAATCAGAGTGTTATCAAAACTATCCGTAATAACGTCTCGTTAGAGCTTGCACAATTATCCTAGTAGTGACTTACCAACGAGTTCTATTTCACATTTCAAAATTTTAGAGAATTTATTTGAAACCCCCTTCGTCTCAACACAACATAACCAAGAGGAAATGAAAACAATGCAGGGTGTCAATTGTCATTTGTCATACTGTCAAATGTAAAAATGTTTTTAGTGTGTTCCGAATGACTTCAGAAATTATGGTTGTAAGGTTCCCCATTCAAAACATTTTTTTGAGGAGTAATTCACCGTTCATATACTCAGGACCGTAAAAAAGTGATGTATATTTTCTCGTACAGGGACAGCATCTAGGAACAAAAGATTCTGACCACGAATATCAATGATTGAAGTTGTGAATGCGAAGCCAATCTTTGACAGAACGCCGACTTAACCATTGTAAAAAACAGTTACTGGCCATGTACCATGTGTCAATAGATTGCTTGCGTCTACTAGCTTCTATCGCTTCAAGCTTTACCGCTAAATGTGGTAAACGGTAATGCTGAATTCAACCGAATATTTACTTCGCTGAATGAGCATCAAAAAGTGTTGAGTTGTGTACAGATTTCTGGTTCGGAACAGTATTCCAAACTTTCGAGAAGCCGCCTTCGCAATTCCAGCGATATGATTGTGCCAAGATATATTGATGTCCATTTTAACCCACAACAAACTTATCGAAGCAGAAAGCGGAACTGTCTGTCCTAACTTTTTTTGTAGAAAACCGATGCCTGGGTTTTCTTGGCATTGAATTCACCCCAATTTGATCCTTTAGATCCTCATTAGGATATGCAACCTCCTGCTGACGGTGAAGATGTGCATCTGCAGCCGATGTCCTGGTATCCAAATGGAATGACGAGACAAGTGTGCTGTCGTCAGCAAAGCAATATATTGGATTCTTGTTTTTATCCAATAAATCGTTGATATACAATAAAAAAGGATTGGAGAAAATATGGATACCTGAGAAACATATCTTTGGTTTGCACAGAACTAAAATCTTCTACTCAGAATACATTTTTGTTCTGTGGTAGTGTCATTCATTTGGTTGTTTCGGTTAATAATATGGACTGGCCGTGACATCACTTTTACATATATTCACTTGCAGATCACACAGCGTCTTGACCACTGCGTCACAGCTCCTTGTGACGAATCAAATCCCACAATTTTCACAATGCAACACGTAAAACATTGTAACGTATCTAACGTTGAGTGTATGAGTGACGTAAATGCCAAAACTTGAATCTCTTCATCTTTTGTTAGTTGTTGGAGTCAATGTTTCCTCTTCAACAGACTGTCCATATTATTACGTCACTGCAACCAACGTCATACGAACACGCCCTCTAGTACTTTAAGGTTAAACTAACTTGGCAGATTGATAGAATAAGTTCTTCAGTTGCGCAGTGTTGTTCATGTTTTCATGATGTTTTCATTATTTCAATGTGTAGTATCGCGATGATTAAATATTCTGTATGGTATATTTTATCGTAAAATTGTGATTAAGTACTCGTTTTAATGACATGAATTCGTCAAGGCTTCTCCCAAAAAAAATTTGTACCAACAGGATTTGTGATCCTTACTGTTTCGTGAATATTATCGACAAAAGGCCTTTGGGCCTGGGGAAAAACTTGGGATTCGATGATTTTGTTTATTGTCAATTGTACCAAAACTTCCAACAATGTGAACACGGGATTCCAAAAGGGGGACCAACAACGGAAACAGGAGGTATCTTCAATTTGGAATTCAGCCTTGACGGGTGAGAAATATCAATTTATTCATATAGGTATGTCCTGTAAGGTCCAAAAAAAGTTCCATGCAGAATGTCCTCTAAATAGATATGAACTAATTAATTATAATTATAAGTTTATATTATTATCACGTATCTGCTTTTACTCATTACTGGAATAATTATTAAATAATTAATGCCAACTTCCTTATGTTAATTGTATTTCTTAGAAATTGTTGAAAATTTCAATGCTTTTTTTTGTTGACTTCAGGAAATTACTCCTTGGTGCTTGTGAAAGAAAGCAAATTGTGCTTCATGATGCAGGGAATCAAAAATTCATCAGTGAAATCAAACATGCACACGACAGTTGTGTTAATAATGTGAGGTAAGTTCCCAAGCTATTAATAATAAGTAAGTAATGGTTGATTCATTGTCCAAGCTATTACTTATAATTTGATAGTAGTTTCGGGTATGTTCCATAACCCCATTCTTTGTTGGAAAATTGCTTTCGCTTAATTGATGCATGAATACTTTACTTTGAAGTGAAATTGACAAGTGAAACTCTCAAGATAGCGACTGGACGACATCTGGGAAAAACAATTAAATGGAAAAGGGGGTTTTGTGACGCATCATTTTGAAGCTCCCGACGAATACTTCACAACGCTAGAATATGAAGTCAATATCTTCACCTACTACAAAATGGCGGAACATTTAATAATTTCCTGAAGACAAACACATTAATATCAATACTTCTTGAAATATTCCTTTTTATCTGCCATATGGCAATTCCGTCAACCCGATAAGGTTTGTTATGTTATTTTTTGTTTATAAAAACAGAAAAACTGTCAATACGACAATGAACATCACTGTTCAGTTGAAGTGATACCAACCCTCACGTTTTCCGGGAAACACATACCCCATATCCAGAAAAAATTAACGTTTGGTCAGGAATATTGGGAAACCATATTGTAGGGCCTCTATTTATTGATCAAAACTTAATAGGGGAACTGTGTTTGAATATGCGGGAAACTACTGTTGACCCTCTCATTACTGAAATCGTCGAAGCGAATCCTAATGAATTCGATATTGATATCTTATTCCAAAAAGATGAAGCACCGCCACATTACTCCAGACAAGTAAGAAACTATTTGGATACTACTTTTCCAGGTCGTTGGATTGGCCGTCGAGGTCCTACAGAATGGCCAACCCGCTCGCCTGATTTGACATCTTTGGACTTTTTTCATGGGGTTATTTGAAGCAAAAGGTGTACGAAACAGTTCAACATCTGTTACTACAGACAGCATAAAGGAACAATAATAGAACATCCACTGTCTCCTTTTACTGCTTCTGGAAGCAATTCTGCATGGAACAAAATTGCTTCCAGTTCAACTAATACTACAGAAAGCATAAAGGCACAATAAGAGGACTTCCACTGCCTCCTTTTACTGATTCTGGAAGCAATTCTGCATGGAACATGAATTGCTTCCAGTTCAATAACTGTTTCTATAGACAGAACAAAGGCACGACAATGGAAAACCCACTGTTTCCCTTGCTTCTAGAAGCAATTCTAAATGGAACAAAATTGCTTTCAGTTCAACATCTGTTACTACAGACAGCATAAAGGAACAATAATAGAACATCCACTGTCTCCTTTTACTGCTTCTGGAAGCAATTCTGCATGGAACAGAATTGCTTCCAGTACAATAACTGTTACTACAGACAGCACAAAGGCATAACAACGGCACACCAACTGTCTCTCTTTGTTGCTTCTGGAAACATTCTGCATGGAAAAGAATTGCTTCCAGTTCAATAACTGTTTCTACAAATAGCACAAGGGCACGATAATGGCAATCTGCATGGAACAGAACTGATTCCAGTTCAATAACTGTTTATACAGACAGCACAAAGGTATGACAATGGAACACCCACTGTCTCTAGTTGTTGCTTCTGGAAGCAAATCTTTTATGGAACGGAATTGCTTTCAGTTCAATAACAGTTTCTACAGGCAGCATAAAGGAACAATAATAGGACATCCACTGTCTCCTTTTACTGCTTCTGGAAGCAAATCTGTATGGAACAGAATTGCACATGACAATGGGACACCCACTAACTCTCGTTGTTGCAATTCTGTTACATACAGATTTGCTTCCAGTTCAATAACTGTTTCTACAGACAGCACAAATGCACGACAATGGAAAACCCACTGTTCCCCTTCATTGCTAATCTGTTCATGGGCAGATTTGAATTGGTAACAAAAGAGGAGTTAGATTACTTTCCACGGACTTGGATCCGATATATAGACGGTGTATTTGCGATTTTTGACACAAAGAAATCAATGGTAGAAGACTTTGTTTCAACTCTCAACAATGGATCGCCGAATATTAAGTTTACACATGAAATTGTAAACAACGGGGAGTTAGTTAGATAGAGAGATAGAGGTGCATATGACATGCTCCAGGTTCAGATGAAAACACCTCACACCTAGCCTCTCATGTAGACCTACGACTTTGTAGGTACTTGTGGCAGATACCCAACGGAAAAACAACAACTAACCCAGCTAATGCCGCACAGAGAGTTACAGTAATTTCAAATCAAATCAATAAAATACCACTGCCACAACCAAAAACTACATCATTCACATGTTCTGCCATGTTTGAGAGACACTGCTGCAACCAAAATCCATGTTAATCACAAGCTCTCACACGTTTGAGAATAAAAAAACCGATATACCACTGCCACAACCAAAAACTACATCATTCACAAGTTCTCCCATGTTTGAGAGACACTGCTGCAACCAAAATCCACATTAGTCACAAGCTCTCCCATGTTTGAGAATAAAAAAACTGATTTACCACCGCCACAACCAAAAACTAAATCATTCACAAGCTCTTTCATGTTTGAGAATAAAAAAACTGATTTACCACTGCCACAATCAAAAACTACATCATTCACATGTTCTGCCATGTTTGAGAGACACTGCTGCAACCAAAATCCATATTAATCACAAGCTCTCACATCTTTGAGAATAAAAAAACTTATTTACCACTGCCACAACCAAAAACTTCATCATTCACAAGTTCCCCAATGTTTGAGAGTCACTGCTGCAACCAAAATCCACATTAATCACAAGCTCTCACATGTTTGAGAATATAAAAACTGATTTACCACTGCCACAACCAAATATGACATAAATCAGTTTCACCCAGCGTAGAATCCAGGTCAGCTTTTATATTGGTTGAGCTGAGGCCAAATAAAAGTATTGTATCACATAATAATGACCCATTTTCACAAATTCACCGAAAACGTTCGCTATTGATGGCTGCCAAACAAATACTAAACAACGCAGCGTCTTCAAACTTGAAACATATAGATTGTGTATTTTCTAATACAGTGATACTTTTCTAACAACTACCGCCATCTCTAGGTCATACCAGGTACTTCTGGAACCACATCAATTGAGAAAATGTATTTTTTGTCATTAATATGAATATGTTTCTACATTACGATTTTCTATTTTAAATAAAGACTATTATTATTATATTTCAGCCTAGTCTGTATAGGTTGATGCAACTTAGTGAACAATGCTTCCCAGTTGGAACAGTACACAACTATTTGTTTTCTCCGACGAGGAAGAGGAACAGAATCGAATTCATCGATGATTTCCCGCAGGAGGCCGAAGCCATTAGTTCTCTTCAAATACATCCTCATGGTTGGTGCGCCGTGTCTAGAAATTTAAATGGAGACGAAAACCAGGAGGTAATCAATATGAAATTTCAACAATATATCCCCATGTAGAAACTTTCCAGGTTATAATTTCCAACGAAACTAAAATTATGTCGAGCAACATCAATCCTAAAAAAGGGAGATACTAATGATTGCAATAACTATAGATTTATTACTATAACTCCCATTATATCAAAGATCATTGAAATTCTAGTCAAAAATTAGACTTCTTGATTGAAGGGGGTAGATACTTGAATGATGCTCAATATGGGTTCAGATCGGTGAGGTCTACATCACAAGCAATGACGGAACTTGTTCACACCATTGCCCATAATAAATATTTGAGCATCTGCACTCGCTTTGCGATCTATCTAAAGCATTCGACAGTGTTTCACATGACATATTATTCAGAAAACTTGGAAAATATTGTATTAGAGGCATTGCTTATGACCTAATACATTTTTGGAAAGTTTTTGGTTCCTTTCCCAAAAATTAGTCACTACTAAAAATATAACCGTTTCAAATTACCTAATACAGTCTNAAAGTAAAAAATTCTCTTGTCACCCAAGCTTTCTATAAGATTGATGAGGTATTCAACTGTCAGTGGTACTAATATACGTATGTGTGTGTATATATGGGTTTGTATATATCTGTGTACGTGTGGATATATATGGGTATGTGTGTATATACATGCATGTGTGTATATACATATATGGACATGTATGCATATATGTGTGTATATATGAGTGTATATGTGTGTGTGTATATGAGTGTATATGTGTGTGTGTATATGTGTGTATATATATGAGTGTATATGTGTGTATATATATGAGTGTATGCATATATGAGTATATATATGTATGTGTGTGTGTGTATATATATATGTTTACGTGTGTGTATATATATGTTTACGTGTATATGTGTGTATTTATATCGTTAATGTACATATGTGAGTCATAACTCTGGTGTTGTAAGGTTTTTCCTCAAGTACTGTATGTATGTTTCTTTATATTTTCAGTACCTAAGCAAATTTTGTTATTGCAGATATTTTCGAATGTAACAGAAATTGTAATTTGAAGTCAATAAAATTTCTCTCTTTCTTTCTACTCAACCCAGTATTTTTGTGGTTCGCATAAGATCTTCCAATCCAACGAGAATAAACAATTTCCGGTATATTTTCGTATCGTTTCTAGTACACCACCGTCCACGACATCCAAACCAGAGACCCTAAAGATTACGAAAACGCTTTTACGACCGTAATTGGTAAGGTTGATGTACTGGCTATGACTAGTATACAGTGAATTTCTTTAATGTCCCAAATTTCTATTTTTTGAGGTGACCCGTTCAAAAAATAAAAGAGGGGAACATTAAAGAAATGCACTGTATTCTTTCGTAAAATTTGAAGGCGGCAATAAGAAAATCCGTTGGTGCCAAATCTGGATATCTTGTGAGCTATGTCCTTTACCTTAAATAGGTACAGTTGTAAAATTTCATTGGTGCCAAGTCTTGAAGTCTCGGTGGCCTCTGTCCATTACTTTACCAACAACTGAAAATTCCACTGATGCCAAATCTGAAAGTCTTGTCGACCAATATCAAAAATTCAATTGGTGGCAAATCTGAAAGTCGCGATGGCCATTGTCCTTTGTTTCATATACAGTTGGTAATCTCTTTCAGGTACAGACTCCTCCTTCAGCACCTATTTCCGCCAGTGTCCGGAGCAGCGCACGAGAATAATAAAGAACCTCCCCCGCATGACGCATTTCATCAGGGAGAAGGGTGTCGGAAAGGGGTTCATCAAGGAGCTGTGCCTCTCGAATGACGGCCGGGTGATATTCTCCCCCTACGACAAGGGGGTGAGGCTGTTGGGCTTCAACTACAAGTGCCAGGAAATGTTGATGTGCATTCCGGATAAGCCGCGGCAACTGAAGATCGTTAAGGAGTTTGCCAATCGCCACAAAGATATCGTAGTTTCGTGCAAGTTCAGTCCAGTGCATCATCAGCTCGTGAGCGGGTGTATTGTAGGGGATATCAATTGGTACCAACCTGTGTTCTAAGACTATCGGACGGATTAATCTTTGTGGAGTTTCGTGTGCCTGTGATTTTATATAAGAAGCGTTTTTTTGTGTCGGATCATAATCATTTACTATTAATTTGTCTAAGATTTCAAACAAATGAACATTTCTTTACCATAAAGTTTATATGGTACGGTCATTTTTGTTTCTTTCCCAGTTCATAATTGTTTATAGAAATATTTATTGGTACACTGAAAAATTGCCAAATACTTTTTCAACAAGTAATTTACTCCACCGAAAAAAAAAAACAGAAAATGTGAGAAGCACACGAACTTATTGAAATCTGTTGATCCTTTCGAAGACGACGTAAACAAAAATTTTAAAAGGTGAGATAAATTGTTAATTTACTACGTTCATTTATCTGTTAGATGTCTAAACAATGACTAGAAAAAGTAGGAATACAAAATATTATTCGGCTAGCACAGCAATAGGTGTTTTGAAAATTACCAACAGTATTACTTTGTCTCAGCTACTCTTCCTTAGATGGCGTAGCAATAGTTTTGAGAAAACGTGAAATACTAGTTGACTTTAGCTATTGCCCGTTAGATGGCGTTGCAATATATTTTGGGAAATGAGAACAAAGTATGCTTATTTGTTTCAACTTATGTTTCTCATATAAGAAAAAACAATGATAATTGAATACTTATGATGCACTATTTAGTACCTTTGGTGTAGTAATGAATATAACTGAAGTTCTGTCCCAAACCATACCGTTATTTTTATTATTGAAATTTTCCTCCCGAAGGTGGAGTTTTGTTTTAGCTACTCCTGAAATACTAGTTTACTAGCTATTGTATATTAGATAACGCAAGATTTTTTTAGGCTCATTCATCAGCTGAAAAGTCAACACAAAATGTTATTCGACTTCAGCTATTACCCGTTAGATGGCGCAGCACTGGCTTCTCATAAATTAGAGACAGTGTTACTTTGGCTACTGCTACTTAGATGGCGCATCAACAGCTTGATTACAAAGTGACCTCGTTGTCCAGTAGATGGCACAGCAAGACTTTTCAGGAAGTTAACCAATTCCACATAGAACATGGTTCGAGTTTAACTATAACGTTAGTGGAACGGCGACTGCATTTTTCGAAAATAAAGTAGGATCATTCAAAAAGTCGATATTGTACTCCGTAGATTTTTATTTTGAATTTTATGTCTCGCATTTGTTAAGGTTGTCCTTTCTTCAGCCGATGAGGCCTGAGTTTTATCTTTGGGAGAACTACCTTCAAAGTACATTTGCTGTCGTGCCACTCTCTCCAAGCTTCGATATGTCTCTGTAATGTCACTAATAGCCAGGATGAGTAGGTGAAATCTATGGCGGCCATACCTGAAAATTTGAGAAATATACATATTAGAAGTCCAGGAAAAATCTCTATAAATGAGGAACTTTTTCTTGCCCATTATAATAGTTCTACAATTTTTACACTACGAATTTTATTCTTTAATATAACATCAGGTAATTACAAAACTTGATTAGATAGACGATTAATTTTGGTAAATAGCCTTGGAAAAGAGGTTACTTATAAATATGTTAGTTATTGGCATGTTCAAAGTACCTCTACTCACCAAACACGGCAGAAAACGCAATGATATGAGACGACAACGTTCCACTTCGAATCATATTCGACTTTACAAGTGTATCGCATATCATCATCAAGATATAAGTTGACGCTATGGCGCATGGAGTATAAATCGAAAATCCTACCACGTCCCAAATGATATCCCTCAAGTGTGGAGGCAACATCGGTTATAGCTAATAAAGGACAATGAATCTGTTACCTGTATGAGACAAACTAAGATGACATATTTCAGAGGCGTGCTGTTCTGTTTACTTGTGTTCCAAGTTCCGAGACATTCTGTCACATATGACCTTTCGTGCACCTAACCTATCTTCCTCTATAAAAATAAATAACAAAACAACAGCAAAACAAAGGTGATTCACTTCTGTAGAAAGCGAAAACTTCATAATAATCCCAACCTCAACATGAATGGAACACCTATACAGTATGAAAACAAAATAAAATTTTTGGGGATGATATTTGACTCTAAACTCTAAACTGAATTGGGGAGCTCACATAGATAATTTGATGGAAACAACATATCCCAGATTCGAGAGTTTTCAAGCTCGCTCACAGCCCACCCCACCGAGTACGGGGTGGGCTGTGCATTCCTTGTAGATGGACACCTCCATAGCTGATGGATGCACTCTACAACCAGCGTATACACAGCAGAATTATACGCTATATACCAGTCTTTATTATTCTGTGAATTCGCACGAAACGAAACTCATTTCCTAATTTGTACTGACTCACTGAGTTCCATAAGATCATTCCAAAATAAATTTACTCTTGACCCCCTTGTAAGGATCATTCTTGCCAGAACACAAATTATGAAGGAAAGTGGTAGAACTGTCAGCTTCATGTGGGTGCCTAGTCATTGTGGCATAAAGAACAAGGAGGATGTGGATAAGGCAGCTAGAATGATTGCTAACTCTAACGAATATGAAGATGTACCACTCCACTTAGAAGATCTGAAGAATTTTAATAAAACATATAGGCGCTGTTGCCAATATGTGAATTAGAAACAAATCCCTTTAAAAATCAAAACCCAACATCAATTTGAATATTTTTCGAAGTGAATTTGAAAAACTCATGAATTAAACTCAACTTTATTTTGTTCAAACTTGCATTTGCTGTGATAACCCAAATTGAGGAACATTCTCTACTAACTTACTGTGGTTCTCTGACAATTTTGTAATGATGCTGACATAATTCGCAGCTGCTGTGATTTGATTCCTTCAACCATCTTTCCAAACATTTCAGGTGAACCAGAGCGACTGTACCCCTACATCGACAGGGCGTCAAAAGATCGTCTAAACTTTCTCCCCCGTGACATATTCTGCAGATATACTCGGCCATAGAATTGGACTGAAATATTGAAGTCATTGTCAGAAAAAGTGCAAAAATGTTGAAAAGAACTTGTGAAAACTTGATGAAAATCCATATTAAAACTAATTAATACAGTTTATTGTGTGATTTGTGGTTTTTGTACAACCCTTTATAGATAGATAGATAAATTTATTGGTGTTTTATACAAGTCAATACATACATATTAATAAAATTGGCATATGTCAGGCATCTATTAATATTTAGATAAACAATAGATGCTTACAATTCAAAGAAAAAAGTGTTTTTATAAAAAACATTTATATCTTATAAGTACATCTGAGTTATGTCAATAAGCACACTTAAAAACAAAGCAGTAAAATTTAAAATTGGGTATTATAAAACACCGATAAATGTCTATATGGTTAAAGAACTTGAATATGTTAGGTAGATATCTTTTTTTTTGTAATTCATTGTGAAGTTTCACAGCCCAAAAATTTGGTCCATTTTAACATCTTTTTAAGCGGCAGTAGTTTGTACTCAAATCATTTTTATGCCTAGTGTTGTGGTGGTAATGTAATGAATGAATTTCGACATTCTCTCTGTAGTCGATATTGTCTAATATTCTAATTGCTTTCCGTTGTTGTCGGAATATTCTCCGTCCAGTCTGTTGTATGTCTCCAGGCGAGAATACCATAAGAAATAATGGATTCATACAAGGAAAAAATATGCCGTTTGAAGAGTTACTTTTGAAACTTGTCTTGTGGAGAGGTTTCTTACTTAAAATAGATTTCTCATGAGTTTTTTGACAGTTCATTTATGTGATTCTCCTATTTTAACTCACTGTCAAAATGACTTTCCAAAAATTTCACATTACTTTGCAAATTTGAGTAATTTTCCATATATCTTGGGGTGAATACCATGTTTTGGGTTTTTTTTTATTCAGATATAATTCGTTAGCATTGAACCACCTTTCAGTTTGTGACTGTGCTTCAGAAGATAATATAAGTACCTCATCTAGAGTTTTAGCATTTGTTTGGATTGAAGTATCGTCTGCATATAAAATATATGATATCGGGTTCTCCCGATGTGGTAGGTCATTAATGAAAATTATGAATAGTATAGGTCCCAAAATAGATCCTTGCGGTACACCAGTTGTAATTTTTTTCTTGTTGATAGGGAATTGTCCACTTTCACAGTTTGAAATCGATTTTCTTGTGTGAAAATCACACAAAAAACTGTATTAATTAGTGCAAAAATGTGTTTTTGTGGCAAAACAGCTGAAACTGTTCGAGACGAGTGTACAAACATTAAAAAATGAAAAATTGATAATCGAATACACGTAGACCGCGAAATTTCAACATTTACCTTATTTTCTTTCAACCGACCTCCTATAATATAATAATAATGAACCTTGTGGAACACCCAACTCGAGGTAGGTGTGTTTCGGAGAGACTTTAGTGAGTGGGAGAGAGAAACGTAATCGATGCAGTGAAGGATGGAAGGAGTATCGGGGAGATTCAAATAGCGCGTACCCCCTTGGAACACCGCCTCTCAACACTCGGGCCTTCACCCCTGAGCCCCCTTGCCGCGCACCAGTCACGTGGTCTTAGTGATCATCGGCAGCTGAGGGAAATTCAAATAAAAAATCTACCTGTCGTTCGTATGGGGGCGACAGCTGGTTAACGGAAACAGATTTTTTTTATCTGTAGGTTCCGATCGAATGTCATGAAAATTACAAAAAATTTAGCGCCATAAGAAAATCTATGGGAATTTGTGCTAGAACCCCTGTTGTTTATCTACTTTATTCCGTATCTCATGAGATATTGAAAATTTGCAAAATAGGGAGATAACTGCTTTCTTTTCTAGATGTTTACTGATTATTCTTAGTCCATAGGAAACTTTTCCAAGCTACGAAGAGATTTCCTCAAAATTTTGTGACCAGTTCAGCCATTCATCAATGTCAACACCCAAAAACTTGGTGTCACACAATAACTGAAAAGTGGTACTCTCAAATGATTTATCATTCCTCTGATGTTAGACAGTTTGCAAAAATTATCACTTTAGTTTTAGACTCGTTCAACACTAACTTATTTGTTTTTAACTCTTGAAATACACCGATACTACATTTGTGTTGTTTCTCTCGTATTCTGTTTAGATGAAGTTTATCAGGTATCTTTTCACGTAGGACACAGTAAAGCAAAGTTGTTGATATTTGAAAAGTTCAGGGAGCAATAGTTTTTCATATATCATTCCATTGTTTAATTTTCTTTAAAATATGAGACAGGAACATTCTTTAATCTAGATTGAAATGGAGTCTCTTGAGAGGAATTCGTTCAGTCACTTTGTCAAAAATACCATACTTGTGATAAATTGGTTGTATTGCAGTAGGACAACAAATAAATCCACGAACAAGAACATCATTGATAGATATCACAGCCATGGAAGCTTTGCCCTTGTCAAATATCAACTTAAAGAGGGCATGTGAACCAAAACTTGTATTCTGAATTCAATGGAATATACAATTCACATAGATTATCTTACTTTTGCTACTGGCGAATAATAATTAACAAGAGTTACTCACACTTGAGTCGAGCAGCGAAACAAATATGTCCTTTGAATGCACATGCAACTTATTCGCATGGGCAATACTTCGAGCTGAGAGCAATGGAAGAGTGTGGATTTTTCTTGCTTCAAATATGTCTGCCATTGTCGACGATCTGTCTTCTAACAAATCTTCTTCAGAATTTTCTGAGGGAAAAGCATCATTATTGAATTCCTCTTTGGTTTTTTAGGTCTCCTAAGTTGAAGATTCAACGAACCATTTTTTGTGATTAATTTGATTCTCATTCTCTGACTCGTACCATCAAGAAGAACAAAATAACTATTAATTTGAAAGGCTAAGCTTTACTCACCATACATATAAGAATTCGAGGAGCAGTTACTTTTAGAAAACAAAGCCACATCGGAAGAAATCTTCAGATAAATTTCCTGAACCTCTTCTATTTGTATCTCGTCTCCTTTACTGGTTCCTGCAGTCAAATCAGAACCCTCCCCTCTGGACGCATTTTTCTCTCGAAGCTTTTGGAAAGAGCTATATTTTTATAGGTTTACCAGAATAGATCAATTCAACGACAATTACCCTCATTTCTAGCAGGTGGATGCATTTGCTTCACAGTTTTTTTATAGTTTTTTGGAAAGTACAGAAACTCAGTCTACAGACTTAAGCAATAACCCATATTTGAACAACTCCAAGATATGATGGGAACAGTAAGTGAACACAGATCTACTTTGACGAATCTACCAAAAATATCGCTTGTTTTCGGAGAAACAAACACTTAGCCATAGTTGAGAAAAAATCCCTAAAACCAATACAGACTCACCTTCAGTGTCGGATAGATTAGTCGACTTGTGTATCTTCCTAACTTTATATTGGACACACAGGGAGAACTTTTTCCGAAAGAACAAATGATCATAGAAGTCTTCAATTCAGTATTAACAAATCCTCCTTTGGCGGAATGCCGTGAATTTGATGATTAGTATCTGAATTATATTTGGAAAAGTACGAGGTGAATAGTCGTTTTTTCAAAATGACTTGGAATAATTTTACAGCAAATTGAATTCTTCTCTTCTCTCTTGTCAATCTGAAGATGGATCTCGAAACACTTGAAATAGTATACAATAATCCGAATTCAATTTCATTTTATTATTTGTATACAGTAGTTTTTGAAGTTTCTACATTAAAATTACGCTTGAAATATATGTCTATTTGAAATTTGTTTTTGTTTTGATTCCAATTTCATTTCGCCATACTAGAGGGAACTTTTTTCTGTGGAAAATTTCAAGAGCAACACTTTAAAATATATATAAAAATCTTGGTATAACAGTTATAAATGTACACAACTGACTATTTTTTTTTATCTAATCACTATCACCAATTCGTCTGTATAAAAAATCATCACATTTTTATAATAAATATTAAAAATATATAACTGATAAAGATATCAAGCCTTGAAAATTCTGACTACTCGCACTACGTACTGTCGACAAATCGGACACTCTGCCAACTTCTTACCACACTCTGTGCATGTCGCGATATGGCCACATTCTAATAATACACAATCTAGGGGAGCATCCATGCACAACTTACACAGGTCTTGAACAGGTAAATTTTCTGGAATTTCTGTAACAAAAACGACAACAGATTAAAGATCTGTGTAACAAATTTTGTAAGCAGTTTCCCCATCTCTTTAAGAAACCTTGTCTAGTGACCCTGACTGCTGTAGCCAATTTAACGGAAAAGAAGAAGAAACCATATGACCGGTTTAGCTTATAGAGGGTTGCTATTTGTCAAAATTTTTGGCCGCCATGCTTTTTACGTCATTGGAGGGAATAATAGCGTAAAACTTGAACTTCAAAGAAATGTTTTAGCATAATCTGCGATATAATTTTTTTTTCGGCGTTATAATCCTGCATTCATTTGTTCAAATATACATCCTTGATGTACATTCAAAGTCAATTGTAATTATAATAATAATGAACTTAATCTTGTAAAAGTAAAGTTTGCAGGTTAAGTTACTTAAAAAAAAAACTAATATGCCCACCTTTTCTCAGTTCATTATTGTCTTCCCAAAGCCTTTCAGCTCTCTCAAGCAGTTCATTTTTTTCTATGCAACCTTTAAAGTCTACTCTGTTTAACGTCAGCAATATTTTCAAATCTTTGGAAGAAAGATTGTGTAGTTCTTCCGCGCTGCCGAAATCTTCAATTTTTGGGTACTTGGGTGGCAGGATAGGGCTCTCATTTGATCTATTCTCCTGAAACGCAATGGAAAAAGTTGTCGGCATTTCTCTCGCTATAACACATATACTCACCACGACAGGGGAATCATGAGGTTCGTGATACGTCGTAGAGGTAGTCGGTTGGGGCTGTGGTGGCGTGAACCTAAAATTGTCCCTGCTTTGAGATTGCGGGGTTGAACATCGGGGAGACCTGGATGGCTGATGAGATTGCTCCTGTTGCGGAGATCTGTTCTCTCTTTGCTGGGCACTGTCGCTGCTGATGACGGACTCTGAATTAAAAAAAAAAGGTTTAGACTTGTTTACTTCCAGCTGACAAGTTAACAGCCGCAAGTTGTTGATGTTTTTGTAATAAGGTTCAATTATGTATTAGTTCCCTATGACTTTTTCTGTTCTCGAACCTCAAAAGATTCGCTGGAAAAAAATGTGCCGATGAAAAGGTATCCGTCGAAACTGAGGCCAATGGGGAATGTTCCTCAATTTGGATTATTACAGCAAATGCATATTTGAACAAAATAAGGTTGAGTTTAATTCATGAGTTTTTCAAATTCACTTCGAAAAGTATTCAAATTGATGTTTCAAATGTTGGGTTTTAATTTTTAAAGGGATTTGTTTCTAATTCACATATTGGCAACAGCGCCTATATCAAGTTGAAATAATTTATACGTACCTAGATATTCTACTTTAAAAAAGGAAAATTATCTTTATAAATCAACAATTAAGGCAAAATATAAATTATAGTTCAATACCACCTCCACAAGCCACATAAACAACAGTTGTTTTGTTATTTATTTATATAGAGGAAGATAGGTTAGGTGCACAAAATGTCATATGTCACAGAATGTCTCGGAACTCGGAACATAAGTAAACAGAACAGCACGCCTCTGAAATATGTCATCTTTGTTTGTCTCATACAGGTAACAGATTCATTGTCCTTTATTAGCTATAACCGATGTTGCCAAATGGTGAAATAGAAACGAATCCCTTTAAATGTTGAATGCATTATTTCATTCCTCTTTTTTAAGTATTTGAATAATTTTTTAAAGAAAAAGGTTGAAATGATAAGTTTAAAATGCGTTGTTTTAGAGGTCTTTTATGAAAAATACTTGATTTTCGTCAGGAGGAACATTCCCCATTGTTATAATTGATTCTTATTATATTCTTTTTTATATATCTATAACACTGAATAGTGTCCCATTATTTCCACTTTATATTCCACAGTAAATATTGTATTGGCTATATTTCATCAATTTTAATCAATCTAATTTATATACAAACATCTTTTTTGACTAGTCCGATAAGTAACATATTCTGTAGTTTTCACCATACAATGTAAATTTTTTGTCATGAATTAATGATTCTGATTATGAATAAATAAAGTTTGGGCGCTGATTAATTACCGTAGATGAAATTTAGATACACCATTATACGCCCAAAATAAAAATACAGTCCAAACAGTGGACTGCAAAGAGGGAACCAGCTTACTCACCATATCTAGCCCCAAGCGACTTTTCTTTTGTTCTTTCATCTAAAAATTGCGCTCGGAGAACAGAGATTTTCGTCAAATGAAGAGGCAATCACCTTCGTGAACAATTATTTACCAGAGAAAAACTCCAAATACTATTTGGACAGGTTACAAAGATGGGAGCTTCGCTGGGAGAAGTGTGTAAAGTTGAAGGAAGACTATGTTGAAAAATACTCACCCCACAGTTCGTTCAGAGGTCTCAAATTTGGTACGGACCCAGCAAAATTGGCAGTAAGCTTCTCAACCCCTCTTTTTGGCTTATCTGGAATATGCTTATTGCAAAACAAATCAACCAGCTCTTGTTTCTCTGAAAAATACACACAAAAAACGTAAGAATAGTTGAATTGATAGAAAATATAACTTATTCAAAAAAAAAAAACTTCAAAGCAAAATGTCCACTTGGCAGTTCACAGAACCGCGACACTTTTCGCTATAAAATGACATCTTCAGGCGTCACAATACGCCTGAAGATACTATTGTAACGCCTGAAGATGCCATTGTATAGCGAAACACTTGTCACCGTTTTGTAAACTGCCAAGTAGACTTTTTGCATTGAAGTGTTTCTTTGAATACGTTATAATGGATTTACTTGTCAGTTCTATCATATTTTTGATAGTAAATACTTGGAAGCAGAGTAATTTAAAAATATAGCAACTTTCTGCTGCCTTAAAGACTTTCGAAATAAATCGTGGATATTCTCCATTTCAAATCAATTCAAATAATACTTACCGACCAAACCATGTGTAGATATATTTCGTTTATTTAGATAGTCTTGTAGATCTTTGGATTTGAGTTCCATTAATTTTGTTTTATCCGGAGGACGGTTGAGTAAGATTAGACATTTTTCACAATAGAGAACCCTACAAAATAACCTACATAAAACCTGACCAAAAGTGTAATTTTACTTACAAAAAAAAGTTTTTAGGTAGCCTTGGTCGTAGGTGAAAAATAAAAGTGGTGTGATAAAATATGGGAATAAATAATATTTATCTTTTAGCTGTATGAAATGTATGGGTAAAAAAAGGTATGTAAAAATATCAACTCATATTTATACAGTCCACTCAATAAGTAGGAGACGTAATAGAAGGCATAAGAGAACTATTTTGTAGAGAAAGACAAACTAGGTGAATTGAAGGGGTTACATTTTAAGCAGTGATTATTTTTAGGAAAGAAAGTTTTTGGATTTCTACTACTCCATCGTGATACAAAAAAAGATGTGGGAATCTTCCAAAGAAAGGAAGTAATCAATTTGAAAATAAACGTCATTCATGAATGAATTGTTATCCAATTTGGTACTGAAGAGCCTTAAGGCAAGTGTCTTACGACGAAACATCGATGTATACCAGTGAGGATGACAGTGTTCCATGTAAGTGCAATTTGTTACCAATCATTTAAAGTAGAACTTCTGTGAATGATATCTGAATTTATTCCATAACGAATGTTTGGAATACAAAATGAGTAGAGAAAAGTATCTTCTGTATAATTCAGTGTTCATATAAAAGTATTTGTTTCGAAAGATTTTTTTTCTTTCATGTAATTCAATGTTTATATGAAAGTAGCTGTTTCAGGAGGACTTTCTTTCAGTTTGTGTCTGAAAGTTACTTCTTTGCATGGTCTACACACCCATGTATAGAGTTACTTATTTTCAAATTGATTACTTCCTTCCTTTCTTTGGAAGATTCTCTCATCCTTTTTTTTGTATCAGATGGAGTAGTAGAAAGCCAAAAACTTTCTTCCCCAAAAATTAATCACTCCTAAAAATATAACCCCTTCAATTCAAATAAGATTCCTCTTGGCTGGGATTAAATCAAATAGGTGAATGAATGTCATTACGATGTCATCGATGACATAAGCAGATCAAGCTTATTCCGTGACATTCAAAATCGTAATTCATGAATGAAGTGTGTGTATTTTCTATAATGTTATCCAATTTGGTACTGAAGAGCCTTAGGGCAAGTGTCTTAAGGCGAAACACGTGTATACCAGTTAGGGTGACAGTGTTCCATGTGAGTACAATTTATTACCATTCATTCAAAGTAGAACTCATGTGAATGATATCTGATTTTTATTCCACAACGAATGTTTGAAATACAAACTGAGTAGAGAAAAGTATCTTCTGTATAATTCAGTGTTCATATAGAAGTATTTGTTTCGAAAGAATTTTTTTCTTTCGTGTAATTCAATGTTTATATGAAAGTAGCTGTTTCAGGAGGACTTTCTTTCAGTTTGTGTCTGAAAGTTACTTCTTTGCATGATCTACACATCCATGTATAGAGTGACTTATTTTCAAATTGATTACTTCCTTCCTTTCTTTGGAAGATTCCCACATCTTTTTTTGTATCAAGATGGAGTAGTAGAAAGCCAAAAACTTTCTTTCTCAAAAAACAAACTATGTATTGTTACTAGAGATGGACAAATGAATTGAGGTTGGAAAAATGTTATCAACAATAAGTAAAATGTAATTATGAATGAAATATAAAGAGAAATGATGAGAAAAAACAAAAACAATCGATCAAAGCTATTTCATGATTTTTTATATTGGATAACTAATAAGTGAAATTCAATAATTTTGTTGAAGTCAGGTTTGAACAATTATTTTTTTAAAACTCCTACTTAGTTGAAAACATGAAATAGTGTATTATTGTATAAAACACTTAGATTAATATTGAAACAAACCCAGAAAACACATACATACGAAGTCTGTTCAAAAAATTAAGTGAGTGTTCAAATTTTACGGTCTTGTAGCGAACATATTTTCACATTTTCAGCTGTTTGGCATGTTTAGTTTTTTAGTGAGACGCATAAAAGTTATAAATCGTTTGTTCCAGATATATTCTGAGATTTCTTCGGCTATCGGTATAGTTATATTCCCTGAAGCATAAATAAGTTCATCCAAATTTTGAAACCATTGTTTGTTTTGTTTCATAACAGTGTAAATCGGGCATTCAACGATGATATGAAATAACTTTTCGGTCTTATTACTATTGCAAACAGTACATATTACACCTGGATCGATCAAATGCATAATTCCATTCAATGTGAACTTAATTTTAAAATGATGGGCCATGCGTACCTGTGCTATGAAGGAACTAGCTTCTCTCAAACAATAGTAAGTAGTCTCATCTGGTCTACGAAATTGTAACTGTGTTTTTAAGTTTTTAATTTGTTAACAATTTTTTAGTAAGTCCTGAAGAAGGAAATAAACATTTCCTAAAGCTTGACGCAATACCAAAGAGTTTCTTTCTTACTCCCTGGCATCCTCAAAATTGACTGTAACCTCACAAACAGAAATCACTCAATGGTTTCAAAGTTCTTTCTGTATATATATGACTACGTGTTCTGACTAACAACAGGTGTTGATAGTGAGAACACGTAAAATTCATATCTTGTAATAGCTGTAATGTAAAATGTATTAAAGGTAAATGGTGTCCTTTACCTTGGGAGTAGTTTCATCTTATAAAAAGACTTTCCATTCAATAAATGTCACCCTTAGTTATACAGATATACTAAATTCAAAAGGTTTCACTGAATCGGATTTCTAAAGAGAGGAAAGCATTCAACTTGATTGGAAATGTATATATCAACAGCTTCAGTAATATTATGCGGCGAGGTTGTGTTATTGTTTGTTGTGGAATATTCAAGAATGTAACTTGTACTCACCCTTCTTTTCTCCTCAGACATTTATTGCAAAACTTGTCTTCGCATTCCCCGCATTTAATTTTCCAATTAAACAGATTGAAATCCGACCTGCACTTTATGCAAGGCATTTCAAAGAGCTATGATTCAGATTACTGCACTATCAGCAGACATCACAAAAACTGGTTAGATTTTTTGTTTGCCAAAACCTTGGATCAGGACACTGTGTGTAAAACAATCATTTTCTCAGCAATGAACAAGCACAATTGAAGCATTTTATATCGTTAGAAGTGGACTTCACTTATGGTAATATTAAGTATTTTAAAAACTTGCTCTAGAAGTATTTCAAGTGCTTTTCGCCTTCCAAACTTTCATTCATCATCACAACTTCTCCACCTCCACCTCGAATTGTCAGATTCCTGACAGCTCCACAGTTAACAGATACCAGGTACGTCAACGGGGAAAACATTTATGGATGGGGACGCTAGTGTATAAATAAATGGTGACATCGAACGGTAAAAAGCTGATTCGTACAACTGAATGTAAATCTGTTTGAACTCAATTATTCAATTAACCAGCTTTTGCTCCCCACTTACAAAAAACGTCAAAATTTCAAACTTGTGTGAGCTGAGGATAACCGAGGTCTTACCTTTTAACGTGCGATCCTTCCCAAAAACTAATCTAAAATCATTTTCATTTCAATTTGAGTGACAATTGTTATTGATGACCAAATCTGCTGAAATTACAGCTCATAATCTGTGGTTACACTGCCATTAACAGCTTATCTGTTCAGTCACCGCCCAAGATGAACATCTTTTTCTAGATACTAGTGAAATGTAACGATATTTTTTAACGGTTGCTAATCTTGCATGAGGTAGGCCGATCAGTGTGAAGTACCTGTCCATGTGACAAATCAAATCCCAAATTTTTCATAGGGAAATATACAACATGTACCTAAAACATCATGACGTTAGTGTATAAGGTGACGTATGGCATCTTTTTTTAGTTGTTGGAGTCAATGTTCTCTCTCTAATAACCAGTCCATATTTATTATTACGTCACTGGCAATATGTTACATTTAAAAAAAATCTAACCTATAAAATAAAATGACAATATAACCTAGGTTTATCTTTTGAAAATCATTCAGAATGTCACGTTTTAGCGGAGCCCTACAGATTACCGACCTAGATGACTTTATTACGCCGTCACAGGTACGTTAAATAATGTTCAGAATAAATTGTTATTCTAAACTTTTAGGAATGCATCAAACCAGTTCAAATTCAGAAAACTACAAGCTCAACTGGGTCCAAAATAAAAATACAGGAAGACGGTTATTTTCAAATTGAAGAGGTACGTAATCAGCTTCATTGAATTTTACTATGAATTTATAAAAATCCAAACAAACTGCTTTTAAAGTATGTAACCACAACACTGTTCTGTTCTTGAACTCTTTTAGGATGGAACGAAGCACAAGTTGCAGAAAGTCGAAATCACCCTGGCTGATTGTTTAGCATGTTCTGGTTGTATAACGTCAGCTGAGAGCATACTGGTATCCCAACAAAGTCAAGAGGAGTTATTAAGAGTATTTGAAGAAAACAAAAAGGCGAATATGGTACATTTCCTATGAACGTGTCTTTAATAATCACAATAATTGTTATTCATCAGTTGATGAGTAGAAATATAAAAATGAATATATATAAAATAACGTCATACAATTGAATATATATGAGTAATGTGAGTAATTAACGTACAAAACACAACTACGACTAATATTGATGCACACAGAAACTATATTATTATAATAAAAATGATGGATTTGTTTATTCTGTAAGAATACTTACTTATTTACTAAAGAAACTACTAAAATTCTACGTTCCTACACAGTAGAATCCACTAAATATCTGAAAGAATTTGTGTAAAACTAAAACTGTGTATCATTCACTTGTAGAATCTCGCCCGAGATATTCCTTTCTGGGGTGTATGTACTCCGGTCCATTTATAGTGTGTTTATACTCCAGAAGAGGGCACTAAGTATTCTTTGTAAGGTCAGGCAGCGTGATTTTTACAGGCCTTCATGTCTTGGGCACAAAATCTTGTCATTGTATGCTCTTTTCATATTGGAGACACCTTGTCTAGTATATAAACACAGAGCAGAACTTCCCTCAGTTTCATCTAATTATGCCACATGCCAGACTTTGAATTCTTTTCTTTGTCTACCTTAATTAATTTGGAGTGCATAATAAATCAGAAATGCAACTGAAGATTTTCTTGCGAATACTCTCTATTATAGTTTGCGAGAGTTTCATGTCGATAACTTTAAATTTTGTGTTAGTATAAATTTACACCGTCCTTTCATCAGTCTATTCCATCTTGGATTGATGCACCTCGCATTTCACCCTGGGTAGATTTGAATCTAATATTCTCTCTAAGTCCTTTGGTTTTATACAAAATTTGACGCAAGTATTTGGTCCATTTTTTTCGAGTTGAAAGGATTCTAAAATGTCTTGCAGATAATAACTTCATGAAGTTTTTTTACACCTCTAAAATGTGCTGGCACACTTTTTTGCTTTTATGTAGTTGTTTTGTGTATGTTTGCATTAATTTCAATCAATTTTTGCTTATTCCAAATAGATTCTTCATCATGTCAGTTCTGTTTCAGGAGGACGGCCGACTGGCAAAATTGATAGTTGTCTCATTATCCATCCAGCCTGTACTGTCTCTGGCACTTCGTTACGGCTTATCCCCAAATGAGTGTGCTTCAAAACTAACGTACTATTTCAAGCAACTTGGCGCCGATATGGTTGTTGATATGACGATTGCTGATGATTTTGCACTATTAGAATCACAAAAGGAGTTTGTCAGAAGACACCGCACAGTAGAGAGTCATGGAACGAAGAATGTCTTACCACTCAATGTAGCAAAAAGTTAGGTTAGGTTAGATTACTTAGGTATTCCTCCACAGAAATAACGTTTTATATAGTTTTCAAGTCTTGGGTTACAAGTCCCTATCCAACTAGCTGTCAAAAAGGGTATTGAAGTATTATCATTATTATTTTTCTTATGTTGGAGAAATTGAATTTCTTCCTTGCATTTCATTGAAAATTCAGACAGAACAGCACGGTTTATGAAATTGAAATCTACAGCTATGGCAACCAGAGAAAACTATATCAGAATTGTTCATGAATTAGATACAAAAAACATATAGGCATAGTTCAAGTAAACGATATACTGTAACCTACCTGCCAACAGCTCCCCTTTAATAATATAGTTAGGGAGCTAACTAATTTCGTTAATCAATAATCATTTCTGATTATATAAGAATCACAATAACTATAAACTATAAAAATAAATATGATAATATATATAATAAATATTTCATTTATATAGGTGAGTGGAAAAGTAGGGATTCAAATAACACGGTGATAATTTAAAATACTTCTGAATACTACTTAAAAATCTGTTTAAAATCTTACTCACATATATATACAATCCATCGCTTCAAAAACACTTCACTAACTTTCTTGGAAAGCTTCTGATAATTCTTCTTCCATATTCTCTGTTTCACTATCACTGTCATCATTTAAATCAATAATGAAATTATTTCCACCATTAATATGGAAGTGTCCAATCTCCATATAGTCTTTTTCAACTAAAATTACTTTTTCAATTCTTTTCTGCCAGTCATTTTTGGTAATATTGGATACTTCTTCTTTGATTAGCTCTATTACCTTTTTATCAAATTTTGGAAAATGATTTTTACGCCTGATGCTTTGTTTCAATTTTCCCCAAATCATCTCGATGGGATTGAACACACAAAAATAGGGGGGGAAGACTTAGTATGGTGTGTCCATACTTTTCAGCAATACTCTCAAGCATACACATTTTCAAATGTTTTTCTCTATAAAACTTCAAGTAGTTTGTTTTTGGTATAGTAATCTTCAAAATACAAATTGTTATCGATTAAAAAAAAATTTAAGCAATTATAACTGCACCAACATTGAATTTCAACACTCAAATCGCCATCAGTTACTGAACTGAACACGTCGGCGATAGCCATCCCGCATTCCCCGATTTTCATTCGTCTCCGTAACATGACGTCAAATTTAATTTTAGGGCTCTTCAGCCAATCATAAAACTCGGTTTTGGGAGAATTATTCAATACGAACAGCCACTTCTACAGTCCACGTGGACTAGTTCGCAGCCGGTTCATTTCTATGTATTGGTTTTTTTTTGGCCTTTGCGAGTGCCGCTAACTTCAAATGTGCACAATGTCGTTTACTTCGACTATATCTATCACAATTTGAGTAAGTTATCACGTGATCGTCTGCTTGAAAAAACCTCGGTTGTGTGAGATCAGGGAATATGTTTTCTGCTGGTTCAAATTAAATAGGGGTTGTAAAATGATAACCTACCTGCTGGTGTTATCATTCAGGTTTAAAATGTCAATTCTGTAATCCCCCTAACTTTAAAAGGAAAGAAATCCACATAAAATACACGACTCCCAACTTACATTTTTCAATTTGACCTAATTTTATTCTTTATAGGTCTTTGAAATCAATAAAAGTTGTTATTATTCTAGGGTGGGTATGCTACGCTGAAAAAACACACGGATCCTACATTTTACCATTTATATCCACGACAAAATCGCCGCAGCAAATCATGGGGTCTCTCATAAAGCAGTGGGTTGGTCATAACCTCGGGGATCGCCAGATTTACCACGTTACCGTCATGCCATGTTACGATAAGAAACTGGAAGCCTCGCGCCAAGATTTTTTCAACAAAGATACCCAAAGCCCGGAAGTGGATTGTGTGATAACCGCAAGTAGGTGAATCCGCTAAACATAGTTGGCAGATACATTATTCTCGATCGTTTCAGTCGAGTTGGAACAGATGATGGATAAAGACGGAGTGTCTTTGGGCTCATTACCGAATTCAAAACTATCCCAACCTTGGATTCCTAAGCCCGACAGCGACGTTGCACCTTCCCTGACGAGGCATATAGGATCTAGTTCTGGTGGGTACGCCGACCACATCTTCAAATATGCAGCTAGAGAGTTGTTCGGGGAAGAGTGCGATAATTTGGAGTACAAGAGCTTGAGGTGCTTTGAAATATTGGCTGTATCGGCGATAGTTATCGTGGTGTTGTTTTAGGAATCCAGATTTCAAAGAGGTTTTGTTACAGAAAGACGGTAAGGTATTACTGAGATTCGCTATCGCTAACGGATTTAGGAACATACAGAATTTGGTACAGAAACTGAAGAGAGGAAAGTCGCAGTATCAGTATGTTGAGGTTATGGCATGCCCGTCAGGTGAGCATTTTCGCAAGCAGTATGGAAAGCAAGTATTTTTTGGGACGACTGGCATCAAGTTAACTTTTGATAATGAAGTCCTTATTAAGACTCATATTAGGGTTATTATAACTGTTTATTCACGGAATGAACCCTATTACTTTACAGTGATGAATTGTTACATTATCATCACCATCACAGCTATTACACAATACAACTTATGCTTCTCGTCCACTGGAAGCGGAAAGCTGCGATAAGTTGCGAAATCAATTCGTCAGAATTCGTACAACGAACGAACGATACAAACACCTGGATCGGTTGGGGACCGCGTCCACTTGGCCCGTATCGTTCGTCAGTTTTCGTCCGACTAGGTGGGAATTGTGAGCCCATCGCGTTCTGCTGGGATATGATTGCGATCTAGTGCGTAAAAAATTGCAATAATGTATTTAAATGTGTCTTTTCTCGTTCGAAAATAAAAAACGTGGTGGTCATCGTCGATTTGAAGATCATACCGCAAATGAGAAACTTCTTTCCTTTTGCGTAAATGTGATTCACCCACAGTTCCCGCCTTCGTCGATATCGCCTGTGCCTGTTACGACAATGAATCAAAAGTGGTAATTCCAAAGCAAAAAAATCTCCATCAAAATGAATAAAAAAACCCAAAGAACCATCTCACATACTATGAATCCGGACAAATACTGAGCAATGGACGATGTGCATCGAATGATTTCATATGAACAGCGTTAGGTGCTTGCAGCACCCTTCTCTGCAAGGGATTCAGCAGCCTCATTGCCTTCCAGGCCAGTATGTCTAGGAATGCAGACCAGAAACAATCTGTTAATCCTTCCTATCGAGGAGAGTTGTTTTTGGCAATTTGCTACCAATTTAGACGTTGCTCGGTAGGAGCCATGAGCAACGCCGCTTGACTGTCGGAGAATATTTTTATTGACTTGTGTATGAGGTTGGGTTCTTCCAATATTCGCACACAATTCAATTGCGTAAATTTCCGGTTAAAATAGGTTCCTAGGCAGGTTGATACCTCTGTGCCTATGGATATAACTAAAATATTAACTACATTGAAATTATTTTCCATCGTTTTTCCAAAAACTGCATTATTAATATCGCCGTCACGTAGTAACTCGCTATTGAGCCACTCACCTTGAACAAAGATCTGCAAACTGTCGCTTGAAATACAGTCGCATAGGTTCCTAGGCAGGTTGATATCTCTGTCCTGGGTCCGCGACTGAAAACACCTTCACTAGAACCAAAAGGTGTTTTTGATGCATCTGTGAACAAGCAACTATCTGCTCCTACTATTTCCTTCTCCAGGAGGATCCAGTCCTCTCTACTCGGGAACAATTGCACATACTATGCTCATTGGGAGAAATTCTAATACATATATCATTAATATTATTATCTTTGATTTCTTGTATTCTCCTTAGGATGTTTGAATGGAGGTGCTCAAGTTAGACCAAAGACCGGATCTACTGTAAGAGAACTGACGACGGAACTGGAAAACATGTACAACTCTCTTCCGTGTCAGTCTCCAGAGGAAAATAAAACCGTCATGGAATTGTATGAAGCTTGGTTGGGCGGTCAAGAAAGCGACAAATGTAGTTCCGTTTTGCACACACAGTATCATGCCGTGGAGAAAGAAGAGACTATGTTGAATATAAAGTGGTAGAAAATGTTAGCTACTAGGAAACTTGAGTTTCAGCAATGAATAGACGTTTTAATTATAAATAAATGTATATTAACTTGAACAAACACTGGGGAAAACTTATTATCCTAAGGAATATTTATTTTGAATATAAAATATATAAAACATGAAAAACAGTAATTTTACAACACAAATCTGTAACATTACTAAACAATAATAAACAGTTTACAGTTACTTTCGAGTAATTTTTTTTTCTTAAAACTATTTTTATCTTATTTACTATCACTTTACAAATATGGCTGCCACCCAACAAAGTGTTTGCACAAGTTCTCTGGGTCAATGGCTTGTTGTATCAAAGTGCCAACCTGATGTTCAATACTTGTTGGATGGCCCAATTCAGTCCCTTGTAATTTCTCCCGAAGACGTAATAAGGCTCGTTCTGCTGTATTGTTGATTGCTGTGGCATCTGGACAAAATAAATGACAAGAGTATGGCTATGACTATGATCAATGTTATGTAAAAACTTTATGGAACCTTCAAAGAAATTTCGTCATGAATTGCAAAAGTTATAAACTTCAATTGAGATGAGAAACACTTCATCTCTTAAAGACGCCAACTTGATTCATGAAACCCGCGTCGGGAACAGTATTGCAGTTCTTAAGTTTGGAAAAGTGCTTGTTTTCAAATCTTTGGAATGTTCTTTCTTACCTTCATCACAAGTAGACTCGCTAGACAGGGTACTTTCATAGCTACCGTCATCGGTTTGACGTCTGTTGGCTTCTGCTGCTGTCACTGTCCACACGTACAACGGATCGTACAAAAGAACCTCCAGAATAGTGATGATAGTTTGCGCATTTTGACGCAACACCTCCATGGTATTTTCGCAAGACCTACAGCAAATTTTTTTAGTTAAAGAAGATTCAGTGAAATGTCTGAATTCACCTTTTGAATATTCCCTCGACTCCGCAAACTCCCATCCCGTCCACCATATCTCTCGTTAGTCTAAAGGGTACCGCCTCAGGAGTAGGTAGCACTTTCCCTTGCTCAAAAGCTATACCTATACAAATTTATGAAATATTTAGTTAATAAAATATAAACAAGTCATATTTTTCAAAGTATCTCCCAAAATCGAAGTTCTATACTTGCCAAAATCGATATGGACGACTTCCGCCGTTATTTTGTCTATCAGAATATTACTAACATGCCGATCTCCGATCCCCAAAATATATCCGCACATACTAGTGGTAGCGACGCTGTGTATATAAGCTCTTCTCCTTTCGTACCAGATCGTCGGTTGAGGGAAAAAGCTTTCGAAAAATTTATGAAATACCGGTTTGAAAGATCGGCAGATATCTTTGTATGTCTTCAGTTTAATTTCGACTGACTTTCCGGCACATCCCTGTGAAAAACGTTTATGTTGAAATATTTATAATGGGCCATTAATTGGTTGGATATAAGTTCATTATAAATGTACTCTTAAATCAGTTTCAATCGTTTTTGCAGATACATTATTTATATATAGATGAGATACATTCACACATATACAGCATTATGCATATAACCAACACAGAACAGCTTAGGATTTTATTGCGACAAACAAAGGCGACACACACTGTCTTTCGACAGTCTGAGTCTCTGCATGACAGTGGCCTGTGAGAAGGTCTGTGAGACATCGTATTTCGTCCCTACTGTAGCCCAACAACTGTTTGGTATCAAGACTCGAAGGGTGAATAATCGCCTTGGAATTAGCCAATCCTGGAAGATTCTGTTAGAAGTCCATAAATCTTCTTGCCATCCAGATGTTCAGTGTTTGTTTGGCAAAGCCCAAAACCAGAGACAATCTGTTGAGTCTTCCTAACGAGAAGAGTAGTTTTTGGCAGTTTGCTACCAATTTAGAGGTTGCTCGGTAGGAGCCAAGAGCTTTCAACACCGCTTGACTCTCCGCACACATATCAATTGCGTAAATTTCCGTTTAAAATACAGTCGCATAGGTTCCTAGGCAGGTTGATACCTCTGCGCCTGTTGATATAACTAAAATATTAACTACACTAAAATTATTTTCCATCGTTTTTCCAAAAACTGTATTATTAATATCGCCGTCACGTAGTAACTCGCTATTGAGCCACTCACCTTGAACAAAGATCTGCAAACTGCCGGAGACTTGTCGCTTGGCCGATAAATCTGATGCGCTCCTAGCTGCTTCTCCTCTCCCACCAGATACGAACCGATCTGCATGGTATCGTCCACCCATTCCAAGATACCACTTCTCATGGATAACGGTACTATTTTGTAGGTTCGTATCAGCAAATTTCTAGTTTGTTTATTGGTAGATAACAAATTGTTCATGATATTAAACACTTGCTGCATCACTGCGTCTTGTCGGAGATCGTCACATCCTTTGACGAGTTGTGACCTGAGCTTGCCGTCCGTTCCTCTACAAGTGATCCTCTTCGGATGGTGGATACCGCCCACCCGTCGGTATTCTGATCCAAAGGACGAAATACCTGGACAAACAAGGTGCGTTATATTAATATGGACTCCTTAAGATTAGGATTTCAAAGAAGGAACTTTGTTTTATGTCTAAATGTCAGCACTTTTTTTTTTCTACGAAACACCTGAATATCAAATACTCACCAACAATTTTGGTATAACTGGCTCTTTCGTCAACGTTCAACGTGTACGTAGGTACCAGGACATCGTCGAAGTCTCGTATTTTCATAATTGCTTGGTTTCTTGGAATGGTGTGCATGTTATTTTCGTTCGGAATCGGAAGGTAAGCCAAGTCTATGAGCGCCAGCGACAACTGCATTAGCTTTTTTATGTGGTTCCCCAATCCTTGTTCCTTCAGTTCGACCAACAATCTATTGGCCGTGGCAACCCTCGCATCGTTGGCAGACGTTTTGGTGGTGTTTCCGTACTCGACATCTTTGTTGGCGTTCGAAAGAGATAGTATCAACGGTAAAGTGTGATGCGGATGATCTTTCGCGCATTTTACGACAATCTCGTTCACAGTACTGCTGAAGAGATCGGTACTGGTGTCCGAAATGTGGGGTATGAGTTGCGGCAGCATGACGATGTATTTGAAAGTCGGAATTTTGGGAATCTGTTCTGTAATAGTGCCAACGATTTGATTGTTATTCCTGTTCTCTAGAAAGAGCGACATTATTCGAAATACCCTCATATTTTTCTCTTCGCTATGGGCTAAACTCAAAAAATAGTACCTGAAAAAAAAAAGTACCACGAATGTGAACATTCGATTTGCTAGGACAAATAGGACAAGGTCCAGGTACTCACTTTAAAGCTTTTTCCAAAAAGAAATTGCTCTCGTATATGGTGTTATTTATTTCTGTTTCATCTATGTTGCTCTGCCTATAATGTATCGATGCAGCTTGTTCTTCATCCTTGGTTCTTTTCCTCTGTTTTTTGATGTCAGATGCCGTTCGCCTCGCTTTTTCTATGTTGTTTTTTTTCTTTTGGAATAATTCCGATTGCATGTAGCTCTTTATCTGGAAATAACAAGTCCGCATGGTAGACTGAGATTGATATTCCATCAGATACTTACCTGTTGATACTCGTTATCTGCAAATACAGCTAGTTTGTCGTATGTATCCATCACGTTCTTAATATCCCTTTCGTTTCTTTCGACTCTCGACATGAGCGATATTGATTTCAGAAAGTAGTCTTTGATGATGACCATTCTGTTTTCTGAATGAGTTTCACTCATGAATTGACCAGACATTGTTAAAGCTGTAGCCCTCAGCCTGAAAAGTAGTTTTCAAAGTTCATTTACTTTATTGTTCCCACTGTGTTTATATTAGAAAACTCACTTTGGAGAAATAGATTCGTTTTTGCACAACTTATTCAGAATGTGTCTTGCCACAATAGTATTGTTCACCAACCAGGAGAGCTGAGCGTCCAATAATTGAATTCTCGTTTTCACGTTTTCGGTCAGATCAGACATGCACTTCAGATTTTCCAAAATCGCCAGACCTTCTTTGAAGTGCCCTTCTTCTTTTGCCAGACCTTGAATATCGAAAAATAGGAATTTACAGTATGTAGCCGTTAATGGTTATTCGTGCATTCAATTTCCGAAATACATTACATTCGCCGATAATATGTCTTTAAGCAACCATAGAGTCACGCTGAGCTACGCTTCCCTAGATACATTTCAATATCGGATATATATTAACTGTCTTATTTTGCAGGAGAAACGAATAGAAACAGCGTACATTAGTGTGACAAGTCTATGCAACATAGTGAAAGTTATTCGCCATCATTTTCTGATTGAACTTTGAGAATCCTTTTTCCTTTTGCAACTCACCTGCGAAATCCAACGTCGCCTCCACCAAAAACCTCTGCAGATTCACGTCAGGAGTCTCTCTCAACCGATCGGCGAGCATGACCAACCTTTGCGTAACGATCGGTTCGATATATTGAAAGTCGTTCTTTCTTACGAGCCTGTCCTGCAAGACCCACTTGTCAACGATAGAAGTGACATCTCCCTTGGCGAAATCTTCGATCTCAACGAGCGACTGCATCCTAGACAGGACCGGATACAAGTTCTGACAGCTCTCCAGGCTGGCGTGCTTCAAATGGTCGATCACGCATAGTTTTTGATATTTGAGAGCCTCGTCGAACGATCGGACGTTTTTGTCACGGAGAGACTTCAAAGCAAAAAACCTGTAACAATGAGGTTTGAATATATTTTTCAATATTATCATGGAACGGTTCTTTGTCTTTCATTGCTATCCAGAATCGGACTTACAGCCCCTCCCAAATTCATTTTAGAAGTTCTGAAACAATCAGATCGACCCAGCAAAAGTGCGGACCAATCAGATGTGAACATTCGCATGGACCGCCCACCCCTACCACCTACATCTCCACCGTCACATCGATCATCCTCCAAAATTACGACGAGTGAACATAGAGCTCGCCAGTCAGTTGTTGTTGAGACTTCGGGATATAACGTTAGTTCTTGCAGTCAAAGCACATACTACTGATGATGTCTGCCCGAATTTCGTTTTATCTAATTGCCACTTCGGCCGTGAAAGGGTATATTCTTATATACAGGGTAAAATTTATTTAAATTTTTAACAAAGCAGTTCTACAAAACTATCTCTAAACGAAGAAGTTTTATCTATGTAGATTCCTAGGAGTTTACCTGTACTTCTCGAAATCATCTCGTGTCATGGAGGAAGATACATTTCTCTTCTCCGACGTGGTCCACTGGCCCAGCCTCCACATACACTCGTACTGCGGCTCCTCCAACTTGTCGCCGCAGAGTAGAGGCATTTGGTACCAACTGCACTTTTTGAAGCTCTCCATCAATTCTCTTAGCGAGGTATGAGGCTCTGAGAATATGCGAGTTGCATAAAATTGCGTTACCTGATCCCATTTTTCCTGTTCTTTATAGTGCTCCACGCGGAATTGAGGTTCGAGAAGGAACGAGATTCCACATCCGGGCAAAGCGTTCAGGTCGCCAACTGCTTTGTAAGCCTGAAATTAAATCAATCGAACATTCTTCTAATTGGCAAAGTCTGTATGAAGTATAATTATCTAAAACAAAAAGACAGTAGTAAGTTCCCTTTTTTTATAATATATTTTCACATATTAGGTTAATTGTCTTACATTTACACCACTTGGGATGTTTCGAGTAGGTACACTTTTATGAATTGAGACAAGTAATTCGGGCACAAGTGGTTGACCCTTCTCAACTATATTTATGACCCCGTTAGTGATGATTTTTCGAGAGTTACTTCGAACACATTTCTTAGTCGAGGCATTCATTCTGTTCGGGGATTTCGGCCGAGAACTATTTCTTATTCAGGGGTTTCCGCCGAGAACTAACTCCGCTCCACAGTCTCCTCGCTGATCGAGAAAAGACTTACAGTTAATTCATCGAGGTTACCCTGCAATATTCTGTTTCGTGTTGTTTGTCGTTGTTTTATTGTTAATAAATTTTGTTGTTGACAAACTAAGTGTTCGTCTAACTAATAATCCACCTATCACCAGTCCCGACAAAATAAAACATGCTACAGTGTGATGACACTATCACAGTTGCAGGACTTACGATATATAGTTTAATAATAATTATAAATTTGATTTCAAATGAACATATTATCATATATAAATTTAGATGATTATATTGTAATGAATCTGAAGCCGGCCCTGACCGATTTCCCAGTCGCGAAACAGCGGGAAAGGTGTGGATGGGTCCCGAAATCCGCAGAGAAATCCGGAACGTTCGTTGACGATATAAAAAGGTCGCTCTCCGTCCGAGGAGTAGTCTGTACTTAGAAAGTGAATCGTGCGTTTAAGGAAAGGAATCTAATTGTGAAGATAAATTAAGCGTTAATTACTAAGTGTTGTATATAAATTAGTTGTGAAAGTGAAATATTGTTAAAAATTAATTTGATTGAGACAGTTAATTCCTTAATTCGTTACAATATGAGTACAATATTTGACTGATCTCACTATAAGTGGAACTTGATACATCTCGTTGTACAGGAGTTCTTACGAATATAAGTAAATGTGAACTGACTTGCAGTCCATAGAGAAAAGCCACTTACGTTTCTCAAGATGTGCTGTAAAGCTTCTCCGGCCTCTCTACCTACTCGTTCATAAATAAAGTCGATCATGGTGGACCGCTGTTCACAAAAGGCTGGGTTTTCATTTTGAATGTTTTCGATCTGTGTCTGACACCACAATTCTGTATAGAGAAGTGTTGAAAAATGCGCCGAGCAAAATTGGGCAGCTTTGCCAGCCTTCAAATAATCGATATTAAGATCTTGCGTGTTGGTGTTAGACCTGGAAATGGCGGTTATCAGTAACGGCTATTTCGGAAAAGGAGAAGACATACCTGGATCTGGGCTTGTTGAAACTTTTCTGCAGTCTGACGAAGCTGACGATAGCCAACATGCATTTCACCGACTTTTTATTGAGAGCTATTGATTTTTTATCTACAAGTTTCGAAACTGTCAGATCCCAATGTTCCGAAAAGAAAAAATCTATCATTTTAGACAACATGTTGTTGACTCTCGAAATATTAAAAGAAACCAATAAATTTATTAATAGTGGCAGAATCCGCTCGCTAAATTTCGTCTGAAATAAATGAAGAATAGCAATTTATTGTACTGTACACGAATTTTATTACGAATCTGAAGCGTATATGTTCAAGGTATGTATGTACATGACATTAAACTATATCCATCCAACAAACAAAGCAACCCAAACGAAGATAGATTCGTGATCAAAGCATGATGACCACATTTGCATCTATTGGGCAAAATAAACAAGCCAAGTAGCTGGTCAGTCAGTGTATAGATTTTTGGATGCTTTCGAAAGTCTTGAAATAGCGTTTCACCAACTTGGTTGGTTGGTTGTTGAGTTAGTGATGTGCGTGGTAGTTGTTTTTGTTTATGTTTAGAATATCTGTATTTGATGAGTCTGATAAGTTTTAATACTGTACTGTACTCTATAGAGCTTCATAGATAAATGAAGAACTAGAATAATGAGAACGCTCAATGTTTTCCAGCAGTGAAATGACATAGATTAAAATAACTTTTTTGTCCGAACTAGACGTCATTAGACTGTAATTGAATATCCTACTTCTATCTTGAATTGAGCTACAATACCTTGAACACCCTGTATACATAGATCAAAGCCGGTAGTAAGAAAACCATCTTTACATACAGAACATGACGGCTGAAAAAATTACCTTAACCTTACACATCGACGTTAACTTCTGTAAGTATGATTGGTTTGTGAAAGATTCCAGAATTGCGGATACCAGGTTCAGAATCCACTGTTTGTGAAGTGTTTCAGTTCGCGGACACCAGAGGGTATCATCAGACAACTTGGATACACATATTTCCACATCAATGTCTGAATTGGAAGACGGAGAAGACCGGGTCAACGGAAAATAAGGCTTTATATAATTTTTATTGATAGGCCCGTAACCGAAGTCCTTATTCGATTCTGAAATGAAATCATATTAGGCTCATCGAAACTCTTAGAGGTACTGTTCATGTTGTTTGGGCGGGTAGTTCCAGAAGTGCCCGGAACACAAAAATATTGGAATACTAAACAACGCAGAGTCTTCAAACTTGAAACATATGCTTTATAGATTGTGTACTTACTGACACCGTGATATTTTTCAAACAACTACCGCCATCTCTAGGCTAGGCCGGGTAGTTCCGAGACCACCCTGGTATGTGATAACATCATTCTTTCGATACGGATTGTTTCAACAACCACTTACCTGCGAGTTTTCTTCCTTCTTTGCAATCCAAAACGAGGTAAAAAGTTTCGCTCGCTGTCTTCACCACGTTCACGTCGCTATCTACAACATATTCACTCAGAAGGGAAATAACATTTCCCGTCAAAAGTTCAAACGGCGTGCACTGTAAATCAAAAACGGCCCGCTCGGGTTGCAGCACAAGGGTTTGCAAATTCGCTGGACCTAGCTCGCCCAAACATCGCACTGCTTCGAAGCTAACCTAAAATTAAAGAAAATAAACAGAAAATCGAAACACTTGACAAACTATTCCGGCGCTTACTTTCTCGTTAGGCGAGCAGCTCAGCTTAGCCAGGGCACAAACCAACCTGTGAAGGCAGCTTTTTTCGCAATCTTCCGAGAAGCCTCTGTTACTTTGAAGGTTGTCGTACAGTTCCATCACTTTGGATTTCTGCTCAGATAGCAGTTTTCTCAAATGGATTAAACTGTCCTGTTGGGTGGATACATCGTTGTGTTTCAAAAAGGAATTGATTTCGTCTTCAAGAGACACTCTCTTCTCGCCATATTTTATGCCCTCGTGGACCCTCCTGATCTCACTGAAGTTAGGGTGCTGGGAAAAGTTGTCGAGTTTCTCGATTTCGCTCAACAGATGGCAGGAATTGTCGACGATCAGGAAATTCAGGATATTCACACAAAGGTCACTTATTTCAACCTTGGTGACGGTATACAACTTCAACGACTTGACGGTGAATTCCAATAAATGTTTGAAAGTGTCCGAAACGTTCGGCAATATTTTTCTCAAAAAAGTATTCAAGAACATACAAGAAGCTTTCGTAATGCTCGGATATTCGTCATGATTTTCGATGAGATTGATTAAGCAGTGAACGGTGTCTCGTATGAAGTAATGTTGCCAATCGCTGTTGCTCCTCAGATTTTCAGTGATCATACTTAGGAAAAGCGTGTATCTATGTAGAGATTTCAATTTGTCTTCTGCCGAAATTACGTTGTATATGTTCAATCTAAGCGTCAGGAGGATCTTTTCTATCTTTCCGACATTAGTTTTCGTTAGGTACGTTACCAGTGGTTGGCTGTCGCACAAAAATGACTGAAAATCGATATCCAGTGATTAAAAAAAACTACTAAAATGGTGTGAATACAAGTCAAGCTTTCAGAATAAAAAACTGGAATAATAAAATGTTTGTTTACAATGATTCACGATGAATTTCATTAGTTGGGACTTCCATTGTCTAATATTATATAAAATGATTTGAAATACCTATAAGAACCAATACAAATGAAAACATTAAAAAGAATAGCTGAAAATAACAATACAAAACAAAAATTACGGTCTCTCGACGTGCGATTCGCTAACCTAGTTAGCATCCTTAGGAATTCATTATGACCAAATTTTACTACTGTTAGTGTTTTGATATGCCAGTGGCCGAACTACTACCTGTTAGTATTACCTAACTGGTATTGATCCTATTCCAAACTACATGTTTCTTTAGAACCTCTAATTTGTTATGTATTTCCTCTGTTAGTGATTATATCTAATACTTATCTGTTTTTTTTTTATTCTGGTGTTGGGAAAGTGTTTATATATCTTCATTCGCCAGAAGGATTTTGTTTCTGGACATTAGAAAACAAAAAGTTTAGTCATAAGATTAGGGTGCTTCTGAAAGCCTGATCACAACAAGGAAGATAAACACATTGATGATGAATATTAATGGAGTGGTGTTGGGAAAAAACTCCAGTAATATTCATTACTACACCAAAGGTTCCAAACAGTGCATCATGAGTACATTAATGATAAAAATACCTCGATAAAATTGAAACAGGCCTCCAGTTGAACTACCGTCAAGTTGCTTGTTGGGAATATCACAACTTCGTCGAAATGATCAAGAATGTACTTTTCATCTGTCAAGCTTCCGATAACACCAAGCGTTATTTGGTCCAGATTATCCTTCAATATATCCTTCAGAGAATTTTCTCCGACAGCAAAAGAGTAATACTTCAAAATGTTATTCTCCTGCAGTACCGCTGGACCAAGGTTTTCAACGTCTGCGCATAGAGCACGCGCGAAAACTTTAGCAGCCGTTATCTAGAAACAAAGCAACGTCAAACAACCCTATATTTATTTTTTCTACGGCACTTATACCTCTACGATAGCCTTCTCACTCAAACCGAGCTCCTTCGCGGCCGAAATAAGGTCTTTTCTGTCGCTCACTATGAAAAACGGAACGCATTTCTCGAAATACTTGAGATAGAACTCCATTTTGGTCGAACAATTCAAAAGTTTGAATTGGAAATCGTCGATGCTCCTGCCTTCGTTCAACCACCTTTCTATGATTCGTTCGAGAAATCTCTCGACGATGTTCGAGCCCGGTTCTCCCAGCAAACGTTCGCTGATAATTCTCAGTATTTTATCAACAGAATCTGAAAAATTCGTCAAGGAAATGAAAGATCTAATCATGCGTCTCTCACAACGTTTCTATATTGTAGGATCTGACAAATGCCTACCGTATAGCAGCTAGCTCCCTAGGTATTTATTAGCCAAGACGGGCATTGGAGTAGTACTCCGAAACCGATCTGTGCCTGTCGGATGTGTTCCAATGTCCGTTGTGGTATTAGCCGGGGAGGTGGCGATTATATAAAATGAAGGGTGTTTTTATAGAGGTAAGAACTTCAACTTGGCAATACTTTTTCAACTAGCGGCCATTTTGTCACCTGTCAAGTAATTTATGTTTAGTTTGGTTTGGCATTTCAACATGAATAGACTGACACCTGATTTTCACAAGCGAATTTTGTTTAGCGATGAATCTCACTTCTGTTTGAATGGATACGTCAATAAACAAAACTGCCGTATTTGGAGTTATGACGATCCTCACGTGTATGTTGAGACACCGTTACATCCAGAAAAACTGACTGTTTGGTGTGCTTTACGGGCTAGTGGAATTATTGGTCCGTACTTCTTTAAAAGCAATGCTGGTTACAGTCAATGGTGACCGCTATAGAGCCAGGATTACTGACTTTTTCCTTCATCAATTGAATAACCATGATCTGCAGAAGCTGTGGTTTCAACAAGACAGCTCAATATGTCACACAGCTCGTGCTACAATAGATTTATTGAAGGAAACGTTTAGTAACCGCATAGTTTCATGTTTCGGACCCGTGAATTGGCCTCCAAGATCGTGCGATTTGACGCCGCTAGACTATTTTCTGCGGGGATATGTGAAGTCGCTAGTCTACGCCGATAAGCCCGAAACGATTGACCACTTAGAGGACAGCATTCGCCACGCCGATATACGGCCACAAATGTTTGAAAAAGTCATCGAAAATTGTCTACCATGCCAGAAGACATATTTGAATTATAATGCCAGAAGATTATCTTTCGAATAAAGCAAATTTCATGTCAATTTAAAAATTCATCTTTGTTTTATTCCATTTCAAAGTTCTATCTAATATATAAAAATGGATGTTTGTTGGTTGGTTGGTTGGTAACTGATAAACTTCTACATCACTCAACCGATCATGATGAAACTTGACATGCATAAGTGTTTTTTCATAGAGAAGGTTTTTAGGCTATCAATTTTTCTGTAACTTGCCACAAGATGGCGCTGTAGAACCATTTTTTGAAAGCACTGTTCTATAATGCTGCGCACGACTAAGTTCGTACCTCTATAAAAAAACACCCTATACAAATGACACATTTTGTGAATTCACCTATTTTTTTAATGTACGAAATCTTCATCAGCGATACTATACATTCCTCTATCCACTTGTTGCAATGCAGAATGAGGCCGCCAAAAGTGTGTAAAACACTGGCAGTTCTCGAAACCACCTCGTCGATTCGGCGTTCTTGGGTTAATTCTCCTTCGACGTTGAAGACCTTGAGACTCTAAAGATTCAAAACGATTATCCAGCTGTAAGATAACACAAAAAGTATAACATACCATTTCGTAAATTTTCGAGAAAATCTCCTCCTGTCTGTGAAAGTCCGGCAGGTATGTGGTTTTCGAGTTCATTCGGAAGTACGTTACCAACGCATCGGCGGCTTTGAAGCGAACTTCTTGATAGTCGCAACTCAAGAATTCCGGGATGAACCTAACCACTTCGACGTCAGACCATCGGGCAAACTCGCTTCGTGGATCGAGCTGAAAAAATCAGTTTATGCTGAAAACCGGACAAAAATTATTACGGAATGTAATTTTTCCCACCAGAAGACAACTGTATATAAGATATTCAACGGGTTTGTTGGCCTTGGTCTGCAGATTGTATGCCCGACGTTTCGTCTACGAATGAGGTAGACATAATCAGAGGCGACAAGGCAATGGACGAAGTGCTCTACGAGGGTGGTTTGAAAGGTTTCCGACTTCGACATAGAGATAGCAGCACTAGTAGTTAAAAGCTAGTTAACTACGTTGTTCATCTGTTGACAGTTACTTACCAAAGTTTCAGCATTTTGGACGAGCAATTGTTATGTAACAGTCTTTTGAGTTAGTTGGTGTGAGTGTTTTTATGAAAATGGACAAAATCGAGTATCAAGCCGTCATTAAATATTTTCTTTTGATAGGCATTACGCCTACACAAATCAAAGATGAGTTGTATTATGTGTGAGGGGAATCTGCACCATCATTCCCCATAGTGAAATTTTGGGCAGCCTCATTAAAATGTGGCCGTAAGAACCTGGGAGACTTTGAACGTTCGGGACATCCAAAAACTGCATCTACCGACGAAAACATGGCCAATTTCAACCAAACGATGACTGCCGCAGTTGCAGTTGAAATGTTTGCAAAGAAAGCCACGGCAAAACCCGGAAACCAACAAAACATTGACGCCAGCCGTTAAAGCCTACATTCTCATATTTCCATAGTTCCAATACAGACCAATTCACAGGCAAAAGGGTTTCGGTGAACTCCCGGTTTTGTCGGTTTTGACCTGCATATTGATTTCATGTTTGTTAATCCAGAATTTCCTCAATCCAGTTTATAACATCATTAACAAAAGGAAGAAAAGCTTTTCCAATGACGGATCTGTTTGGCTTTTTCTAGGCATTATCTACTTAAAAAAATTGTTGAATCTGGTTTTTCGTCGCTCTTACAACTGGAAAATTGTACTCCTTACTTCATCTCGCCTCTAAAAATGTCTATGGCTGTTGTAGACGAAACGTCAAGCCCTGCAGACCACATACAAAAACCTGGATAATAGCTTGGACATATAAGTTATTTCATTACTAACCCGACAGAGCTCTTCCAAACATTCAAGTAATACTAGTGACACGCCAGGACCGTAATTGTGACGTTTGTCGTAAAAGGGTTTTAGCAAAGCAACCGAGGTGACTTTATTTTCTTCGGTGGAGATGGCAAAATGTGGAAATAAATCTGAAACAAAAAAATTATATATGCAATAGATACAAAACACACACTTCGATAGTCGATGCAACTGCAGTGTTGTAGTGTGTTAGGACTTTTTCTATAAGATGGGCACTCTACTGTCTTAAAAGCGAACTCTTAACTTTGACGAAACGAATGGGTTGAATAGTTCGTAGGCTAACACACAGATGGCACTACTAAAATATAATCCATATGATTTTTAGTTGACATTAACTTTCAACAAACACGAGTTTAATTTTCACAGCTGTTGGGCTATTAGTTTTTGGAGAGTTTGTAGGACGAAATCGCAGAAGAACGGCCCCATTTGAAGGGTGCCGTTTCATCAAGACAGTGCAAAGTGTCACAAATCAATGAAAATGATGGCAAAATCGCATGAATTGGGCTTCAAATTGCTTCCGCATCCACCGTATTCTCCAGATCTGACACCGGCGACTTTTTCCTGTTCTCAGACCTCAAGATAATGCTCTTCTTTGGCCTCTATAATCAGTATACCGCCCTCGCAGGCAACTATATGGAATAATAAAATCAAATTTTATCAAAACATTTTTTTACGTTATTCTACGAACTTTCCAGCCCAACTATTACAAAAGAATAACGTCTTATTGACAATAATGTATTATATGTAATATTAGTATCTATTAACGCAATCATCAATAATAAAAATGATTACTTCACAAGAAATAGGAATAATTTCCATAAAGCTCGAGCACGCAATACGAGCTCAATGAGAACATTATTTTTCGAGGGACTGAATTATTTCAATAACCTCCCAGCTGAAGAGAAACATTCGCCATCAACATGCACTTTCAAAAGGCATCTGAATAAATCATAACGTGTGAAAACTTCAATTATGGAAAGTTTTTTGCGATTATATTTCTGTTGTGCGTGTGTTTGAAATTTCGATACTGAATAAAATTATTTTCAATAATTTGTAACATTATTATGTACGAGCATATTAGGATTTTCCTGCTTCCAAATAAACTGATACAGGAATGCATTTTTAATTTGGCGCCCAACGCGTGGGGCACTTCATATTTTCAACGCATTAAAATTCTGTAAATGAAGTTTCTAATTAAAAAAAACATTTAAATACGTTATTCTAACAGAGTAACATCATCAAATGTTACTTCTCACCTTTAAGAATGTTCAGTATTTCTACAGCATCTAAGCTATACTGATATCGAGCTTGGCACAGTTCATGGACAGATTCCAATATATTTTCAAGTATTTTCTCTGGTAAGACACCTGGTTCCGACATCCTGACTGTTCTCAGAAACGTTTTGAGCTAGTAAAATCAAAACTCTAGATAAGCACCATGTTACAAACTTGATATTTGCGTAGCACATAATAAAAATTATTGACAGTTCTCAAAATACATACCAATGTACAGTCATTTTCTAAATTACAATTGTAATTGGGAACTGATAAAACTTCCAGGATATTTATTTGGTACTGGTTCAGTTCACCTCCACAAACACACCCGAAACTAGACAAAGTCCTGGTGATTTCCTTTTTCAATTCAAACCCGAGGTTGCACTTTTGTTTTTGATCTGTGAACATTTCTCGAATTAATTTGCGGCCTGTTGTTTTTATAACACTCACCTTCTTGAAGATCATTCAAAATCTGTATCAGAGCCTTCAGTACTTCCAACGGTACGAGATTTTTCAACTTGCTTTGCATTATTTTGTTCACGTCTAATGAAAAAAGTCTGTCCATGATTTTCACGAATTTAAGGAGATTTTTAGCCTCCCTCTCCGATTTGTTGTGGTATGAACATATACCTTTCAACTTCTCAAAAGTTAAAACCTTCTTGATCAGATCTATCAGGACGGAATCCTCGATATCCCTCTCGCCTACGATCTTAAAATCAATAAGAGCACTGGATATGTTCACCAGAAGTACGAGTATGCTGGCCAATGCTTCTTCCGATTCCGGACAGGATCGGACAAAGACATCCAGTAAGTTCGTCAAGGATTTAGCCGTATCGATCTCTACCGAGTATCCACCTTCGACCGCTTCTTTATTCTTGACTAGTTCTCTCGTAAGAGTACTTTCTTCCAACAGAGTTTTGAGATAAATGTTTTTTAGATCCTTAAATTTATCTTGGTTTCTAAACCCGTTTTCTTGACCTTTTGATGGCCACTGCTTCAATGTCAATTTGACTAGAAATTCCGCTGTCTCTTTACACAGCAGGTATGTACAATCTTTAAAATTTTGTGCATTCAGGATGCAGCTCATTAGATTCTCTTTTTTCAAATCGTCAGATTTGCCTATGCTGACGAGCTGCAAACCCGAGTCTAGAGTCCTGATACTCTGTGGGCTGATATTGAGAATTCCCGATGTGTATGTTTGTAGGATATCGTGAAAATCGACGATGTCATTCTTAATTAGCTTTGCCAGAAGGTTCTCTGTGGCTTCTTTGTGCTGATTCAAAGCGAATGCTCTACAATTTCAAAAAAAACATTCAAAATATGCAATTCATTACAGTACATGATAAAATATAAATAAAAAACCGTCAATACCAAAAAAAGTACAGATCCCTAATATGCCAAAGGTGATGGTGTTGAACTAGCCTAGAAGGATATCTGACTTGTTGTGAGTGTCAAGAATTTAGAACCCTGGCATAGATGATCTTAATACTTCATGCACAACTCATCCGGCTCGAAGGACCAGACACCACACTCATCTTCACGTCGAAATTTTTTGAAAAAAATACTTATCAAGGTTCTAAAATTCACCTAGTTGTGCTTTCGCCTATTACTTTCCACAACTTGTCTGCTTCACATCGACCAGAGATGGTTTTCAAATCATACACATCCAGCATTGTAGATAGACAAACGTAAATGTTTTCGGTGACGTTATAATCATTAGACTCGATCTGTATTGATGAAAGCAATTGCAACAGAGAAATATAGTCATCACTTTCTAAGAGTTTTGGGTATGTCTTTATCAGAGAACTCACTAAATGAATCCTGAAAAATACTCAATCAGTTTCATTGAATGGTTATTTTTATGTTGAGTTTACAGACCACAACCAACTTTTTGTTTGCTGAATGTTGTTAATGTAAGATTTCAAGCTGACGTCAATTTTTTGTCTCTTCTGGGGAATTTGTGATGTACAATCTAGGGAACTAGTGATGTCCAAGTCTGAGTACGTGAACAACTACAAAAAAATAAGTCCATAACTTCCAAACTTATGAAACATGAATTTTCTCTCACCTGTCGACTGATTTCTACGAATAATGTGGTAAAATCTTCACTTAATGTTACGAGCTCTCCATCAGTCTTGAAAAATGATGTATTCTTCTGACGAAAATCAAAATAGAAACCAATCTCCCTGGACAATAAACGGAATACAGTTTTTAAACATTTCTTCCATGTTATCCAACTGAATGCATATGCAGCCTGATGTCCCTCTTCAACACCATTAGGCTGATGAATGACCATTTGAAACAGGAAAAACTGAACCAGCAGTTCCTGAATATGCAAAAGTAATTAGAAATATCATGTTCTGTCAACTTGCATTTGATAAAAACTGACCTTGATTTGGTTCTCTCTGCCATTGAGTTCATACAAATCAACAAAAGTGGGTAACACATCTTCTCCAAACTTGCAACACGACACACGGTTATCTTTGGCCGTCTGAAAAAGAAACTGGGAATTCCTTCATCGGAGGTGGAATATGAGACTTACGTGCTGGCAAAAATCTAGAGCCATCTCCAAGGTACTCTCTTGCATTGGTTTAGGTGACAGTGGAGATAGCAACTGACAAAACTTAGTCATAAATGAAAATTCCCCTCTCAAGAAACAAGGAGAGAAGCCTGATGTTGGGCCCCATTTAATCACCAGCATGAGACATTTGTATATTATCATATCGTCACTTCTTTTCTCACTCAAGACCTTAAGAAATGTGTAAACCCCTCAAAAATAAAAAAGTAAAGCACACATAAATGTAAAAATCAAAGGATTCACTTACCCGCCCAATCATCAGCTTCTAATCTTCCCCAACATTTTGAATTTGATAGAATGTATTTTTGCAGTATATTCAAAAAGGTAGTGGCGTTACATTTTTTCATTTTGTAGTCTTTCATACATCCAACTATATACCCCACCAGTTTGGGGATATCAACGTCTTCAACAGCTGGACATAAAAAACACAAAATACAGGGCTTGGACAGTTCCACATATAATTTTCATTTTCTTACCTTCTCTGATTGCCATATCAATAACTTGTTCAAATAGATCCGCACTTGGAGATTTGGTGATGGCATCACTGTTTTTCTTTTTGGCATCTTCAATAGACTTATCAGAATCCTTAAAAAGATCATTGATACCATTAGCATTAAAAATAAGTAACAATTTACACATACAAGGTCTGTTGTATAAATATATAATAATAATGTCTATATATAATAAATTCCTTAAAGGATTGTAGCATAAAACTGATTTTTAACTATATTCAGCTTATATTATAGTATCACTATCAATGAGAACGATTGTATCTTCAGGGCGTAGGAGGAAATATAACGTGAAGGCTGCTGGAGATATATCACCATATTATTTATATACAGTACAAAGAGAGTAGTGCCTAAAATCTATTCTTATGGTACCCCCACAATGACAGGTTTCATGCCAAAGGTAACGTTTTTTTTTTGTTCTTTAGTGAATATAAAGAGAGTCATTGTAGTTTAGTTCTGTATTAAAAATGTCTGCAGATATTATTGCATAAAGGAACCCTTCATCAGGATTATTTCATAACTATATGAAAATTTACCTTTCTAAGGCATTCCTGGAGAGACGATATGACATTCTTCCAGCTTGCCCTTTTGCCTTCGTTGAGGATATTTATAACGTCTTTGTTATCTAGAAGTAAGGTCAACTTATTACAAAACTTTTTCCTGTCGGTTACTTTGCTGCTCTCCAAGTGGAAACAACAGTCTTCTAAATCACTTATCAGAGCCATTTCTTTGACGTGATGTGCTTTGAGTATTTCAGTAAATGAGATGAGTTATCAATCGTGGTGTCGTTGAAAAGTACCATTTAAATTTTATTTTATACAATCTTTAGCGCCATAAACAAAACATTAGAGAAATGACATCACTTCTTCTTCTGTTTTCCAAATCGATCACTTCACACTAATAGGCCTAACACATAAAAGATTAGCGACCATAAAAAATTCAACTACACTCCAATAGCGTCAAATAGATGTAAACGGCTGAACAAATAAGCTACAAAATTCATTGACGATTTTGACATTTAATCTCATCTACTTATTTGTACTATCCTAGTTTCTATTCGTATGGAAGTTGATAAAGGCAACAAATATCGATATTATTTTTCTATGATTCACAGTAACAAATGTGAATTGGCAACTGTACTCACTCTATACTACTTTATAATCATGCAGTTCTTTTTTAAATTGCCATGTGATATTTATTTGTATTCATGTAATAAGTTCAACTTGATGGGTAGAATTCGAAACCTCTGGCAAACCAACAAACTCTCTAATGGAGGTGATTGTTTTTAAAGGTATGTTCGTTGCGAAAAGCATTATGTTTCTTAGCTTTCAGTAACAAAAAACATTTTTACTTGAAATTAAATCACCCAAAAAAAAACACTCAAAAGTGAGAATTTTTGGACTGTTGGCAACATTTGCGCAATCATTCCCACCTGACAACACCGTCAAATTCAATTTGTTGACATCAGTTTTGTCAATAAACAAATATTCGCGCGTAGATACAAACTTGGAATTATTAATTCAATCTACAGAATTTAATTGAAATACTTGATGGCAGAGGGTGAAGTAAAGGAAAAAACTGATGAACATAAGAAAGTTGTTCACACCTACCCTCTTATAAGGGTGAGTCATTCTTAGTTGTAGAGATATTGATTGGAAGTTTTGTGACAAGAATAGGGGGTACTGGTCTGACAGATTGTATTTATCTTTAAGTAATATTGGCCAGTGTGGTAAATTCCAGCATAATAAATGGATTGTTCCCCTATATTTGTATACATTTTGATTGAGGCGGAAATTATTTATAATTACAGGATAAGACTGTCTTGAATATTTATAACAAAGAAAGATATAATCCTACATCTATGAAACATGTTTTTATTTTAATGATTTTTGTACTTGACAAACTTTTTCTAGCATTCAGACATGCCAGAGGAAATCAAAACGGAATCAATGGAACTGGTCGTAACGGCTTGTGAAAAGTTCTCTTCGAATAACGAGGTAACTCTTTCACAACATTGCAATAAAAGTCAACTACTCCTAACCGTGTTCTAGGCAGCAGCGAGAATGATAAAAGAAGAAATGGACAAAAAATTCGGCCCCCCCTTCCACGTTGTGGTAGGAGAAGGTTTCGGCTTCGAAATATCCTACGAATGTTCAAATCTCCTCTACATGTTCTTCGGCGGAAACCTGGCTATCTGCATATGGAAGTGTTGAGGTTCGGCTCCCAATTTTCCTAAATTCGTACTTTTTATATGCTCAGTAGGCCAGAAAAATCAAACTAGTCACGTGAATAACAATATACTTTATTTTTTTGTATAACTATAGAATATAGTATATAAAACATAATTTAAAATATTTATAAAGCTCTTCATTAGTATACTAAGAGTGTTCTAACTTAGCAGAACTCAGTCAATTTGAAATACAGGGTTTAGAAAGATTGAGTACAAATACTGAATGTACGACGGCACTGTATACAGGGTGTACTGAATGTCGAGAGTTTGGAAACGAGGTACAGGTTTTGGTGGAATTGTACACCCTGTATGCTTCTTCATCAACTTTCCTTGAAATAGGAGCTTTCAGTATCAAATATAGTTGGGTTAAAAATTCTAGCATAATTTTGGACTTGATTAGACTTGTTCAACATTTGTTCTCACTTTTGCACTGCAAAAATACTTCAAATTGTTGAAAAATATAGTGCTACATCATGATATAATCTCTCTAAATAAGGTATACAGTGTGAGTCGATGCAACTGTGTCGAATATAACTTATTTTTAAGCCAAAGAATAATAATAAAATTAATGTTAATTTGATTTTCATGTTTTCAATCAATACTTCATCTTTCGTTAGCATTTGAGTAGAAACTGAACTTGATGGAAATACTGCGACTTATCAAACTCTTCAGGATAATTGAACGGCATTTGAGATCATCGACAGAATTAAAAAAAAATTCAACAGTTCCACTTGCTTGCCCAATAAAGTCAACCGTCCCGTTATGTTTTTTTCGATAAACCAAATTGAAGAAACGAAAGATTGTTATTTCAGTAATTGCACAGTCCATGAAACCTATCTAGTCTAGTGTTATTAAAAATTACAAAATACAAGAAATATTTCACATCTAAATATCTTATTGAAAATAAATTTTTAGTTTTTCTAACTCAGATTCGATTGGGATTGGTAGCTTAGAATTTACAAAAATTTTACTGAAAATATACTCACTTTTTACGGACATTATTCATGTTTTTCGTTGTGAACGTTGAGTGAAGAAAAATTGGGAGTCATATTTGTATTTTCCCTAAAAAGTTTCAAAGCATATTAAAAACTTGATAAACTCTAAACAGATCAGATTTAGAATTCTGACTGAAGTGGGATAAATATAGTCTCGAGACAAGATTTCTATTTGAAAATAATACATTTCATTTTAAAATAAAAGTGATATCCTTGAAAAACTTCTAAATTCCGCAGCAAATGTCAGAATTTCAAGTTTTCAACTGAATTTTTTCAATTGCCAATTGAAATTCGCAAATAAAAGAAGACTCCAAATGTAGAATTTTCATACTGAGATGGGGAGATACATATGAAAGTTACAATTCCATATTGAATGTCATAATTTCGAGCTATTAAAAGGTGATAAAAAATTGGAATTCACAAATTTTAAAAAAAGAAAATCGCATGAGAAGTCAAAATTCAATCTATTGAAATAACTTTTTCTCAACCAGAACAAAATGATGTCTCTCGACGTGCGTTTCGCGAACCAAGTTGGCATCATCAGGAACAATCATCTACTGATGATACTAACTCAGCGAAATGCGCGTCGAGAATTAAAAAAAATGAATGCCATAATTATGGGATATATATGTCAAAAATCCCAGCTGAGAATTCTAGGTGATAATTCCGAAACAAAATTCGAATTTTATAGAAAATTATCTGAGTTATGGAGTAAAATTAAGTTTCGTAGTGATCCCCGACAAAGTCATCAAAATCAATATCGAAGACTTTTGACAAAGCCTCGTAATAACGAAGATAAGCCGCAACAGAGTTTTATCGATTTTCTACAAAATAAACAATTCTAAAATCACTCCCGAACAACGAAGAATTCGATCTTGTTCAACCTAGGTTAAAACTAAGCTTGATCCCGTGTTTTCGTAACATTAAAAAAAGGTCAACTTGGAATATGAAGATCGGCAGAAACCCCCCTACAAGGACGGCTATTGGCTCAAGGAGTACTTCGTTACGATGTCCTTCGTGAACTTGGCAAGGTGAAACGCTATATCCCTGACGTTTCCAAAATGAACTTCCGTCGATTTCATGTCGCCGTTCTGCTGCGACACTTGAAGCGCTAAACATTCCGGTTGGAGCCTAGAAACCAGCTCCAGCATCAGTTTCATCCTCTCGCTTTCAGTCTCCTAAAATGTACACATCAATGAGGGAAAAAGTGACCACGTCCCAACTTACTTTCGGCAAAAAGGAGGCCAACTTCACGATGGACGACTTTACTTTCTCTGCGCTAGCTGCGCATTCTTCTTTGTCCGGCTCTTGGATACTCCTGCACAACTGTTGAATCGTCCTGGTTATTTGCTCGGTACATTGAAGGATGGTCTCCCTGTTCTGGGACATGCTGTACAGGCTTTGAGTTACGTTCCTTCCAGACTCGCTTTGTTTTGCCTGGAATAAGAGGAAACTATGACACAAAAACAATACTTTTGAATTCAATATTGGATAGGACTATTTCGATTTGTTTTGATGCAAAATTTAGGAGCCTATTGAAAGATAATTCCAAGATACAGTATTGGTCGACAGAAAACCCAAAATATTTGATAGTAGTAGCGGAGGAAACCTGCAGACCATGGCTAATAAACCCGGAAACGCATGTAAAGGCAAAACTGTGTTTGGCCACAATGAAGGGATTACAAGAACCTCGTCTGCTTACCACAAAAAGAATTTCAATGCCCTGTTTTGAAGAACAAAAACAGACTCTACACAAGTTTTAGTGATTTATTTATTTATTTATCTACGGGCAAGCCCATTTAAAGTATATATTACAATGTTAAATTATACGTCTATACTTTTGCATGGAAGAAGCACTGATGCACTAAAAATTAGGGTAGAGCATTATATAGGCAAAGTTAAACAATGGTATGATGAAAATTTATTATCTTTCAATATATCAAAGACTTATATAATGTCCTTTAAATGTAACCTGGACCATATAATTCTTGAAGAACACATCATTGATCATAAACTAGAGAACAAATTTTTAAGCCTTGACACAGACAACAAATTAAAATTTGGAATGCATATTATTATACTATGCAAAAAAGTATCCTCAAGTTGTTATGCGATAAGGTCTATCTCTAACTCTTTGGACTATCGCTCTACTAGAAAAGCATACGTTGCACTTTTCGAATCCCACTTGTGGTACGGAGTTACTTTCTGGGGGAGCAGCTGTCAAAACTTAATGAGTCAAGTTTTCACAATTCAAAAAAAAAGCAGTAAGATTCATTTCCAGAGCTAGAGTCCAAGATTCCTGTAAGCCCCTTTTTTTAACTCATCACATTTTAACAGTCTACAGTCTCTTCATTTCAGAAACAGTCTGCCTAACACACAAAAAGCACAAAGATAACATCTCGAACTCAACTCAAAGTTATGCCATTCGTCTCACATTCAATATTCCTTCATTCAAATTAAAAATTCGATTCTTTATAATAGCAAAAAATATTTCAATCAGTAAATTAACATGCTACAAACAGTTTCGAAAAAGAGTAAAGAAAACTTCTGCTAGATAAAGCTTATTTATAGTATTGAGGAATTTTTTTCGGATGACTTCGCAAATTATAAAATTTTTTATCACAGACTTTTACCATAGACTTTTTGAAGTGTGCTTGAGCCATATTAATATCTCGTTTTAAATTCATGACCTTTATGTTAATGTTTCAGATTGTTTTAGTTCTTAAGCCTGCTTTGTCAACAAAACCTAAACTTTTATGACAATAAAGCTTTTCTGACTCTGACTCTATAATTAAAATAAAATCAGATAAGGTTCTGAATTACAAATTCCAACTAAGAATAGCTTAAGGGGTAATAGTCCAGTCAAATTAGACTAAAAAATAAGAGTGAAGGTACATAAATTTACAACAAGCTGCAAACGCGTGTAATTGTTCAAAACATAGTTGAAAATAAGATTTTTAAATTACGAATGATTGCGATGCCTGGAAAAAAATTTATTCGAGGTCAAAGGTCGGAAATCTCGAAAAAAAATGTTTTTTTGCGATTTTCAGGAAAACGGTAAGTTTTATCATAAAATAACCTAATGTAGATCATAAAATTCTCTACAAAAAATGTATCAATACTTTTTTTCTTAGAGCCACCGTGTCTGAGATACGACAAGTCAAAAAGTTGTAATCGGTAATCTCGGTTCATTTCAATGTTGAAGGATAAGTTTATTGGCGAAAATATATTGGTTAAACAGGCTAATAACGATGCCGACGTACTGATTATTGAAATAGCTATAGAGCAATTTAATTTGACAAATACGACTATTGTTATTGGTGAAGATGTAGACTTACTCGTACTTCTTACTGCTCAAACTCCACCTGAAAAAACTATTTTCTTTCTAAAGCCAGGAAAAGCTCAAAGTCAAACCGAAATATATTCGTCAAAAAGTTTATCTACTTTTGCAAAGAGTCAAAATCATGTACTATTTTTACACGCAATGTGATACGACGTCTGCATTTTACAGGAGGGGTAATCTTTAAAATGTTTAAAAACAAGATTTAGTTCAATGTTCTGAAGTTTTCAAAAAAAGTAATTCGACTCAACAAGAAATTATCACCAACGGGTGCAGTTTCTTCTTTCTATGTACAAAGCTCCGAAATCGATATGCATGTTTCGTGAAAAACACTAAAAATATGAAACAGTATCATAAACAAAGCTTTTCAGTTTACAAATTTATGAGTTTTCCTCTCAGAATCGTCCAAAAAATAATTTCCTCGTATATTCACATTTAGAAACACCCTGTATATTAGGATGTCTTTCTAAAAAATAAAATAAAGAATCACTTTCTTTTTTAATATCATCATCTATATCATCTATAAAAAATATATTCACTTCTTTCTTTGCTCAAGTTTGAATTATTTAAAAATTACTTTCAAACAGTGAACGACTATTCTTGAAAATCATTTCCATTAAATACCTGATTTTTCATGGCATGCCAATGCGGCACTTTCCCTAGTCCTTCTCTAGTTTCGTACATACTGGAAGGCCTTTGTATCCTCTTGTTTTGCTTGAAATCCAATTCGTCCAGTATCAGTCCGTTTGTCAATGAGTCCATATTCCCAGCCTGATTCTAAAATGACAATATTGTAATGCTGAATTTACCGAAACGTTTTGGACTACTCCAGAAAAAATTTAAATGTTTACACTTTTCTCAGTAGTTCTAAAAATAATGAGGAGAGGATCGGAGATATTCTGCTGTCGAAAAAAACTGATCTTGCCATCAAATTTTGTGTAAAACATGGAATTAAGAAACACTAATGCACTTACACACTAATCATTGCTTGTTCCTAATTTTTTTGACAAAAACAACACCGTAATCATGCTTCAGTCACTGTATGCACCAGATTTGTTGCCTTGCGACTTTCTTCTGTTCACAAAATTGAAAAGACCCATGAAAGAGCAGCGTTCTGTGACGATTGAGAGGATACAAACGGAATCACTGAGATAGTTCAAGGGCATACCAAAATGTGCATATCAGAACTACTTTAAGGATTGGAAAAAAGCGTATTATATCTGAGGGGAGCTATTTTTGAGAGGACAGAATAGAAATTGATGAATAAATCAACATTTTTTGAGAAAAATGAAAATTCACATCATTTTTAACATACAGCGCATATACAGGTTTTATTGGTATTCAATTTTAGATTATGGGCTGAAAAGTAGTCTTCTAGCAGGTTCAGGGAGGAGAAAATATTGGTTTTTTCAGGAGAAGCATCATCTGAACTAAAAATCACAGAGCAATCATCAGCATATTGCACCATAAATTCATTCACAGCGTCTGATACGTTTTTAGTATATAATATATAGAGTAAAGGACCCAAGATTGACCCTTGGGGTACCCCTCTGATTATTTTCTCTTTGATTGATGTTATTAGTTCGCCGTTTATTTGATCCCTTTGAATCAAGCACTGCCTTCTATTTTCTAGATATGATTTTATTAATTTGAGAGGCAAACCTCGTATACCAAAATTTGACAACTTGACACGCAATATTTCATACTCAACACTATCGAAGGCTTTTGACAGGTCCAAATTAACAGCTGTTGTAATTTTATTTTTGTTGATGGAACTTATTATGTTACATAAAGCCTGATAGATTGCTCTAATGGTTGATTTCTTTTTCCAGACAGACAGAAGATTATTACCTTCCAGAAAGGTTATTAATTTCATGTACATACATTTTCAAAAACTTTACTGATATTGGGAAGAAGTGCAATAGGTCTGTAGTTGTTGAGCTCACTTTTTTGGCCTTTTTTATATATAGCTCTCACATATGCTATTTTTAAATTATCTGGAAAAATACCCGTTGAAAAACATAGATTAATTATATGTGATAAAGGCTCACAAATCACATATGCTATATGTTTTAGTAATTCAACAGGGATTCCATCTTCGCCTTAGTATCCAAAACATCCATGTCAAGCTTTCGATGGCCCACCCTGTATGTACATAATTGTATACATCTATATGTCTGTCTATATCTACCATTTATTTTGATATGATAACATAATAGTTCAAGCTTTGTCAATAAAATTTTTGTTCATTCTACAATAAAATATACCTTGATTAATTCATGTATAAAAAGCATACAAGAGAAATCATATGACACCTTAAAAATTCAGCATGGGCTTGCAATTTACCGCTGACCAAGCTTTGTTTGACTTTTCTAAAAGACAAAGAATTTCTTAATACCTCTGAAATGAATTCCAACGAATCGAATCCGTTATCGCCATTCAATCTTGTCGTTGTTTTGCTCTGCGACAATCGTCCCTTGAGTTCCAAATTTTCCGTCTGCAGAGCCTTTACGCACTGCCTCAACTTGATGACCTCCGCTCGCAAATCTGTGATGGTGTTGTCCGAGTTTTTCAATTGCTTCGTTAACTGCTCCAGAATGACATTAGTTTTGCTGATACTGTCTAAAGACACTACACTATCTTTGTTGTTCGCCGACGGTTTTTCCGACTTGGGAGACTCTGAGGTCTGGAAGAGATTTTAAGGAAAATTACAAACCACATTGAAGATAGATATGAGATTTTTCTGTTTGTTGACAAAAAAACTATTGAAATACCTACAATTTTCTTCACGTAGCAATTTATTGAAAAAAAAAAACAACAAATTTGGTTGATTACAAGCAGCAGCTCGTCAGAGGAGGCAAGGGAGGCTTAGCCTCCCCATACAATTTGAGGCTATTCATCGCAACAAATTAAAAGATATTGACAAGTAATTATAAGCCTCCGACCGCTTTAAGAAACACAAGCCCCGCGAGACCGATCCAGCCAGCGACATACGTCCCGATTTGTAATTTTAGTTGCAGAAATTATAGCGTTAGAGGAGGCTAGCCTCCAGTTGATCTTCGTTAGTGTACGACTGCGTTTGTTTTTGATTTAATTATAAATATTGCTTTTTTCCTGCTATAAACATTGTTTGTTTCTTGGAAAAATAAATTGTTATTAATATTGTAATATCTTCAGTAGATTAAGAAGTTGTATTTTCTTATTTGTTCATTAAATCTAACTGTAATTGGTTTCATATATAGTTTTGATGAATAAACTGTATATTCATTATGAAATAACGAATAAATAAATAATTATTATTACCTCGTCTTCGGGAACCATGGCATAGTCGTCGTCATCTGATGGAACCGAATCATACAAGGGATCGTCATCTATGGTAGAGGTCTCTCTGGGTTGCAGGACACCTTCGATGTTGAAAAAATTACATATTTATTATAGTGGGCTATTCAAATTCGATTCTATGAGTGTGGATTTCGTGAGAAGGTTGGTTAAATTGTGGGACATTTGCCTATTATCAATCACCAAAAAATCTAGTTCTTTTGGTTATAAAGATATACGAGGAAATCCGAAATCCTATTTTTTGCTGTATTTTTTCTATTTGCAAAAATATTGAAAATTCGTTTCCATTACATTAATTTACAATGAATTTGGTATGCCTCTGAACAACAATCCTTTCATAAATACCTTTGTCTGATACCATCTGCCTCCTCTGAGTATCCACCAGGATGTCGTAAACCAAGCTTTTCAACTCGGGAGTAGTGAACCTGGCTAATTTCTGTCTTCCTTGGTTTCTTGTCGTCGATAAAGTTTGGTCTACCGGCAGGAAAGGTACGTCATTCAGGTCCGTAGTGTCTGCACAACTGAGCCAAGCTAGAGTGTGGATAATAATCGTAATATTTACCATTCGTTGCATTCAAAAAAAGGGTATATGATGGTTCAACAAAAATTAAAATGTTTCAAAGTATTAATGACTTTGTAAGAATGGTTATCAATTTTCATTCTCTCTATTGAACATGTATGTTTCATTTTTTATGTTACCATTGAAATTAGGCATGTACAAGAAACAGTTTGCTAGACGGACAAAAATAACATTGTCAAAGATATTTTCCAAGTTTGTATCTGCTACAAAGATAAGAGTACTTAGTCAGTTGCCTCATTGCCTCTGATCATCATATATCACAATATAAAAAGTTTTCAAAAGGATACTTACTGGCCTCAGTTTCTCTCCTGTCAACTTCATCGAACACATCCATGGCAAGCTCTTCAAACACATTATTATTAAGCTAAAATACAATTTTGAATCATTGTTAAAAATTTTCGGGAGCAAAAATTTCCCGATACAGACACGCCGTGACATAAATACAGTTTACCTTTTGAAGCTTAGCTAACGACACCGAATTCGACTTGAATCCCGTCTGGGGTATGAAAAAATGAATATCGTTGCTGTGATCTGGTTTACGGAGGGCCAAATAATAGCTGAAAGTGTCTGTCACTTCGTACTGGTTATCTATCAATCGACTGACCAAATCTTTATCGGCAAGATATCTAAAAAAATTGTGAATGTAAGTAAATCAACAAAAACTGTCACAAGATGACTGTCCGTGAAGTACCTACTTTGCATAATCGATGGGAGTTTTTCCTTGATTATCGGGACAGGAAGGGTCGGCGCCGTAAACCAGCAGCAGCTCGACCTGCAATTTCTGATCAGACTTGGTGGCGACATGAAGAGGAGTAGATCCCTTCTCCTAAAATACAAGTATTCAGTACAACAGTTGAAATATTTTTGTTCTTAAATACGTCATGAAAATAATTAGGGTCTGCTCCCAAGGCTAAGAGTCGAAAGGAGGTTTCCAGATTAGGAGTCCTAACGCTAGCATGCAGCTGCTTGCCCAATTCATTTTCAACACTGAGGAGACCGTCTTCATAGTTTTCCTTGAAGGCAAAAGCACACTGCTGGTGTTTGGCTTTTATATATTCCCTCTTGACACTGAAAAATCAACTAAATTGAATAGTTGTGATGCAATTGCAGTGTTATAAGAGTTTTACATAATAGTTTACAATATTAGGGGTAGTGTTTTAATGTGGTCTAATGCATATCTATCAGACTATGTCCAAAAGGTGAACTTTAGGGATCTGTCCTTGGTCCTTCACTATTTTTATTGTATATTAATAACAATAATTTTAATGAACGTTTCACTCAAATCAAATCTCTAACTCTGTAGCAATTATGATAAGGAAGAAACTGGTGTTGCTGACAAACTATTATGTAAAATTCCGGCAATTGTAGAATACGTAGAAACTAATATCTTATTCAAACTTGTGTGATTGTTACTGACCTTAAAGGATCTTTAGCATTGGGTTTCTTTTTCATTAATTTCGACCCGTTCTCTAACAGAGTATGTTCCCATATATTATTTGCTCCGTTGTTATTCAATGAATATACCATCTAAAAACAGTCAATTTAACAATTTGCACCAATTAATCAAGCAAATGCTGCATACGTTCAACTGATTAGGATGCCATTTACTTTTCAGCAGTGACTTGACCTGGGAGATGTGCCTTCCTAAACTTCGATGTATACTGCAGCATTGGGTGCATAATAAGATGCCCTTATTCACGGAGGCCCATGTAGCATCTGCAATTATTCAATAGTGATGTTAATGACTTAATTTCTACTTTTGTATTAGTGACTCACCCGCAGCTCCACAATCACCACACACTTCGATATTCTGCCTAGATTTGGCACGAGACATTTTAAGAAATTACAGATAAATAACAAACAGTTAGAAAACGAAATAAAATAATAAATTGAATAAAACAAAAATATCAACACAACAAAATACACTTCACGCCATTTCAAATGTCAGATTTCAGCCGTCACTGTCAGCTGTCCGTGTTGTCATGAGCGCGTCTACCAAAGATCAGCGATTGAAGCTCTATTTTGATTTGAATGACAGAAGGCAAGCGAGTTCATTCAGCGATATGTAATGCACATTCAGCGATAATTCATCTATTGATCCATTTGAAATATCTTTGATTTGTTTGACTAAAAATATGAATCGAAATCTTCAGACGATGTGGTGCTGCAGGTTTTTCCGGGTTTTCCTGCAGCTGAAAAAGCAAATGCGCCACTGGAATCAATTAAGTCGCTCCGGAGCGCTAATTAATTTTATTGTTGTTTTTATTTTTATCGTTATTTTACAATAAAAATTTAATTATTCTTTGCTGAATGAACTGAATTGGCTTAAAAATGTTATGTAGAGAAGTGAAGATAATTCTAGAAATGAGATTTCGAACTCCTGAGTTGATACATATGTGATAATTTCAATTCGATATGTAATTCATATGAAATCAACTTTGATTCATTACAATATATTGTTACAACTGCATCTTCCATCTTTTTCGTTAGTCTTGGTATTTAGTTTGTTACTGTTGGTTAAAAATAAAAATGAAACATAATAGGGTATTTGCTCAAGTATACATAAGGGCAAATTAGAAAATTAATCTCAAATTTATACAATGCGAAAGTCTAGAAGGGCTACAAAAATCAATAAGTTGACGCTTCTTCATTATCACAGTATTGCCCTTGCCAGGATGCGATATTTCATTTGATAAAAATAAATTCCGAAGTCCCAAGAAGTGGCGAGCTCACGTTGTCACAACTGCCGAGAAGCTCGCCAGCCCTCAGCAAAAAGGGTGGTTCTTAGCTTAGACACTTTTGATGCATGTTTCATGTCACTTTGCTTCTGAATTTCATTGTTCTGTGTTCTTGTTTCAATTCATTTTAGGTTATGTTGTGTAAAACATATTTTAAATAAAAGATTTGAAATCTTATTCGACATGCCTTCTTGTTCAACAAAATGTGGACGTAACGCCACCTTAAAAGTAAGACTTTGTTAACCATTTATTACTTCTATACAACACCATAAAATTTCAGAGACCAAAAACTGGCGATAAATTGTGCAAAGACTGTTTTTTCGAAGCCTTCGAGAACGAAGTTCACTTCACCATCACGAAGGCAAAATTATTCACCCCTAACTCTACTGTAGCAGTTGCCGCTTCCGGAGGAAAAGACTCCACCGTCCTAGCTTACATCCTAAAGTTGTTGAACGAGAAGTACAACTACCAGTTGAAATTGATACTTTTATCGATCGACGAAGGCATCACAGGCTATCGCGATGATAGTTTGGAGACCGTCAAGAAAAACCGAGATGATTACGCGATGCCTCTGAAAGTAATGTCTTACAAAGATCTTTACGGGTGGACCATGGATGAGATTGTAGCAGAGGTAAGTTTTTTTCGATGAACATTCAGTAAACATAACCGTCATACATTTTTCATATTTCAAACCTGATTTTATTTTTACTGTTTTATTGGACTTTGTTTTTCTCTTGCAGATTGGGAGAAAAAATAACTGCACTTTCTGTGGAGTTTTCCGAAGACAAGCATTGGATAGAGGTGCCAACCTACTCAAAGTGGACTACTTAGCTACTGGACACAATGCCGATGACATAGCCGAAACTGTTTTGATGAATGTCCTAAGAGGAGACGTTGCTAGATTGAGTAGGTGTACTTCTATTATTACAGTGAGTGATAACAAATAATATTAATGTAATAATTCTAGTTTTCAATCTATTTTTCTTTCTTAGGACAGTGGGGATGGCATTCCTAGAGTTAAACCCTTGAAATACTGCTACGAGAAAGAGATAGTCATGTACGCCTACTTCAAGAAACTAGTTTACTTCTCAACGGAATGTATTTTTGCCCCCAATGCCTACCGAGGCCATGCCAGGGTACTTCTTAAAGATCTAGAAAAAATTGATCCTTCGGTGATAATGAATATCATCCATTCAGGTAATTTATTTATTAGCTCGGTTAAACAGTTTGGTAAAATTTTGTTTTTCTGGCTCTTGCTAGTTTTGAAATGGTTTTTAATTAGGACTTGAACATTTTTGTCCGACGTTCATGAATCTGATATAAACTTGGAGCTTCTTTTAAAGATATGACCAAAAGTCAAAACTGTTGAATGAACAAACTACAAACAAAGCTCATTTTTCATGACAAAAAAGGGGGTTGCATTCCTGATCATGAGACACCACATTCATTTTTAGTTTTTCTACAGTGTCAACAGAAACAACGAAAGAGCCTCTAATATGAATCGGAAAGGATATATTTTTAAGAGAGATCAATTTTTGGTATATATAAACATTGAATTATACAAAAAGAACTTTTTTCTTATTCAGTTTGTACTCCAAACATTCGTTTTGGAGTTGAATCAGATATTACTCTCAGGATTGCTACACAATATAGTGTATGAAAGAGGTAAAATTTCACTTATACGACACAGTCATCCTCACTGGCGGACATTGATGTTTCGGAGTAAGACACCGAAGTCCAGCATTAAAGTTTTATAGTTAAAAAAAATTAACAATGTTTTAAGTGTTTTTTGACATGTCATGCTTACACTGTATGTTAAATTCGGGAATACATTTATTTTATTCATGCTATTTTGTGAATTTAATTGAAAACCTGTTGCTAATTGGAAAAATGAACATTTACCAATTTACGTTCTTTTCAGGGGAATCGATAAAAATCAACGAAACGGCCAATATGCCAACTCTTTCAAACTGTTCTCGTTGCGGTTACGTGTCTTCACAAGAAGTGTGCAAAGCCTGTGTCCTGTTGGAGGGCTTGAACAAGGGTCTCCCGAAATTGGGCATTGGCAAATCCAGCAAAGTCAAAAGGATACTGCAGGAATACCAACAGAAAGACAAAGCTTGTAACTCAAATTCTAAAGGATGCGACAGGGAGAAGGGGGTAAAAAATAAAACATGCTCTTCTTGCGCACAATGTATGGAACCTTCACAAACAAATGTTAAGTCTTTAGAGGAGTTAACAATATAATTTATATACATTTTTATACTATTTACAAAATAAATGAGCTGTTGAACGTTCAATGCTTTTGATTGAAAAGTCAAATCACATACGCTACGTTTTTTGTCTCGATGTTGGCTCGGCATACGGGGCACTGATCTGAAATATCCACAGAGCAGTCTTCGCATAGACATACATGGCCACACGGTAACAGAATGATCTGGAACAATGATTTATTCATCATCAGATGGTCTCAATTAGATTAAACTAACCTCTTTAGGATTGGTCTTGCACACCACGCAGATCTGATTATCACTCAAATCCTCGTCCCTCAATCTCCTTCTCCTCTCTCTCCTTGATTCCTCCAACAATAATTTTCGATCAGCGGCTTCTTTCTTTTCTGCCTTGATTTTCCAATATTTTCTCAGAATTAATCCCCCCACGACGACACCGATTGCTCCAAATATTATACACAGGAGCCTGTAGTTTTTCTTAGAGCCTTCCAGTTTTTTAATCAGAGACGTAACTTGCATGTTTGTTAGATAAAAGGGGGCACCGTTTGACGGAGGCTGGAGTTTTAGGGTTCTATCTTTTCCCAGAACTAGTTCTCCTATACCAGTTATCGTCACTCCATTCCGGAGCATTTTCTCTGTGGACTGTACCCCCCGTTGACGAATACCGGCAAAAAAGCTCCAAATGTGGTCAACGACGCTTGGCACCGTGGGGTGGAAGTTGTCAGAGATAACATCCATATCTAAAAACCAGCTGAACATTTCATTATCCGACCCTAATCTGAATACAATAAATGGATGATTTCAAATTCTGAGGAACAGGCTGTTTCTTCTTCTGCAACTAGATAGCATACTAACCTAAGACATCCGCAGCAAGCGGCTCGCAAATTTCAATCTGTATTCCCTTGACTTCCAGGGCGAAGGGCATAACATTGTGAACCTCCTGAATAACCCTTTCCGAATCCGCCCAAAAGCCCGTCGTGCTTCTCTGAATCACATGCTCCTTTATCCTCAAGAGCTGGACTACACCGGTAACATTCGGATTGCTGTTGCTTATTATGGGGTTCCCTAGCGGTTTTACTATTCCCCTCACCGAAACATAAGACAACTTTCCGTCGGGGTGAGTGCCGACTATGTCTTTCAGTTCCTTGCCAATTTCCAAGTAGGGAGCACCCTGTATCATCGCCATAGCATTTTTGTTTTTGTAATACTGTTTAATGCAAGCTGCGAGGATTAGGGAATCTATCCCGAGAGCAATGGATTCGGCTATGTACTCCATAGCTCGAGATTGAACGGGAATTTGAAATGTGTTTTCGAATGATTTTTGTCTCCCGGCTATAGAGCAGTTAAATTCCCAAATGATTAGTTAAAGCCATTTCATAACATAACCATCTAAATTTTTTGAAAGTTTGATGTTTTGACAATTGTTCTGTTATTTGTCAAAATTTGGCCTTGTTCATCAATATCACTTGCCAATTTTTTCCATTTGTTTTTATTATTTTCAAAACCATCTGCGGTCAACAAGTTACTCAAATGTAAATTCTTCACTGAAACAACATATTTTATAAAATTTCACTTCATATCAGCATATTATCTGTATTTCAGTTGTACCTTGTCAAAATTTGGCCTTGTTCATCAATATCACTTGCCAATTTTTTCCATTTGTTTTTATTATTTTCAAAACCATCTGCGGTCAACAAGTTACTCAATGACAGTTTCCAATATTTCAAATAATAATACCAACTTCAACTGTGTTACTTTATTCGCATAAATTAGTTCTTTACACCTAGAAAATAAATTACTCCCCCTTAATCTTCTTTATATCGGCGACCCTGGACTTGATCTCAGGTTGATTATCGCTCGCCAGATCCGTCAAAACCTCCTGGAACATTCTAATGACCGTCTCCAACTCCTTATCTCTCCCCCTCTCCTTCAACCTCGTCGCCAAGCAATAAACCACATTCAAGGCTTCCTTCCTCAACCTAACGTGCTTGGGAACCCCCAGGGCGAGCCTTAGGGCCAGTGTGACGTCGGTAACGATTTTCTCCAAACTCGCTTTCTCCATGTCTGTCAAATTCTCATCGCTGAGCAACGACAGCTTGTCCACGAAGCTGTACAGAGCAGACAAAACGCTAACTTGGACCGAGCGGGTGACGGAAGGCAAGTGCTGTACAGAGTGTTCCACGAAGAGCTCCCTATATTTCTCCTGCGTCGCTTTGCTGTGCTGCGGCCAAGCTTTACCCAGCGTTTCGTAAGCAGTTTCTTTGAGCTTGATCATGTCCTCCCTCTTCTTCGATATTTCCTCACCCGAGTCATCTTCATCTTTGTTGGTGGTCTGGTTCGTCAAGACTCTCTGTATGATGCCGTAGATTTCTTCGAACTTGTCAACGTCTAGGGAAGAAACTATTTCTCCCAGAGCACGTAAGGCGCTGTTTTTGTAGACGATCTCCTCTTTTCTGCTTTCTTTCAGTACTGCCTCCACTATCAACGATATGTCTATATTAGGATCTTCTTTGATTCCGTCTCTGAAAAGTTAAATGTGTTACTTGCTTAAAATAAATACAGAAAGTTTGAGACACCGCGTGAATTTCATTAAGCACTTTCTATCTTCAAGTTTAAATGATGTACATTTGATGTACTGCACGTAACGATCCTATTATTATCAACGAAGATGTGACTCAGTGCCCTACTGACATATTGCGCCATCTTTATTTTTTCTTTGTCGATACATTCTGCATTCCTTCCCCTTTCATTTGATGTGCTGAACGTATTATCAACAAAAATGTGACTTAGTGCCCTCCTGACATGTTGCGCTACCTTTATTTTTACTTTGTTGATACATTCTGCATTCCTTTCCCTTTCATTTGTTGTGCTACACGTTGAGATCCAACTATTATTAACAAAGATGTGACTTAGTGCTCTTCTGGCCGCTATATTTGTTTTTTCTTTGTCGATTAATTCTGCATTTCTTTCCCTTCCATTTGATGTGCTGTATGCGACGATTCGACGAAGATGTAATCACCTTCTCTATCGTACACAAATTGCATCTTCTCACCTCTTACATACGCCACACCTGCGTTCAATTATCCATTGAAAACTTTTTTATGACATCATGAAACAAAAATGAGTTGAGCGAAAAAGATAAGCTGACGTAAGCGCGCCACGTGACTGGGTGGTCTGTCTCGTTGAGGGATACGCCTGGTCGTCTCTCTGCCTGAATTATTTATGTCCACAGAAAATTCGAATCTCCGCCACGTTGTTCTGAGATGCAGAAGCGTCACTCTGATTAGCTGGCGAGCTGCGTGACAATTTGAGAACGCTACGTGACAATTTGGCACACTCTGATTGGTTCACCGCCTAACTAGCTGGGTGACAGGACACCACGAGACAATTTGGTGCACTCTGGTTGCCTGGGTGGTCTGTCTGCCTTGTATGGCGAGCTGAGAGGCAACCTGACTGGTGAGACGACGTCTCAGTCTGCCTGAATTTGGGTAAGATCTCTCAGTTTATGCTTGAGGAAGCTGTTGTATAGCGAAACGTGTCGCGGTTTTTGTAAAACCCTTTTATAGTGAAAATCATACAATAAACTGTATTGATTAGTTTTTCAATATGGATTTTCATCAAGTATCGGCCAGTTCTATTCAATTATTCAGTTCTTGGGTTACTTGAATTTTGTATGGGTGCAGGCCCAAGTCACGACGCAAAATTCGCCAAGTTGTGGTCTGCGAAAGGCCGAATTCTTGTGAGCGACGCGAAATCGTCGGCCTCGGATTATCCAGCACATTCTCACAGACAGCGGCGGTGTTTCCGGCAGATCTTGCGTTTCGTCGACGTACGGGTGTTGGTCGATAGTTTACTGAACCACCACATTGCGAATAGTCCTCTAAGTAGGACGATTATGGCGACCGTAAAATGGGCCTAAACAGAACACCTATTTTGATAAAATAATTTTATTATTGAATGCTATATCGGTACATGGTGATTTGGCAAAACAGACTGAATAAGTGACAATTAATTTGACGAATGTAGCTTGAACAAGATGGCCGGTTTCAATTGACAAAGTACCTGTTAGAAGACCCTTTAGATCTTAGAATCCCCCCTATGTAGATGGCACTTTAAGCACTTTAAACAGTTGTAAGGAATACGATAGAATATCAGAACAAATTGGGGTTTTGTCAACAGTTTTTGATGTGGTGACATAATTGGTGATTTTTTGAACCCAAATGTGGTCGTATGGTATTCTATTTGAAAGATCACGGGATGCTTTTATTTACAAGTATACTCACTTGCAATTGGAACAAATACTGGACAGGGCTTTCAAAAGTTTATCTTTTCCATTCCAAGTTCTCCCTGTTAACCCAGCCAGCAAAATCATTATCAAAGAATTCCTGTGATTGGCATCCATCGAGCTCCCCAGTTTATTGGCGACAGTGCTCACAGCATTAGCAGCCTTAAAAAAAGCACATTTGAAAATCCCGGAGACCATACTAACAATCAGAAATCAAAACCATATTTATAGAACACAAAAAGCAAACGGCAAGTTGGCCCTAAACAGCACTGTACAATCAGTTACAAGTTAAATCCTTTTCTAATGCCTGAAATTATCCTTGTGTTGAGAGGAAATGTCAGTTGGAACAATCGAAGAAATTCAATGAATCATTATCGAAAAGAACAAGCAGTACAACTCTCCTTTCCAAATAGGGATCACCTCACCTGTGCTTTAACAGTCCAAGACGGCGATTCCAGAGCCGTCTTGAGCATATCGCAAATGTTCCCTAAATTATTCCTGATGCCGGTCTCTGTGCCGGGACTCTGTTCCGACCAGATTTCGTTCCAGATTTCCAGAGTCCTTTCCGTCTCGGGAGTCTTATCGGCGTGCATGGCGAAGAATACGAGTGGCAATACCACATCAGCGTGCGACTTAAGCGTTTCCTGATTGTGGATGCCTATCGATTGGATGGTATGGGCACACGCTGATCTGATGGAGTCGTCTGAAACATTGGTTTCAATGTACTGTTATCATATGATGTTTTTGAAATTTTCAGGGAGGTAAACAGGGGTCTGTTCATCAGTTACGCTGAGCAATGCTTTGGCCAACAGAAAAATCACAGACGCTAAATACTAGGAAGCCATTATTCATAGTCAGTATCCCCACACATCAATAAATCATCATGAAATAATTGCCAAATTATTATCAAGTACCCTTAAGTTTCAATAAATTGTTTTTTTTAGGTATTGAAGGAAACACAATTCGATTCAAACCAGTTGAATATATTTTTCATATATTTCTCAAATTGCTTTTCCAAGACTTCAATGTTGGGGCTGTTTCAGACTATAATTGTGTCATCAACGAATAATGCCCTCAACGAGCACTTTTACTAATTACCAGAACTGCACTATTCTTCTAGACGAGCGTTTCACCAACCAAGTGAAGACGCAAGGAAAAATAAAAAATAAGCGTTCTTGTTGGTCACATAATACATTTCGAGTTATATGATTGGAAATATCGCTTGGATTGTTATTGAAGCGTTTATGTCATATTATAAGTCGCATTTTTTTCATTAGGGACTTCTTCCTTCCCGTTTGAAATATTCAAATAAATGTCCAATTCGCAAACATGGAAATTCTTCAATTGACTCTCAATCAGCTTGGATTCAGAAGGAGATCACTATCATTTGATCGGGTAATTTCATGGTTTTGACTAATGAATATGTAATTTAAATTATATCTGACCAAAAATAATAAAGGGTAAAACTGTAATGACAGGCGTCGAGAAGAATATTGCAGTTCTGGTGTATGAAAAAGGTGCTTGTTTTGGAATTATTCTACGTTAGTGGTTCCAGTTTTACCTTTTATTGGCAAATAATTCTACTCAACGTATTGATATATGTTNATCACTTGCCAATTTTTTCCATTTGTTTTTATTATTTTCAAAACCATCTGCGGTCAACAAGTTACTCAAATGTAAATTCTTCACTGAAACAACATTTTTCATCAAATTTCACTTCATATCAGCATATTATCTGTATTTCAGTTGTACCTACTCAAGAAGTGTTCTTTATATCTGAAGTTATAAAAAAACATAAAACTGAATCTAGGTATGACTTTCTGAAAAAATAAATAACCTAGGGTTTTGAATACTTTCAAGTTATGGTGTGACTCTAACCTATTACATTCAGTATAAAAATATGTAATTGAAAAATGGTATTATTGAAAATGATAATTATACCAGATTTTTAGAGCTTTTTTACAATTACAATTACCCGAAATTACACTGTGAAGGTTATATCTAACCCTTCTTGAAGTAACTTCCTTGAAGTGAAAAGTTTAGTATATGATGAAATTCAATATCAAATCCATTATTTTTTCTACTTGAATTGCATTTTTGACTATTTATGTGTTTGGTGAGTGTGATTTATTTGAATAATTTCAGTAATTTTCAGGCGTTAGAAAGATTGACTCAAAAAATCCTTTATTTTTTCTACTTGAATTGCAGTTTTGACTATTTATGTGTTTGGTGAGTGTGATTTTTTTGAATAATTACAGTAATTTTCAGGCGTTAGAAAGATTGACTCAACTAATTAAAGTAACATCAACATTTGAACTGCACCGAGCATAGTAAAGCTTGACTTTGCATGATATACGGAAAATACTGCAACAAATGTACTTTGAGCCAACACATGCAAGGAATAAACTGACGACCTAGATTCCGATATGACCTTCAATGACGTTGACATATTCTTATTACAGTTTTCTTCGTCACGTATCAGTGTAGCCAATAATGAAACGCCTTTGAACACTTACAATTTTACGTAAATATGATTAATTGAAAATATTTTGCTTATGTACTTGAGGTGAATTTATATTTATACACGGTCGATGAGAATGACCCGAAAATCAGATATTAAATATTTCATACATAATCTCTTGATAGTAAATCAACACACATTCTGCTTCAAGGTGGATAATAGTAAATACACAATAGTCAAGAAACATTTTTTTTCAACTTGACCCCCAAATAAAGGAAATTCGTTTCAGCAAAAAGATTATATTCCTTGTCTTACACACTATACATACAACAAATACATATAAGTGACAAAAACAGTAAGTAACGAAACATACACTGAGATCATGTAACAGTATCACAAGGCGTGAAAACTTGATTAATAACTCCACCAGTTTGTACAACCAAACAAATATCAATGACTCGATGCTAAAACAAAATTTTTGCTCCCGGAGATGCAAGTCCCATCGTGGACACTTAAAACAGTGGGAAGTGACGAATTCCAAATGATGTGAAAATGAAAAACTGAGTATTTTTCAATAAGAGTCGAGTGTATAATTTATACCTTCAAGGTTCCATTGAAATACTACACTTATTCCGTTTCTAAGAATTTCAACTCTTGAAAATTCATGTTCTGTTGTCTGGCAATAGTCGACTGCTTCAGGGACGTAACTTTATCAATATCTACAATATCAATTCACATATTCAAAAAAACTTAAATGCACTAAGGTACCTTTGTCATTCATCTTTAATAACATCTTGCCGAATATTTTAAAAAACAACTCCAAACCTCGTTTAATTTCAGATATCTCAAACAAATTGGTGGTTCCCCCAAAACCGGTTTTGAGAATTACAACAACTGGAACTCAGTTTGGCAACACTACATTCAATTCTGACATATTCAGTATAACCAACATAACTGAAGAAAATCCCTGTTGAAACAGCCATTCATTTAAAAAAAATGGTGAAATCAAAGTTTAGAGAAAACAGACCTGAACAAAAACGCGTATAATAGAAAGTGCCTAAAATAATTGATTTTGTTGGAGTAGAAATTCCTGGAGACTTCAATTATGGATGTCTTATCTGGGCTGGTAAAGAAAAATTGAGAAACCAAATTAAATTACTAGACAAAATGGGTACCTATATAAAGGTGAATCTGGTCCTCAAAAAAAATATTCTGAACATGATAAGATACTCCTGAAGGATAAACACATCCTCACAATTCGAATTTGCAAGAATCGCTTGGAAAAAGTATTTTGATAATTACAACACTTACATCACAATAACAGGGCAATTTTACAAAAATTCGAGAGACGAAGTAATCATGGTTTCAAATTGTCCCAATAGTTGCAATCAATTCAATATTGTCTTGTCCGACAAAGTGTAACAACAAAAAAATGCAATAACGACGTCAACCAAAAATTGCTTCCTGAAAACTTATACTTTATCGTTCTCCAAAGTATACTTAGGAGGCGCCTCGGGTTGATAATTAATGTTCTCCACGAAGAGAACAGGTCCCTGCTCTAGCAAACAAGGGTCTTTCTCTGGAGAATCATCATGTTCTAAGATTAGCTTATCGTCGGGTATATCAATTTCAGAGATTTCCTCTTCGGTACTGTTCCGTTTCTCAGAGGAGAAACTTAGCCACAGAGCTATCAACACGGCAGATAGAATAGCCGATAGCAATATCCACCTGGGGATACCTGAGTTGCGAGATGCACAGTCCAACCAGTCACCTGATTCCTTAACTCGTATTTCTTCCTCCGTTATCTCTATAGGCATGGTTCTTATGTGTGTTTCGGGTATTTTATAGTCCACGTTGAAACCTATTTCCAGCTGATTCCTGATACTGGGATCTGAGAACAGGTCAAACTCGATTTCACGTTCAGGACTTGCTAGAACGATGCTGTTCTCCGTCTCCAGGATCAACGTTGACACCAAATTCTACAAAAATACAATGATATCAGTGTGCCAAAAGGGAACTATCACTGTCTACCTCTTGCTCTTTTGCCATAATGCTGCAGCCCGTCTTGCAAATGTTGTTTTCCTCTTTCACAATGTAAGTCTCTTCACAAGCTTCAAAAGAAAAAAGTACTACTACGAAGGTATTTAACTATGGTGTACTTACAAATGAAACATTCCTTTTTTGTTGTGTTGATTTTTGAGTCATCTTTCAGTTTTATTATATTGAAAAACTTGCAACCTCTTTGGCAAACCACTTGTTCATAGTAATCCTGAAATATCAAACAAAATGAAATACTTTTCAATAATACATTCAAGTATTTCTTGTCTTTGAATAACAACATTTTTTTCAGTGCTCAGTATCACAATTGAAAAAACCATTCATATAAAGACCAAAAAAGGTAAGGACACATAACTGAGCCCTAAGGAATCCTGTATACCTACTGCTGTTGATAGATTCAGAATATGTTTTGTGCTTTAATTTAAAAAATTCTTACCAAATCCAATGCTGGTAAAGTAGTTCTCTTACAAATATTCACACACTGATCAGACCCCCAAAAGGGTGATGAAGCTGCATAATCCGCAAAAACTACAAATATTACAAAAACCCTCAAATCTTTCATGGTCACTTTAGAATTGAACTGGGAGAAATTACATAAAAGTCACACTACTGCTTTTTAGCATGAAAATCCTAAACGAAATTAAATGAATCAGTTATCACTCCCATCAATATTTTGATTTTGATTCAAGGTCGGGCTCATGACATTTCAGAATCTAATCAAGTTAAGGTCAATACACAGTCCTACGAAGATGTCAAAAAGAATCGATTTTAGACTCTAGGTAACTGAAACAGAACAAGCTCATATTTGTTTAGAATTCAATAAAGTTTCTTCTAGAAAAATGAAATACTGTGTTATATAATAACTTCATTTATCTAACACCCACATGTGAGAATCTGAACGGAAAATATGTTTATTTTTGAAAGATGGCCCGCGTCAAGTTAGTTTACCTTTTCGCCAGTAGAGGTAACACATTGAAATGTAAACACGCATTCGCTTCAATGGTGAAATGTTTTGATATTAACGAGCACATTCTCCCTTTCCCTTAAACCTATGAAAATTGCTTTGAATTACGAATAGAACTTCAATTTTTTCATAATACAAAATGGAAAGTGCCGAATTCTTAGACCCGCCAAAAAACGTACTCCGAGCGGTCTCTGGTGGCAAATTGACCTTAGTTCCAATTTTTCACAGAGACGGCCTCTCTAATATTGAACAAAACTAATTTTCCGTGGATGTAATCAAAGTTTTTTCAATGACATTTCACAATCTCAAAAAGAGAATAAAAAATCTCCAAAAAATCGATTAATGGTCCTTGCAGTCGTCAAAATTTAAGTATTCGATGATTTTAAGGATTTTCATTATTATTATCATTATTGATTGAAAGGTATAAACTGAAGGTGGTTTTTCTAATATTATTAATGATGATTCATCATAAATGAAGTTTATACTTTTATGATCGTATTCTCAGTAGAGTAAGTATTACGGTCGGCTCAAACCTTAAGGTTGCTCAATTTGTAAATTTTGTATGCATCGTAAAAAATTCAATCTTTAGCCCATTGAAGTTAACCCCCCACTCTGGCGGCTTAGAACCTTTCTAACATAGCTTTTGTCTACGGTTGGGTCCCATTCTCTCTATTTATTGAGCTTGGTGAGCTGATTTACTTGAAGTTCAGCAATTTTCAGGCGTTGCCACATGTATTGGGGGCTTTAGAAAGCACGGTCCTGGTCAAATGTGTCTGACTAAGAAAGCAATGACAATCAAATGTAAGAAGTAATTGCAGTGCATATCATCACTCAAGTTGAACTCAACAAAGCTTGACTTTGTTTTGTATGGTATCTATAGAGTACAGACACTTTTTCCACACCAGAGGAAAGGAGGGAGTGTTTTCAATTGATTTATTTCACGTCTTTATTGAATTAGTTCAATGGTGATCAGCTTCAGGTAACGAGTTGTCTATCGCCGCCCTAATACAAGACAATCTCAACCAACCATAAAAGCAAGAATGAAATATCGTACATAGCCCCATAGAACACAGACAAATGACATCGAATGTCTGTACAAATTTGACGTTCTATGTAAAAATGGGGGTTTTTCTGTTTCCCTTCAGTATCAAGTATCAACTCATCCGAGATCAACTCAGATAATATGCAGACGACTTCTAGAGTCATACTCGTTTTTTGAAGACAATACATGACAGTTTCCAATATTTCAAATAATAATACCAACTTCAACTGTGTTACTTTATTCGCATAAATTAGTTCTTTACACCTAGAAAATAAATTACTCCCCCTTAATCTTCTTTATATCGGCGACCCTGGACTTGATCTCAGGTTGATTATCGCTCGCCAGATCCGTCAAAACCTCCTGGAACATTCTAATGACCGTCTCCAACTCCTTATCTCTCCCCCTCTCCTTCAACCTCGTCGCCAAGCAATAAACCACATTCAAGGCTTCCTTCCTCAACCTAACGTGCTTGGGAACCCCCAGAAAAACCCGAAAACCAGCCAAAACAATCAAAGGTGTGTTAACATCGAAAAAGTTCTCCATCAACAAGCATCTCACCATTTTCTGTGGTTCAGACACCAACACTCTCCATATATTCTGCATCGACATCTGAATGCTAGGCGTGGGATCGAACTGGTACCTATAAAGTTTCGGTATGATGTCCGGCAGATGGCTCTTCAGAGCCTCGCCGCATTTTTCGGCGATGCTCGAGAAACCGAAAGCGGCGCCTTTCTTCGAATTCCAAATGGCGTTGTGATTGGCCAAGTGCATAAACTGGTAGATCAGATCTGGTTTGTTCAGATCGGACGCCAAAGAACAGAGCTCTTTATACGTGGTCAAATTGCCCCTGGAAATTTTAGTTAGAGAATTCATGTATATATAGTTAGATAGACATGTTTATTAACTTCATAGAATACATGAAAAAAGTGGCAGAATAAGTTGTCTGTGAAAGTACGTAACAAAATACAAAATCTAAAATCCTACATACGTTTCAGGAATGTGGACTGCATAAGTAAAAAATCAGCACGAGGAACTTTAAATAATCTTCATACAAAATAAAAAGTAATATGTATGACAGCTTAGAGGCAATATCATTTTGAGTATCTTCAATTTTTTTCCTTCGCTAAAAGTTATAGATATAAGTTACACAGAAATGAAGAATACCAAGTGTCTTGATATAAATCCAAGAGATAATTTTACTGGACATGATACTCAAAAAAAAACCATAGACACGTGTTTCGTGATTTTAGCTTATCATCAGTATGGTGCAGCCAAGTGCAGAGATTAGTAACACTTCTGATATTGTTAATGAACACACTGTTTGACGCTGGTTTGCGAAATTTCGTTCAGCAGATTTTAGCCTCAAAGATGAGCTCCGAATTGATCCATCTACAATGGGGAATATTCCTCCTGACGAAAATCAAGTATAACAACTTGGTATCGCTGGTAACTTGTGCCGTTTGCCTGGCACCAGAAGTCAGCTGCTTCACGAGAGCACTGAGCAGCTCCTCAGACTTGTAAATATCGTAAAGCACACAGAGACCTTTAGACGCGGCATCCTGGACGATATCTGAAGCCGAAAAACAAAATCAACACTGAAAAGATAACTATCATCCTGACACCAACCGTTATTTTCGCAAAGCAAACTCATAAAGGCGTCCTGCAACAGCTTCAGCCTCTGCGTGATCGGTCCCCTCTCCCCGCAACCTTTGATGACAGCCAGCAACCAGATACAAGAAGCCTGTTTGGAGTTGGGATGAGTTTGTTCGACGAGTTTGAGCAGCTCGTTCAGAAGCCATTCGAGATTGTCGTTCGGTTGGATGCCAGCTTGCTTAGGAACGTAGTCTTCCGGAAGAGTGGTCCAAGGATTCCTAGCTTCGGGAGACCAAATTCCCTGACAACACATCACCAAAGATTCGCCAATGGTGAAGTGCACTTCAACGTCTTTCGTCTGAAGAATAAATATGTGTTTGTGAATGTTGGGCAAACGAGGCGGTGTAAAGCGACTCGTATTAAAGAACATACCTCCTTTGCTGTGTTCAAGAATCCCTGCAATACCTCCTCAGTGTGGGGGAATTTCTCCCCAACACACAATAAACCCAGCGCTTTTGCGGCTTTTTCCCTTGCTTTTGCCGTGAATTTGGTGTTGTTCATAATATCCAGCAGGAGATTTACTATGTCGATTTTCGACACACCATCCGTGGCCATTCTTTTAGCGTCTGGGCTGCCGTTCTTCAACGGTTTTCCATCATCCAAGGGAAGACTGTGGACCCTACCCAGCAAACCGATAGAAGTACAGGCTGCGCCCATCAAAATGGGGTTTTGATGCTTCAAAAAGGGCACTAAAATTGCAGTAGTTTTTGAAAATTGGTATAAAAAATATCTCGAACAACTCAATACAATCAATCTCGAAATATCTAAAGAGAAACCTTTTATTTTTATCTCAAACACTCTCCTGTATTAATGAAATTGCTTGCAAATTATGTGAGTTTCGACTATTTGCAACATAATGAGTATTTTGATGAGCACAATATCAAAATGGAGATTGATTGGACTCAAAATATTCAAATTGCAAAAATGTTTATACAGAGTTTATACATTTAAAAATATGTTGTATTTGAAGGTGTATTGTCATACAGTATGCATAGCTACAGTGCTCTGCTAATGAAATAGTTCAACTTGATACGATATATAATGTAATAAAACTAAAAAATGTAATGTTTCTCACATATCGTTTCGATGCTGGACTTTGAGAGATCCCCCACCGCCACATCCTTCCCTTCCATTTTCAGGCTAATAATTTTCATCTCCAGACAATGGCCAACGGCCAACAGAGCCCCATGTTGAGCTTCCAAATTTTTACTATTCACTTGGCCCAACAAGCCTTTGACGGCCTCTTCAAATTCGTTATCGCTAGTAGAGAACGTCAAGACCATACTGTACAAGATGGCGCTGTATTCTCTGACCTGCTCTTTTGTAGAAGATAATTGGTCTTTTATCCACGACAAGTCTTTCGAAATGTATTGGTGCAAGTTGGGCAAGCAACCTACTAGCTCCACCATACAAGACAAAGGTTCAGTTCCTACAATATCAAATACAATATGAAATACAAGCAGAGAAAGTTGATGACACCAACCTGGGTTTGCGATCATGAGTTCCCTAACTAAGTTGGTATACTGCACTAGGGGGTTCTTGTTTTTGTCGTTGCCGTTTTGCTCTACCGACTGAAGATGTAAACTAATTTTTGGAGTAAATTCGCAAGGATGCTTGAGGATATTCCTGGTGAGAGGAACATCCAAGTCTTTCAGCAAACACAACCTCAAATAAAGCAGAACCTGCATACGAGAATCAAAAATAATCAGTGAATCACTTATGTTTAATGAATTCAATTCTTACCTCAACATACGTATTCGTGGCAAATGGTAGCACATGGTTTCCTTGAGTGAAAGATTTCGAGTTATTTTTCATGTTGAGTTCGGCCTCGCCAAAAATGTAGCTGGTAATTTCTTTGAAAGAAGGCATATCAACTTTCGCTTTTAACTTTTCCTGTGAGAGATCTACATCATTTTTTCTAGTAGTGCCATACAAGGACTTGAATGATTCCGCAGACACTTCGTCCTTACTGAAACATTTATAAACTGTCTACTTCAAAACAAAAATTAAGGATATCTCCATCACTCACCTATCTCCGGTTGCTGTTAACAACAAGAACTTTGAAGGAACGTGATTGGGTGGAAAAATAGTCGCCAAAGTCCTAACAGCTACGAACCTCACCATAGGTTCTTCTGATACAATCTTACACTTGATTAAAGCGAAAAGTATATTCAACCTCCCATCTTTGTCACACTCCGAAGGTAAAATATCATGTTTGTAAGCCAAGATCAAGTTCAGTAACCCCTCTCTGATTTGCAAACGCAGTTCTGGACTAGCGCTTTCCATGTTTGTGAAAAACATTTCCAGCAATCCAACATCGTGGTAGACTATTTTCGGAAATCTTTGTCCCAACATTCCTATTATGATGTAAGCCTGACCGTGATGTACTTCATCCCCTTCTTTTATCAGTTTCTGCAAGCCTGACAGCAAGACTGGCGCTACCTTACCCAGAGGATCTTCATTAGCGCTAAAATTGAATGACAAGAGTGTTTGATTTCATTGATTGATCGAATTGAACGTTTCTATTGAAAACACTTTTTCCACAGCATAACAAAAATACTGTATCACGACGTGCGTTTTGCTTGCTAAGTTAGCATAATCGGGAAGCGACTAAGTCCGAGTCTTAGTCATTTCCTGATGATGCTAACTTGGTTAGCGAAACGCGCGTCGAGAAACAGCATTTTTGTCCTGTTGTGAAAAAATTGTTTTGAAAAGATTAATACTTTAAAACATTCAATTATTTAAATCTCCAATTTTCGGAAATGGACATTTTTGAAATTTTGAAAATAAGTGTCCTGTTGTAGTTCCACCAATTCTATCTGAGGTTTTTGAATGTTCAATTTTTTTTAACATTTTTTATACAAAAAATATATCTTGATTTTCAATCAGTTTGGATTCAGAAGGAGATCACTGTCATTTGATCGGGTAATTTCATGGTGTCAATCAATGAATATGTAATTTAAATTATAAATGACCAAATTTTGAAGGATGGTGTTTACACACCTAGGATTTTCTCTTTCATGGTCGCAATGTAAAGAAACATCAAAAATTGACTACACAGATTTTATTTAATTTATTGAATATTCGGCAGTGAGTAATATTAAAGCATTGTGGAATTTTGTGAATTCCAAAAATAAGCATAATATTCTACCAGATGTGATGTATTATGGCGGGAGAAAGTATATTATGGGGATTGAGCTGTCCAATATGTTCCCCTCTCCTGTCTATTTCTAAATTGTGCCTGTCAATTTACGAAATCTATGAAAGATTAAATGGCTTGAATGCTTCTAAAGGTCCTGGTTCAGATGGTATTCCTCCATCATCATTGAAGCTCTGTAGCTTTATCCTAGCACGACGTTTACACATTATCTTCAACAGACTTCTTGAAATATAGCTCCGTAACACCTATATACAAATCTCGCAAAATGGCTGATATCACAGACTACAGAGCAATCTACATCCAAAGTAGCATTCTCAAAGTTCTAGATTTTCTCATTAGTAAATACCCGACACTATTCTCAGATCCATCACTTAATAATCAATCTAGTAAACTTAAAATAAATGTGAATTATCAATACTTACTATCGAATTATGTTAGCAGTAAAATTCAACGCCAGGGTTTTCAGCCTAGTATTTGTTTGAGTGCCATAGAGGGAATCAAAAATAACCTGTATACAATGAGGAAAGGCAAAACCAGAACCCGTTACCCGGCACAACGAAGATAGAAGTTTTAGACGGATCCTAGTGTTTGCTGGAGATTTTTTTTGGTCGGGTTTGACGGATTTACCTTGAGATCCCAGAAAAAGGGCGTACAGTGGAAGTGACACGGCAGTGGAAGACCAATCTACCGACCTGGAAGGTATACATTTTGAAATGAAAAAGACATCAATGTTTCGTGAGGAGCATTAAAAACATGTCTCCTTTGTGTCTACAACATTTTGAAGAAGGAACTGTAACAAATATTACCCGATAATTTTTCTCAATTCCATATCGGCCAAATTTGTTACAGCAAATCTTGTATCAGAAGCTGCTACTATCAAGTGGATTAAAATGTCCTCATTACTGAATACACCATGGCCGAGAAACTTGATGATACCTAGTTTAATCTACAACAGAAACGGTTATATTATTACATATCGGAACCTATATAGTAGATACGTTCAACCAAGGTGAATAACAGAATGAGATTTGACATTGAATTTTTTATTGTACTTTCTAGGATAGAAATGTTCAAAAAATATTTTTGGAAATTGTGTTAAAGCTCATCAAACACTGTTATCATTGGACAATCAACCAGATGGGAAACATCTTTATTTTAATCAGAATACCTACCTCTTCAAGATCTTCAGGTTTCATTGAACTGTTAGTGATTATCCTTTTATGAGACCACTCACTCATGCAAGGGGGTACAGTTGAAGATACATTGTTTGATTGCTCTAAATTTTCAGGTGTTTGCGGTGACAACGCACTAAAAATAATTTACATGAGCAAAAACACAGACGGGCCAATTTCAAATGTATTAGAAATAACAAATCTTATTAGACACACCAGTAAATAATGGAAAAATTCACCTGTAGGGTAAGATTATCATGTCCAATAAAATTTCCAATAACTGTTTGGTAAGAAGTGGCTTTTCATTTAAACCAAATAAATTGGATAATTTTTCTGGTTCTGTTGGAATCTTCACTTTTCCCAAAAGTGGTACGATTAATAACAGCAAACTGTCTATGTGTAGTTGTGGTTTATTATCTAATGCATTCAAAATGGTCGGCACAAGCTCAGCTTGTTTTTCAACTGGTAAACGGGGAAAACCAGTTTTCAAGTATATAATTGTAAAATTCTGAAAATTAGGAATTGTAAATGAAGTACTAGAGCTGAATAAGCAAATTTCTCTTCAGAATAGTGAAAACTATCCGATGTAACTCACTGTCACAAATGAGGTAGCTGAAGGGTCTTGATATTGGGTTAAAAGAGCCTCTACTGGTAGCTGCACCAATGGTCTCGTTTTTAATCTTCGATTCACATGGATTAACAGTTCCATAACCTGAAATTCATTCAGATGTCTTCAAATAATACTCTAATTTCATACACTGACCTTCTTACGAACTGCTTCTTGAGATGAAGACAGTTTCAATAGGACTGGAGGAAGGAATTTGCACAGTACGTTTTGCAGCTGATCATCAGTTTCTGCAGATCCCAATCTCAGAAAAACTCTCTCCAGGAGCACTGAAAGTAAAACAGAATTTGTTAGAAATGTTAGGCCTCTTTCCTTTTGTCTGTTTTGATATTTAGAAATTGGCATAATGTGTAATGTAAATAAATGGATTTTACTTAGTTCATCTGCAGATCCTGCCATTATTACTTATCAGTACTTGGTAAAATAGTTTTCAAATAAATTAATTAATTCAATATACGTTCAAAATTTTCACAACTTCATTCTATATGACAGCTGATGACAGAATACAAAAACATAGACGTTTTGACAATAGGTCTGGCCTTTAGAAAGAGAAAATCATACTGCATTATTAGAAAAGGATGGAATACTATTAGCTACTTGTTGCATTATCGCTTCATCAAATTTTCTTGCTGAACGCATGGCAATGGAAGGGAAAGATTAATGATTTAAGCTCAGAGCAATGAAATATTATCTCATCAGTGATCTGTTTGAGGCTGGTGTGGTATATATTGTTATATATTTACTTACCCTATTTATTTGTATATCTATGTTGTGGAAGCAACATAGATAGCAGTGTTTTTAACAAAATAAAAGCGAGTCTCTGATAGAACTAATCTTACACTAGATGGAGCAGAATTGAATAGAACTTACTCGAAAATACCATGGAGTGGACGATATATATCTATCTTTGATATCAAAATGTAACGTTTCACTGATATCACAAGCTAATATCTCGACGATGTAATTGATTATAAATAAATACGTCTTCAGGACGTCTTCTGGATATATGAAAGTTATATCGTGGTACTTAGCATCGTTATATACTAAGGACATCTATGCGATGTGACTTTGTTGGCTGGATACTTGCTGCAAAACTCTGTGAAACTCTGTAATTTCTCAATTTTTGGCAATGAAACATTTTCATTCAATTTTTAATCCGTTAAAGCAATGTCAGTAATATAATTAGACTAATTGGTTATAATCAACTCAATCTGTCATTCAATCGAGTGGTGCGGCTGCTGTTTCTAACCGTTAGCAATGAGAATAAGAATCTGTCCCATGTTTTAAAAGAAAAAGCGCATCTCCACAAACTTAAGATAGTTGATGACGACCGCTGTGGGTGTAATGAAATACAGACTCTCCTACATATATTTTTTGCCCGCCCTCAAAATATACACATTCCTGATTGTATCTAATATAAAGCTGTAGTGACCAAGACGGACCTAATACTTGTGCGCATGCAGTTTTAGCCAATCATTACCTGATCGTAGTGCCCATACACGTGCATCACCTCACTTTAGTGTTAACACTCTAGTGCAGTTGGACATTGCTTGTTAATTGACTGAAAATTACAGTTAAACGTTGTTTTAGCGCAAACCCAGACAGGGTTTGGATCCGACTCAGATTCACTTCAGTGTGGGCTCCACCTGTAGTAGTACCATGATTCTACAACTACTGGCTTGATAGCCCTGGCAGCTGAAGCCATTGATGGAAAAAAGAAGAAGAGCTGAAGAAGAAAAAGATAATAAAGTTGACTTTTCGGATTTGCCAAGTTGTTTACGATTATTTTGTTTGTGAATAGTAATACTGAAATAAATAAAAAATATGGCCAGCAGACCGGAAGACCATCGAAGAAAATGGGACAAGGAGGAATACGAACGACTGGCAGAAGAAAGATTGCAGGAGGAACGAGGCAAAGATGACGAAGATCCTAAGAAGAAGGGGCCCCCCGTCAAACGGGAACTCTTGAAAATTCGAGAATACAAAGTGGATCTCGATTCGAAACTCGGCAAGAGTATCGTAATAAATAAGAATACCCCAACATCCCAGTCCGGAGGCTACTACTGCAATGTTTGTGATTGTGTAGTGAAAGATTCGATAAATTTTCTTGACCACATCAACGGCAAGAAGCACCAGCGCAATTTGGGGATGTCGATGAAAGTCGAAAGGAGCTCCTTAGACTCCGTGAAGAAAAGGATCGAAGCAAACAAAAAGAAACTAGAAGAAAAAAAGAAAGATTACGATTTGGCATCGCGGTTGCAGGAGTTGGCAGAGGAGGAAGAGAAGTTGAAAGAATACAAAAAAGACAAGAGGAAGGAGAAAAGGAAAGCTGAGGAAATGGCCGAGGAGCAGGAGCCCCCAAATGAACTGGCTAAGATAATGGGGTTTTCGGGATTTGGTTCATCTAAAAAAGGCAAATAAAGGAGTTTTCGATGAATGGATGTTTTTAATTTACAAACAAATAGTAATTTATATAAGTGATTAAAATATTGTACATTAACTAATTCTATTTATTTTTAATATAGAACGGATTTTTATGGTTAGCATAAAAGCGAAAAAACAGGGGGCTTAAATTATTGTGATTCTAACATTCAAATAAAGAGGGGAGATGAAGCGGATATAGATAAGAACATAAGAAAACCACAAATATTTTAGTGAATCCTCCATAACAGAACAGTGGTTGGACACTGATGAAGGAGTTTTCAAAGGCGCAAAACCCCAAAAGAAGACCATGGTTACTGTAGTGGTCAGTGGGTAGTGTGATTCACTATGACTTCCTCCAACTGGGCCAAACTAACACAACACAGTCCTATTGTGAGGAAAGCAACAAAATGTACCCAAAATTGCCGCAGCAACAGCCGGCACTGGTCAACAGAAAAGGCCTGAAAAACCACCGTCCGAGAATTAAACGAATTGAGCGTCGAATTTTTGTCTGGCCCACCAGACCTATTGCCATCTTTTCAAACACTTCGATAACTTTGTCACCTGCAGAACCTTCGTCAATCAGGACCAGGCAAAAATGGCCTTCATTGACTTCATCAAATACCAATCACACAAATTTTATGTTGACAGAGTTAATCAAATTGTGTTGCATTGGCAAAAGTACAGACTCAAATAACGCTTTCTTCTAACAAATTGAGTGAGCATTCACAAAGATATTACATAAATACAACTGAAGTTTTATCCCAGCACGAAACTGTTATTTCAACATCTCAACACGTGTATTGATCACCAACTGATCATCTTCAAGAGGAAGATTAAACTGTTGTTCGTTACTACACCAAATATACTCCTAGCCCATAAAAACTTGGAAAATCTGGTAAACTTGGGTAATTATGCATGTGATGAATTCAGTAAATACTGTAGCGACAATGACCTTGTCCGTTTATCAATTTCTTACCCAAAAACGGTACCTCAAATCCAGATCTAATGAACATCAATATATGTGGTGAAACTCTGGAATACCTACTGTCAGGTAGCTAGATTTTTAGAAATACTCCTGGATCAAAAGCTAACATGGGAGCCACATATCAACAGTTTTTATGTGTAAAGGTTGACAGTGCAAACTACGCAATTCGGAATCTGCGAGACACTGTCTCTACAGAAGCTATAAAACTCATGTATCATGGACTGGTCCAATCAAGGCTACAGTATGGATTGATGTTCTGGGGTAACTCTGCATATACTGACCGCATTTTTAAGGTTCAGAAACGAATCAATATGCATATTTTACGTATCAACCTCTTGTTTTTAGAGATATGGAAGTCAATATAATCGATTTCAACCAAATAAAACACTCGTTCGCTACCAAAAAAAAACAATTTATGTTCATCAATTATAGTTATTATCGTCATCAAAATTATAGTCCTGCCCCATGTCCGTGTCCATGCTATTTTCAGTTTCGGCTTTGATAGGATTCTCAGAATTGGAGCCATCCTCCTCATCAGACTCTTCGCTACCACTGGAGTCACTCTCGAACCGTTTGCTGGTAACGCCGCTTCCTGAATATGACTCGGAATCGCTCTGAGGCAAGCTGTACCCCTCTGCATCATTACGCACCACTGCAAACACGTGACTAAGCGGATGCCGCTTCTCAGAAAGCATCTGAGACAGGATGCAGTCAGTGCAGTAGTCCTTAGACTCCTTACACGTCGTACAGTGCCAGCGGGCCCCCACGATAGGCCTAGCGTTGCAGAAGTCACACGTGAACAGCAGGTGCCGGAAGGGGGCATTGGGGTCTTCTCTCTCCCTCAATTTTTCTTCTTTCACCCGATTTATGAGCTGAAGCTGCGATTCCTCGTCACTTTTGTCCTGGATCGAAGAGCTTTGGAGATACTCGCTTTCCAAGAGGTAATTGGAAGAGCAAGGCGGAGGTGGCGGTTCAGACATGCTGGGGCCAGGGGTACTTTCCAAATCGTCCATCACTACCGGGGTGTTGAATTCCGGGAAAAAAGTTGAGGGTTTCCACAGGAAGTGGTTCAAACGTTGATGTTTGTGCATAACCTTCTGAAAAATATGGGCTAGTGAAGCAAAGAACGAAGAAAATAATGTTAAGTAATTTTGGAATGAATTTCACTTACTCTATTATGTTTTTCCACACATTTCGGTATCCTTCCTGGAATGGGTAATCCAGCTTTGTACAGTTTTAGAAAATATTTCTGGACTCTACTTGTAACTTGCTTCAGAGTTCTATTACCTAAAAAATAGAATTGAATAGAATAACTTGGCACGAAACATATCACATTGTTGAAATTACATAGTGTCGTTAATGTTCATCAAGCAACCGTCGTGAATTCATAGAATGAGATTAGTTTAGAATGTCTCAACACACAGTACGAAAATGAACAGGTATATTTATTCATTACTCACCCAGTGCTTTTGCAATCTTCTGGTATCTCTTCCTCTCGATTGGTTCGGGAGGATATAAACGCAATAACTCCTCAAGTCTCTTTTGCTCTTCGATAGACCAAGCCTTGAAAATTATGTCAGTTATATCAAACAAGTGCCAAAACATCATCCCTAAAAAACTTACCCTCGAGTCACGTCTTTCCCTCTTCAAATCTTCTTCAACATTCGTTTCTTGGCTGTTTTCTGAATAAATCAATCTCAGTTCAGACTGGGGAACGGTGACTTCATATTTGTCAAAGTTTACTACAGGTAACTAGAATGAAAACAACCAATGTATTTATATTTCAATCTGTTTGAGAATGTAGTATTTCAGTTCACAGTGCATTAAGTTACCTTTGCTAATTCAACTGTGTCTGGCAATTCCAGACCCAGATCTTCCTTGTTTGCGATTTTCTCCACAAATCCCACTGGATTTTGCAAAACTTGCTTTTTTATTTCTATAACCTTTTTGTAATCCTAAAAAAGTATTCATGTTACTTGACAAAATCGTTGTTATTGAAACTATTACACCTTTATTAATTTCTCTCTTTGGGCTGATAGCACAACAAGAGATTTCAGAACCTCACAGTAATCCTTATTTCCTCTCAAAGCTAATTGGTCGGACTCAAAAAAGAACAAATCATTTTCGTTTTCGGGGAATAAAGAAAATTTCTGAGCCATCTTTCCCTAGAGAATTTTATTTTACTCTATAACTCATCTTTAGAAACTACATACATAATACAATGGATACTCTTCCTAACACACATTCGCCGGTGACATTAAACTTTTGACATTTATTTTCCTCTTCCTTTTGTATGTATTGACCTCAGCTATTAAGACACAGTGCACAATATATGTTATAGTATTGTGTACTCTGTATTTACAAATCTTATGGAATAATGTGACCTCAGGGAGACTGGCGAGGACTTGAAAAATTAATTATAGAAAGTCATTGATAAAAATGCCGGAAATTGCCACCAAAAAGGGTTGCGAAACTGCAGTAACGTTAGTAACGTTAGTTACTGCAGTTTTGTCCTATAAGGACATTTTCAAACTTTTACATTAAACTAATAATGGTTGATTACATTAGCCCTTATATAGCATACCTGTAGGTAATAATAGAGGTACTTGGCTCGATTACGGCTAAAAGCTAATGTTATTATCTCAATTCTCAAAATTATTTGTCGGAAAAAATATACTTATTCCCAAAAGAGAAGTTTTCGAGAGTAATTCATTCAATATTTAAGAAAGTAAAAGAACTCATTTCCGAAATATTAGCTTTTCAAAACTGAAATATAAGTACGCCTTGTATAAATTGACAAATGTAAGGTGATAGATCTGTATGAATAATAATAAATAAATGAATATATTCTATCGAAATAGACAACCCAAAATACAAACGTGAAAATATTCTATATAAAACTCAGTATTCTCTCTCTCTCTCGTGTTATTGACCCTTGTTTTCTAAGAACATTTGGCTAGTTCATAAAATTTGGTATTATTTACAATCGAAATGAAATCTCTTGATTGTTTACTTTTGAAGATGTCATTTCAAGGTAATAATTACCATGGATACACATTAATCTAGAAATATGTCATTTCTTTATTTTTTTTCAAGTTATAACTTTATTTGTGAAATAATAAAACAACAATGAAAATTAATTGGCGCTCCGGGGCGACTTCATTGATTCCAGTAGCGCACTTGCTTTTTCAGCTGTAGGAAAAACCTGCAGCACCACATCATCTGAAGATCTTGATCTGCCAATGTCCTCTCCCCCATAAAACAAAATGTAGGGTGTCCCTTATTGTTATTTTAGAACGAACTTATCCTGTGGTGTGAGATTTATTGAATTCATCGATTAGTTCACGATTGATCCGATGGATTCAACAATTGGTCCACTTGAAACTCTAGAGAATTTTTATTAGTTGATGTCATCTATCAGAATTTTTTACTGAATTTAAGAACTCACCAATGCTTCATCTACTATGTGACGTCCTTGAACCAGGATGACATCAGCTGTAAACTCATCAACTGTCATAACTGTCAGTTGTTCTGTTTTGTTCGGTTCGTCTTTTCCATTGTCCTAGTATCAATATTTTGCATACACCCATAAATCCTAGACGAATTTGATGGCATCTAATTGTGATTGATTGTTGAAACTGCCCGAAACTCGGTATCGGCACATTTATCGACATTCCAACATTATTTATCAACAATGGGAGACGAAAAACAACCACTTCTCGCTACAGAGAACACCACTTACAATGGGGACGCAACGGGTGAGTTTTAAGAAGGCCCCGGTTAAAATTCTCTCAAAATGATTACCTCTTGAACGAATTCGGAACCTATTATTTGGGCGATAGTTAACTATCTTCTGTCTTTTTCTGTATGCTGGACTTGTTTTGAATAAGATCAATCATCATAATAAAACGGAAGTTCAATGTTTGATAAACAATTGTACTGCTGTAAGGTTGAGTTTCGTAACTTATGTCTCCAATTTGTAGCGTTCAGTCAATTTTTTCGTGATTTGCTTTGAATGTTACAACATATTATTTAATCATTACTCAATAAAATGGAATGTAGGAAAATTAACTCAGCTTCCAAAATACAGAATATTACAAATCAAAATATACTTTGTCTTAAGAAGATTTGCTCATTAAAAAAGCTTACAAAATTGAAATATACCTAGAAGACAGAAATATGAATATTAAAAAAAGTATACAGATTTGTCAAAAGGTAAATGTGCCAAATTGAAATTGATCAATATAAAACTCAATCAAACTCGAGTCTACTATAAAGAAGTTATTTAATTAATAACTTTTCTGTAAGGTTCAATATTGACATTAATTTCTTGATGTAACACGGCAGATTGTTGTTAACATTTATACTATTGTAAAATAAGATGTCTTTGGCTAGGAAGTTGCTTGAAGTTAGTTTCAAATACAGTCAGTATTTTCTGGCTGAAAACCGTAGAACAAAAATAATGTCTAGTGAGTTGAGACTATACATTCTCCAAAAAGGTATACCATATTTTAAGCGAGACCTTAACAAAGCACAATATGCTGTTTCGTTTGCGGGCTAGGCACATTCGATTACCAATTTTTAATTTTTTTCTGTCGGTGCACTTGTCTCGAACATCCTGTGGAACTTACAGTAAGTCAATTCGGAAGAATCGTAATGTTTTTCACAATATATCGTCTACTGAAATTGATAAACATAACAATTTGATTGATAGGATTCAGATATAAATGTAAAAAATAAATACACCAAATATATGAATAAATTAAATTGAAAAAGATATTTCTTGTTCATATTTTTTGTTTCATTCAGGACAGCAAGCTACTGTTTCTCCCATTGGCCCGGATGAGCTTCCACCGCCGTTTTATCAACCCTCAGAAGGCGGGGGAGGGGTACCCATGGTCACGTGTCGCGTATGTCAAGCCATGATTGATATATCGGGAAAACGTGATCAGCATGTTGTTAAATGTGCCCAGTGCAATGAGGCGACGGTAAGTTTAATAATAAATTCTCGGTCCTAACATAGATGGCGCTAGCCTTACTGCATTCACTTCAGTAAGTACTAACCTATACCAGAAAATGAAATATTCTAAATTGAATACTGAGATGCAGTGTCAACAATATATTCTAGGGAATCAAAATTGATGTCACACAAATTTGAAATTAAATTGAAATTATTGCAAATGCTAAAGAAAAATGTCTACAATTGCGAACTATAAAGTTACTTCGTGACAGTGAAATGGTATCTACTCGATGACTGACATTTTCCTACTATAAGACAACTACTTTACATTTAGATGCATTGAGATACAGTTTGTTAACTTCACACCAAGTCCAGATGAAGGATTGTAATGAAAAGAGTAATAGCTGTTAGCTGTTATAAGATACAAACTTCACGTTGAAGTAAGTAGGATTTAATGAAAAGTACTGCTAAATTATGGAAACCAAATTGGTGGAGTTTAAATCATTATGGCCCGAAGGCTTCAAAGTTTGGAGACCCCTGATCTAAGACATCACTAACATTTTGGGTTAATACAATTAAATTTGTTATGGTGGATCTGTTTGACATAAATCCATGTTGTTGCAGAGATATGATATTACCACATGATGCAGTAATGCCAAAGAACATAAAAAATCCACAAAATCGAAAAATGAAGTTGCGAGAGTTAGCTGGCAATGTAAAGATATCAAAAGAATGTGTTAGCTTTATATTGCATGAGCAAGTGTTTTATTTTAATACTTATATATACTTCACTATTTACACTTTCAATTTGTTCACTGGTCTTCATTCAGAATATCAGAATAGGAAAGAAAAAATATTAAATTGGAAGAGTGTGTGAAATACAATTGTGGTTACTGCAAATAATGGATTTTTGAGTAGTTTTATCAAATTATGTACTACAATATATGATAATCAGGGTGAAAAGAATTATTTAAATGTGAAGATAAGAGTTATCTTCATAGTTTTATGGTATATTTGTTATTTGTTGGATGCCAGGTAAGAAGTAAATAATGCAAATTAGAAGGGATTAGCAAATGGTTCTTTGATTGTAAAGGGTCTGTTTAAATAATTCCAAGAATTAGTATTTCTGAGATACCCAAGATTTATTTTGTTCAAAGCACTGTAGTTAGCATGATGTTTGAATATATGACAGAATTTTCGGTAAGTGAAATTAAATTGAGTCTGTTTTTCACCTAAATGTGCAGGTTCTTGAGAGTGATGTTCTAAAATTTCATGAATATTATTTTTCTGTCTCGATAGAGAGCGAAAAATCTTGATAATTCATCTCTGAGATCCGAGTTGAAGAGAAGTGTAAAATTTTGATAATTAGACCTTTATTCAAATAGACATGCTAATACACAAAAATTAAGGAAGAATAAATATTAACTATTGTATAATTACATATAAGTAGTGAAATTAATCTATAATATAAGATTTACTGCTACAGAGAGGGAGAAGAAGGAAGCACATGATAAAAAGAGTAATTTAGAAAAAGAAATGTAATACTAACTATCTATTGAATCTCGTATATAGGAGGTCTGATGAAAAAATAAGGTGAATTTTTATTTTTCTCAAAAAATATAATGTAGAGTTGAAAGTACTGAAACTTTTTGTTTTTCGGAAGATGTTCATACATACGACAGTTTGGTGATCGGTGATGAAAGGTCTAGCCTTAAATTAAGACTTGAAGCCCTAAGTTAAAATTTGGAGTGCGTGACATCAACTGAATTTCTTTTCCAGCCCATAAGGAATGCTCCTCCGGGTAAGAAGTACGTTCGGTGCCCCTGCAACTGTCTGCTGATCTGCAAGAGTTCTTCGCAGAGGATCGCCTGTCCTCGTCCGAACTGCAAGAGGATCATTAATCTGGCCCCCAGTCCCGTAACGCCTCCCGTGCCTACCATGCCCGGCATGTGCAGGGTGACTTGCGGGCATTGCCACGACACTTTCTTGGTAAGTTCTTTTTCTTAATAGGACAGTATGAATCAATCAGTCAACTCGAACATTTATTGAATCAGTTTTCCTTCACAATCACATTAGAGAAAAAAAAACATATCATCATCATAAAATACTGGATGATTCAACAGGTCAAACAGACTTAAATGAGTCAATATAAAACACATAGAAAAGTTAATGAGCTGCAATCAAATTAGGATACAAGAAGAAACTCATTCGCAGAGTAGTATGTTTTTTGCAATAGAAAAATCTTGAGTCCCCTTTCAAAGACATTGATATTTGAGGATTTAATGTCCTCACTAAGCTTATTATATAGCTTAACCCCAATGTACACGGGGTGATTCTTTGATACTGTCAATCTACTATAAGGTTGTTGTAGTTGAGAGTTATTTCTGGTGGAATATTCATGGATTTTTCATTTCTGAACTGTTTATGAAAAGTAAAATATATACCAATTTTATTGGTATCGTTTGAACTATCCATTAGAAGAAATGATAACACTCAAAGTCCACACGTGGGGAGTTACCAAAGGAAACTGTTGACTAGCATTGACATTGTTATTGTTCGAATCAGAATCACTTTAATGAAATGAATAAAAACACTTTTGTCTAATTACGACTAGTTAATTTTATTTAAACTACTGGTTTTGGGTTTAATCCCATCATCAAGTATAAAACTACCACAAAATTAACAAGTCATCAATCACAAATATTGAATCAGAATCTATTTGTGCATTTTGAAAAGTATTAGAATCATATTTAATCTTGTGAAAATAATAACAAAGATAAGACATGAGAACATTTACAAATGAACTTATGATTACTATTGGCATTGCTCAAACTTTGTTTACAATATCATATTTCAATAACTTTCCTAGCCTTCATAGATGTATCATTAAATTTTCAGGTTGTAAGATAATTTCCTTCATAGATATGTATATGTTGTTTGTGATTATTGAAGTTAACATTGAAAAATAGTACTTGAAATTTTAGCTTTTTTTAAATCGTTTCAGCGAACTTATTCAAAAGAGCTATTGTTTATCCTCATACATGCAAGCACGGCTCAATTGCATATATACAGTCCTACATATACAGGGTGTGGCACCGAAAACGAAACAGATCGAATATCTTTAAAACACGTTTTCTGAAAAAAAATGCAAAAACACGTTGATTTGTAATCCAAAGGGGACATCTTTCGCTACTTAACTTTCTATTTTGTCTCCCTTCTGCGGGAAAAAATGTTCCGTAAGGGGGAAAACAAAATGGCGGCTCCACAATGGCGGACAAGATTTGCAATTGTGGTCCGATTTGATTCAAAGTTGATATATGGTGGTTTTCAGGGTCAGAAATTATGATTTGTTTGTCAATGCAAAAAAACAATATGGTGGCTCCAACATGGCGGACGAAATTTGTAATTATGGTCTGATTCGAATCAAAATTAGTATGTGGGGATTTTCAGGGTAGGAAATTATGATTGTTTTGTTGATGCAAAAAAACAAGATGGCGGAAGATATTTGTAATTGTGGTTCGATTCAATTAAAAATTGGCATATGGGGGTTGTTTTACAAGATTCCAGTGTGACTAAAAAGAATGAATGAAATTGATAATAAAACGTTTTATACAAATTCGCTAAAAAGAAAATTGTATTGTTTTTATAAAATACATTGAAACAACCAAATTTTCGAGACAACACCAAACAAAAACGAAACAAACGAATGGTTTTATCAGTTATTTTCAGTTTATGGTAACTGTTTCAAAATGTCCTTAAAGGACGAAACTGCAATAACGTTAGTTACTGCATAAAATGTTTCATTTCTCACTTTNACAGAGACCACTGCCATCAATTTTTTATTCGTCTTGGTATTATGCCTCTGCCTACTTTATATATTTATACTGTTCTGCTAGAAATACATCGCAATAAAGATACTTTACTAAAAAACTCCGACATCCATAACCACAATACCAGATCAGCTGACTTACTAAATACTCGTTATCACAGGTTATCTGTAAGCCGCAGAAACTCCCTAAATCTGAATCTATATAACATTCTCCACCACTCTATCAAAATATTGGAATTCAAAAAATTTAAATTAGTCCTAAAAAATTACCTACTAGAAAATTGCTTTTACAGTACCGATGAGTATATGGACTCAGTTAGGTACTTTAAGCCTTATGAGCTATCATAAGTATGGTTAACCATGATCTTTTATTGTATTTTAAAATATATTGCTCATGTCTAAATTTTAAATCTTATACTATATATTGATAATCTGTTACTAGACGTTAATTGTTCTTTTAATTATATTTTTATATATTTTTTAATTTTGATTTGACTAATATGACTGTGAATTTACTGTGACTTGCCATAAATGTATAAACTACATAATCTGGTCAAATAAACTACTACTACTACTATCATAACCTCTGCCTTTGTTGTAGTTCAACACACTAAACAATGCCCTGGCACGCTGCCCCCACTGTCGTAAAGTCTCCTCCGTTGGTCCGGACTACGCCCGAAGCAGGGGCAACATATTTCTCATTCTGTCGATAGTTTTCTTGTGTATCGGCATCGGCATAACGGCGGGGACGTACGCTTACGCCAAGTCCCACAACGGCATCTACGTAGCTTATGTGGGGGCCTTCCTCCTGACGATTATAATGCTGATACGCAGCATCTACTACTACTTCATGAAGGTGAGCATCATCGAGGGACCGATGTAATTCGATTAGGCGAGGCGTAGGATTTCGAAGAGGTTAAGGGTGTGAATACTGGGCAAGTCATAATGAGGGAGCCGTGATCATGTATAGGAATTCACTTAGTTCCACGATATTCTACCAAGTAGACCTAAATAAAGGTAAGACTAGTAGTTCGTATTTCCTAGTTTGTTGATCTCATTTGGCTCGCCCTGTAGATCAACACCATCGAGTCATTGAAACATAAAATATAGATATATATGAAGCTATCTTTTTTTGTCTTATATGTATATTCGACTTTGTTAGATATAGGAAAACAAAGTTGATGCGATTCGGTCTAGTTGAATTTATTCTCACATAGGTCAGTGTGCTGATTACCTAAAACATTTTGTGGGAGCATGGAATGTTGCTAATTGATTGACCCTTACATTTTTTCCGTGTCTGAATGTTCGAACTGAAGAGGCCAATTTTGTTCTTCTTCTTTTGTCTCTTTTGACCTCAGCTCGTAGGGCTATCAGTCGAAAGTTTTTGATCGGGGAGAGTTACTGCAGCTGTCAAGTTATTTTGTTAGATACAATTGATCAGCACATTTGCACGTGTTTGTTGATATGGTGCAAAGTTTATCTGAGCATTGCCTGTTTGAATTCAACTATACCCGATCGCACTTGTAGATACCTAATGTTGACTGCGTTGAGAAAAAAATTAAGTGATTAAATGGAAGTTATGTTTGCCTCGATAATATTGTCTTGATGTTATAATAGAGTCTGTAAGAATATTCTTTATCTGCATAAGGTAAGGTACTGGTAACGAACAAACAGGTAAATAAAACGATCGTTAATTTTATGGAAAATTAATGTTTGAATATTTTTTCAATGGAATGGTAGTATGGAAATTTTTGGCATCATCCGAAAGTACATATTTTCCAAAATAATTTGTTTCAAAACTTTCATGTAAATATTCAGGGTTGGAATTTATAAAAGTTTTTGTATGACAGTATCAAATTGTATATTGTTTTTGAAGGGTAACGTTCCCAAATGTCTGGTCAAAGTCATTTTTGTAAATGTAAATGATAATGACTCCTGTTTGTTCGTTGCTTCTCTTACCTTTTAATCCACTATAGTTTTAAATGATTTATTGGCAATTTAAAGTTACTCATCTCTTCATTCAGTTGTTCAAATAATATTCTCTTCCCTTATATCTTTTGTGATTTAATTAGTAGATTTATGTAATTGTGTACACTCCATCAGGCGCTATGATATATGTTTACAGATAGTAAGTGATACTTTTGACCATAAGCCATTTTTAGTAACTTTTTAGTCGATTTGTTTGAAATGGCGAGATTGTACGAGATGTACGAATCTTAGCTTGCTCGAAGTCGTATTCTCTTAACGAAATGATGTGGCGCTGCTTCTTTTAATTAATCTCTATAAAATTTTGATTTATCGCTCCACAAAAGAATGTCATTTCTTTATCAGAATAGGCTACTTCTGATCAATAATATGAACATTTCTATTATAGACTGTATAAAAGGGTGATAAATAATTTTTTTTATAAATTGATTGTATTTGTGTTACTTTATTCACCTCCCAACATTATCACTATAAAATATTACTGGATTTTATCCCAACACGAAACTGTTATTTTACCACCTTGACACGTGTTTCGATCACCAAGTGATCATCTTCAAGAGGAAGATTAATCTTCCTGAAAAATCGCCAAAACAGTTGCTTTTTTAAATGAGCAATTGAAGATTTAATGGGTTTTTCAGTAGCTATAAATATATACATTGAAATGTTCATTTTCTGCTTCATAATAATATAGTAATGAAGCATTAAAACAACCACAGGTCTAAATGGATTCCATCGATAATAGAGAAAAATCGTGTTACAGGGAATATCCACTAATATAATAAACATTGAAATCAAATCTTTTTCCAAGTACCGTGAAACACAAAAAAAAATGCTGAAAACTATGCAGGATCAGGAAAACCGAGATGAGAATCCAACGTGTTGTGACATCCTCGAGAAGACATTATCCTGCATTTTCGCCCAAAAATTCTCCAAAACCCGTTATTTTTCAATCATTCCCTATAATCCGATATTGAAATATTCAATATAAACTTCAATGAAGTCAATTCAATCAAAAACTTTAGCTTATCGATAAAACCCATTGCTCATAATTTACCGTTAACTCTAAACATGTTATATTCAATAAAAAAATCACAGGTATGAAGAATATATTCCCGAAAAGACGAATTATCTTCCGTCACTTCGACATAACCACAACTCTTCCGTACTCTATTATTATTACTAGCCCTCTTCTAGAATGCTACATTCTTGAATCAGATAACAAGAGTTAACAGTAGAAGCCATCTTTGTTATGAACTCTCTCTCAATATTGTTAGAGGACAAACGGAAGCAGAGGCTAACAAGAATGGCTTCACCTGTTCCCCGTATCAAACAGTCATTGCTAAGGTACACATTACTCTATAATACTGACATCAGGACACAGAAAACTTGTCATCTCGTCGTACCTAAATTTGTTTGTGTTTAATGTACCCTTTCTTTTCGTTGAAAACGCACAAAACTTGATACGCTACGACACACCTGATACCAATTCGCAATTACTAGCTTTTGCTTCCGAAGCATTTATAGAATACGTTCGAGAGGATCATTGCTGCGCCAAGTTTTGTGGTTATTCAGTCGGTATACAAATATTCTATCAATATTTCTGCAACAATTCTAATAATCAACTAGAATACACAATTTCAAATCGGCAAAATGAGATACAAAAAAAAACTGCTTACTTTTTCTCATCAGTGAGGATCAGTCGTTCGAAGGATCAAACCGAACCGGTTACCTCCGAAGAACTGAAGCTCATCAATTCGAAAAGTTTAGACTTTTCAAGGGAAACAAAAAATTAAAACAAAATTCTAATAATGAAAGTCCGAATGATCAATTCAGTATATCTCAAGAGACGGGTACACACACTAAAACAAAAAATCCAAAACTCCTAGTACAATTTCAATAAATCACAGATCACTATTATTATTATTCAGAGTCACTCACGACCCTAATATCCTGGATTTCTTATTCTGATGTCAGATGTTCTCCTCAGCCGATCTTCTAGGCCACTGAAATATCAAATTCAGAGGTGAGTATCTTGTGAAAATGGTGGTGAAAAAAAATAACACCGAAATACAGTGCATTTCTTTAATGCCCCCCTTTTATGTTTTGAACGGGTCAACTAAAAAATTGAAATTCAAATTAATACAAGAATACTTTATTTTGAAGTGAAATTGACAGTAGAAACTTTCAAGATGGCGACTGGGCGCTATCTGGGAAAAAAATGAATGGAAAGGGGGGTCTATTCGATATTTACAAATATTTATTATTCTCTGCTGTATATCCAATATTGAAGCAGGTTCAGTTTCGTACACCTTTTGCTTCAAATAGCCCCATAAAAAAAGTCGGAAGGTGTCAAATCTGGCGAGCGGGCTGGCCATTCTGGTGTAGCATTTTAAATTTGTATGGATGGAAGCTATTCCTCTCCAAAAGTCTCCACACAGTAGAAGGAGACACCTCACAAACATTCGCGACGGAATAAGTAGACTGTTCAGAATTTACTACCATCTCATCAATTATTTGCACCTGCTATTCTTCCTGAATGGACGAATGACCTGGGGGCTTTTTGTTATGTACACTATCGGTAATTGTGAATTTGGATACAAGTTCCCTCAAATATTTTCTACAGATAGGACGATTCGGAAAACGTTCAGTGAAAATCCTTTCGGTCTCGTGAAAGTTACGTGTCACACCGTAAATAAAAATCGCTTCAATTTTTTCTTTCAATGGACGAGAATTGACCATTTTAGAGACTGTTGACGTGGTACCTTTCTACTAGTAAAACCGAAAACTAAATGAGAATATTCTAACTGAACAATGATGTTCACTGTCGTACTGACATTTCTTGTTGTTTTTATAAACAAAAAAAAACTTGACAAACCTTATCGGGTTGTTGGAATTGCTATATGGCAGATAAAAAGGAATATTTATAGAAATATCGATATTAATGTGTTCGTCTTCAGGAAACTATTAAATGTTCCGCCATTTTGTAGTAGGTGAAGATATTGACTTCATATTGTAAGGTTGTGAAGTATTCATCAGGAGCTTCAAAATAATGTGTCACAAGACCCCCCTTTTCATTCACTTTTTTTCTCAGATGGCGACAAAATTTCCCAAATCCCAAATTTCAATTTTACGAGTTGACTCATTCAAAAAATAAAAGGGGGGGGACATTAAAGAAATGCACTGTATGAGGACCAATAGAAAGTAAGATCATTTTAATAAAGCCCATAGTCAAATAGAAAAATCCCCAATTTCATTTCAGATTCGATAAGATTAATTGAAATGGATATTTCTTTTTCGTTCTACTCCCTGAAAATATATTTTGAACACACCACATGGTTTCTAAACACCAAAATTTAATCGATTCTTGTCCCTAATTTATTAAAATATAAATGTATTTTTAGCAATGAAAGAATATCTCAAGAAAGGTTTTTTTCATTAAAATTACTCCACGAAGGATGAGAATTAAAAAATTCAACGGGTAAACTACCTTTCAGCATCAACAATGCACCTTCCACTTGACAAAAAAAAACAACAACAACAAAAACTATGTCAAACTATCCCTACCCACCAGTTAGGAGCGAAAAACCCAAAAGTAAACAGTTAGAAAATGGACGACGAGTTAGAAAACGCCCCGACAAATTTAGAAAAGATACCTGACGTCGACGGTACGCCCGAGAAGCCGTCGGCTATCTTGGTTTGCGCCTGCTCAGACGGCTCCGCCGGCGTGCAAGTGACATCGGCGCTCATCGACGAAGAGTCTTTCTCGACGTTCGAGCACTTCTGCTTTTGATTCTGTTCTGAAGGATTACCTTGTTGATTCTGCGATGACGACTGTTGTGGTTGATCGCGCCTCTGCGGATGCCTGTAGTTGTTCCTGTAACCTCCGCGGTAGCCCATGCCTCTGTAGCCTCCGCGACCCCTGAAACTTGAATAAAAAAACGTACGACGGTTAAACTCGAGATGAATTTCCGAAACTCGATTTAGGGAACGCACACTTACTTTCCGCGTCTCGTCGCAGCCACGCCGAACGTCTCCGAATTAAGCTTACGTTCGACGCGCCAATCAGTCCTCTGCGATTTCCCTTTGGCACGTTCGACGGCTTCGCAGGATATCTTGTCAAAGAACGATTTGGTTTTGTCGTAGTACACTTCTTGGTCGTCCTCTTGCTCCGGTTCCCCGGCTCCGGTCTCGTTTCCGGAGTCGTCTTTCTTGTCCACGTCACCGTTCACTTCGCTCTTTGTGCTCACGCTGCTCGCTTCATCCACTTTCAGCTGTAACGTCAAGAAATTGAATGGAGATACTTCATTTGAAAGCTCTTGCGAAAGGTTTATCTTATTTAGAGTGCTACATATTGTTCTTGAAGGCTATATATTTGGAAGTCTAAGAACATGAGTATATGTTACCTGCAATAATGTCGTAAGCAATATTTTCGGAATATCTGATGTTCGAATCCGAGAAATAACAGAACACAAGAAAGCTATATCATCATGTAGGAACAATTTGTGTTCCTACCATTATGATAAATTCATGGTCTTTTCATTCATAAAGTTAGATGATATTTTTAGATAGAGAATTAAAATATATATGTTGAAATTATTTTTCTGAATATTCATGAACAGACGCACATAACGAGTATTCATGAAACTATTTAACACTGACTTCGAGGTGAAATTATTACAAATTCCAAATCAATTTCATCAAATTCAAAATATTTGAATAGTTGTGATTTGAAGTTATATTCAGAATCATTACTGACACATGAACTAATTATGTTGATTGAGCATTGACCTGAAAGTATCATGAAGAATGATTAATGAAAAAGGCATGTCATTATGACTGGTGTCCTTGCGAACTGAATAATTTTTCAACTCCCAAGTGAAAGAAGAGATATATTTTTTTCTGTATCTCGTTGTTTGGATGTTGAGTTCGAAGGTAGGTATATGACATTGGATTTTGAACATATTCAAACATAAGATTTCAATATCAGTATGCATTCACGGAGAAACTGAATTGACACAATGTT